GAAAAAAAAAACTTTTTCATTTTGCCGACGCGCATGGCTACGGCGACGCGCGCGCATACCAGAAACCGGAGCCTTTTTTTTTTGGCCTTAGACAGGAATTTTAACCTACTTACTTAACTTATTTGAACTGTTTTTTTTTAATAATGTAGTGAAGTCTATAATAGCTCTTCACCATGAGAAAAATCGCAAGAATAGTGTTATTATGCTTATTTGAACACAAGTCACTAAGATCACTGATGTCCACGTGTATAAGTCTAGTGTAGTGTTTTTGTCTTCAAATCAAGCCTCGGAGCTCAGTCAAGCAGATGGAATAAAGCCGTCCGTGGAAAAACAGGTTTGGCACATGAAATGTTTAAACTACCATATCTCAGAGACAAAATAGCATTTGCTATCATGTTTTGTCACTTAGGTTTAAAGATCAACATTTTAACACCATTATTTTAATTTAGCCTAACTTCGACAATGATCTCACATTCTGTTGTGCACGTGATTTTGACTTAACAAACGCAAACGTTTCAAACTGTATGGTTTACGAGCACTGACTGCGTGCATTTTCATTGTCGATTGGTTACTTTTCCATGTTAACAGTTCAGCAGTACAGCCAGATTATTGCACCGAAGAAGCTTTTCCACACAACTGCGGTGAGTTCAAGCAGCTGTACAAGCACGACTTGATTTCAAGTCTAACAAAAAAATGCCTGGACTTTTTTTTTATCCCCATTTTGGTAAGCGGCCAAGTTTGAAACTGTTGCTGGGTTGCAAAGTCCAAGCAGACTTAACTTATGGCATGACGTGAGTACAAACACTCGCACATAGAGGTCTTTCAAAACGCCAGCGGTGTATACAAGAAACGTTTGAAGTTGAAGGCAGAACTACATTTGTTCTGACAGGATTAAGTGTAAAATAACAGGGCTGAAATTGAAATCGTTATCCCGACACGATAGTTTGTGTATTGACAACACACATGTGCCTATTTTCCGCGGATGAAGAACCATCTTGTCAAATAATGGTTATACAACACGTTTAATTTGTTACGCAACGAGGTTCTTTTATCCCGACAAAAATGCCTCAAATCAGGAGAACCGTGTTTATCGCGTATATCTCCCGCCACTTGGCGCAGGGCCTGCACGGTGATGACTAGTTAGATCTTTTTCAAGAAAGTATTTCGACACGGAACCACTCGTGCTAAAACCGTGGAGAAACTTCCCGTGACGACAACAGGCACACGCCAAACGGGGAAAGAATGCATTCTACAGGAACTGCTCGTATTCCTGTTGTAAATTGATAAAGCGGAGGGAATGTGCACTTTGTCCCAGCCAAAAAAAAAACAGAATCGCACGCGGCAACTTGCCAAGTTTGCCATAATCTCGGGGAAAAGGACAGAATATCACCACCCCAGTTCGTGCTGTGCTTACTTTGGACGCGGTCCAGGCTTACTTGTACGTGCCCAGCGACATCGTCAGCTGTGTAAAGCTGAGTTTTAACACATTTTTATTTTGGTCAAGTATCGAGTGGAAATGCTATGGCACGATCTGAGCACAGCAGGTCATCCGAGAAGATCGAAAAACTCCAAAGGCATTTCGCTATTTTGATGCGCATTGTGAAAATCGCAAAGGAGTTCGGTGAAACCGCCTTTGAAGCCCATTTACCATCACTTTTAATCGTCATTACCATTCTAATCTAATGTGCGTTTTAACCGGCAAAAAGTTCATGAGAATTGGTGAGCAAGGCCGTGACGTCACTTCGCAACCAGGGGCGTGTTGAATGAACACAAGAACGGGGTTCCGAATGACGAGAACCAACACGCGAACGGTGTTCGCGAACAAGATTCTCACTCCCCACTTATTAGGATGAAGAACATCAAAAACAAAGATGGCGGACTTATGCTCCTACCGCAACTTGCGTTATTTTTCATTCAGTGCACGAGCAGTAATGATAAAAAAATAAAATGGTAGGGCCTACGTGGCCATAGAGTGGGCTTGTCATTGCCAATACTTATAGCTGTTCCAGGATTTAGATTATTTTCGTTACATCATTAATTAATTCTTTCTTTTCAATTGGCGTTTGAATACGGTGGCTGCCATCTTGAATTTTCGCCCAGCTGCCATCTTGAATTTTCGCCCAGCTGCACTCCATCACTTTGGGCGTTCGCAGTCGGCAACGCGAGAACACTGCGGGTCACTCGAGAACGGGGTTTCTAGTACGCCCCCGAAAGTGTCGGTCTCGCGATTTGGAGAAGGAAACGTTGCCAGATTTTTTTAGAGGTTTATTCCCACTTTACTTCATTCAATAGATGTCAGCCGGTCAATAAAAATAATTCCATTCTCCTTCACAAACGCTTTGATAGAAAAATAAGGAAAAGGACACGTTCGATGAATTATTTGGAAATTATAGGCATAAACGTCTTTGGAGATGACATACATTATGACTGACATAAATAAGCGGAATGAAAGAAAAGATTCAAAGGGTTTAATTTCACTTAACGAGGTTCGAACCAAATAGAAGCTACACAATTTTACAATAGTTTAACCAAAGTATATCCTGTGGTATTTAAGTTTCATTTTTTCCAAGTTGGCTATACACATTTTTATCTTTACATCAGAACAAGATTCTTCTTTAAGATTCCTTTTCATGGACCTTCTATACTCAACAGATGGGTGCATGCTTAAACCCACCTCATTTTATTGGACTTGACATGATCACGAAAGGTGTGTGGGTGAACCTCGTCCTCGAGCTAAAAACGGCTGCGGTGGGCGTCTATTAATACGCGAGAAATCCACAGAGGATCTTGTGTCTTAACTGGTGACTAATGAATCAGACGCGGGGTCTCGATGCAAGGCCCACCTGTCTGCACGTAATTCCAGCCGTCTTTCCTGCTGGGCACTTCGGATGCGGTTTCACAGTGCATTTGATTGGCCATGCGTTTGGCGGGAAGACACGTTCACGTGGCCTTTCGCAAAATGATCTAACGATTCTTCAATTTCACTTTTGTTTTCGTGGAAAAGTGGTTTGCATCAACTCTCTGCCTTCGCGTGTCTTCGATTTCAGTGCCGCGGACTTCCGTGGTCTTCCATCCAACTCTTCATAATTATTTCTTCCTTATAGTTAATAGATTTGAGGTTGGACTGCGGAACTGAACGATTTTTTTAACCCTCCCCCATCCAACAATCCACAAGGTATCTCCACCCACCCGCCCACCCCAAAACTGTATATTACAAATCAATGAACCTATCAACGCAGTACCCAAGATCACGCCTCGAAAATGCCGTATAAATTGTTATTAATAGATTCACAAGATTCACGGTATTTCAGTTTCATAGCTTGTGCAAATGAACGCGTTAATACACTGTCCCTATACCTCCATCATACCATAGAGAAAGGACACATACGTGTTTAAAGTAATAAAAAAAAGCCGCCTAAAATATGCGTTATCAAGGATATTACGACATCTTGCCTTTTTGTTGGGGGGCGGGCGGATGGGGGTTCCTTTTTCTTAGTCATGTTTTATTTGTATAAGAAATTTAAAAAAAATATTGCTGACAGTAAATTCCATATTTTTACAAGACAGAAAATTCATCTTTTTAAAAATAAATCAGTCAGGAAGAAAAATGATCCAAAATTACATGACGGTTACGCAAGCTTGCAGACTATAATTATGAGGTTTAATCATTCACGTTTACTTCCGGTCCATTGTGTTCGTCTTTCAATACCTGGAAAACCGAATTATTAGACAAGGTGAATTATCGGTCGTCACAGAGACTCATGCGTTAACTATTCATGAAATTATCGCTTGTAATTTTCACCAAAATCAGAGCCTTTTAGGCAGATTAATTTCTTTTCGAAATTAATGTCGTACAGAAAGGCCTAAAAGCTTGAACCTCATGCCCGCACCAAAAATCCAGAATATGACCAGCAGTGTTTTTGTTCTATTTTACCTAATTGATAAGTTGTATTTGTATTGCAATACGCACTGCTCATCTATTTTATGTTTACATCACAATGTGGCACAGTCAGTGGTTATACTTAATCAGTCCATCACTAATCTTAATCGATCGCTAAAACGTAAACATACTTTTAAGAGTCGACGGAGTAGTAATCTACAAATTATCAGTCAAAGTAAACCAAGTTCGTTGGAAGAATATTGAACCTAAACATGTCATAAATCACAATTTTGGACCACAAAAAAACCGAAGTCCAAAGTCTGTTGTTGCAACAGAGGTTTCTCGAGGATTACTACACCATGACAAACCAAGTTCAACAACCCCCAAATCGACAGGCTATTAGTATTACCATGGTATTACACACGATGACAGTGCCGTGAATCACGGGAAAACCTGAGCGTTTACACCTGATTAGTAATGATCTACGAATGCACAACGCACCCCTCTCCAGGAAAAATGATATCGCCCGTTTACCTTGGCTAGTAATGAATATTAATTAAAGTTCAGTGTGGGATGTGTGCGTGTAGGAGTGAGTAAGCCACGCCTACTCATGCATATCGTAAGAAGGACTTCCGAGAAACCGCTGTGTGAGTAATCGTATTGGAGCGACAACGCTGCATGACTAGTGCCCGCGCTGCTTGGGCCTATCGCCTCCGCTTGATTTTCGTTACTGTGAGCAAAGTCAAGGAGAAACGGGTCGAATCACCAACTATGGCCCTCATAAAGGGGTCAGGGCCAGGGCTATAACTGCTGTGATTTGACCGGATGGCCAAAAGCAATAAAGGCCATTTCCTTTTTTAATTTTTACTTTTAGGGCGGCCATTAAAAATCTGACGAGATTTTTTTTCTTACGATCTTTCAGTGCAAAATCTACACATCTGCTTTTGGGTGTTTTCAAACCCCGATTTCCTTAATAAAGGATAATGAAAAAGATCAAAATTAATATCTAAACAAAACCCCGAACTTATGATAAAAGTGATATATAATATGAAGTAAATGAAATCGAAACATGCTGGTGTAAATATTCATATCGCACAATTTGCATATTCACGAAACTTACCCTTCCTATTTCTCGGTCGAAGTCGACGTACTCTCTCGTTGGTAACCGCTCCGTCTTGCCGTTTTCATTGTGGTTATTTGAGGGGAAAAACTGAAGGTGGAGATTTGTACCAGTCGAGGAGAAGGCCTGACGAGTAAAGAAACCAAAAATCAACATTTTGAATATTCAAACAATAAAATATTAAAAACAGGATCTTTTGAATTTCGCCCCAAAGTAGCCTATACTGCATTATTAAACAAAAGCTAACGTGGATTAAAGATCGCATTCTGGGACTAAACACCAGTGAAATGATTGTTTTGTTTTGATTTGTTTTCAAAATGATATTGTTATAATCAAAAGCATTGCTTCTTGGCACTGGTTTGATAGAATTAGGCCTAGATAGAATCAGAACACGACAAGGAAACTGGTCTGAAAAGGTACGTGGACAATTTGGGGGAAACCCAGAATCGGTTAAACATTTAATGTAATTTAGTACACAAAGCGCCATTTATAATCATATAAGAATCGCGAACCAAAGAAGCAACGAGTACAAAGGTTTGCGGTAGTATTACCGGTGCATATATTATAGTTCGCGAACTTTTAGAAAACACGCAACAACCTATACATGTACGGATACACGGAACTATAGACTGTACGAAAAAACATATGTAAAAACTTGTTTTTGTCTTCAAGTATTCCGTTGATAAAGCGTGTCCGAAAAGAAACATCTGGCACTTAATCCTACCAAAAGTACACACACTAAAAGTCAGGTTCATGACAAGTACCAACAGACCACTAGAGAGGGTCCATCGTTGCATTAGTTGGACTAATATCCCATCACATGCTTCAGGATATGAATAATAGAATTTGAGATGTAGTTCTAAGTTTTTTGGTGATGATTCGTTGATTTTCTTTTGCAGATGTTGTTCCTTTTTTTCAGTTGCGGTCTCAATTACAGACACCGACTTTTTAACATAATATTCGGGGAAAAGGGACGGCCCGCGAAGAGAAATAATACAGGGTCCATTACAGGATGGGGGAGTACCGCTACATTTGATATTTCCTTCGATAAAACACTACACCACCGCTACTCCATTTTGATTGACACATTTTGAAGGAAACTTGTATTAGAGGGGAACAAACTGGCACAAAATGCAGCCACGTGATGAAACAGTGGCACTAAACAAGCGTGGACTTGTTAAAGTGGTCAAATCGGCCGAGTGAAATTTTGACAACAAGAAACCTCTTTGTTGGCGCACAAAACCTGATTGATTTGCAACAATAAACACCCCTTGAAGTCGACTGGAGGCCTTCACCCTACCGAGGGGTTAAAACACTGTCCTTGGCAATGTGTGCAGTGGGTGATTAAATATAACCTCCAATCGCTGCGTTGAAGCTTTACAATTACATTTTGTGTATTTTTAATAGGACAGCTGGTATTGGCACGGACTGCCGCAATTGCGAGCAGGGGCCAGAAATAGTGTGCAGCAATCTGCGCGAGGCGAGGCTTAAGAGGAACACGAAAACTAGGTCCATTAAAAGAAGTCCTTCTCTTGTATACAACAGTCAATCAACCAAATTTAGAAAGGCGGTTTAAAATGAAGTCATGAAAATGGTACACGTTCATCTGTAAAATGTACAACAGCGAAGTATTCGGCATTGCCTTTCTGTCTGTTTTCTGCTAGAGTTTCGGGCTAGGGTGCTGGCACACTTTTGTCAACCATTTCAAAATTTGAACAGAATGAAGTGTCCTGACGATTCTTTGTTTTTAACCACACAAAATATAACCAGTACTTAAAAGTATACGTCGAAAAAAAACTAACTTAAAATTGGGACCAAGAAATATTTGCATTTTGTTAAAGAAAATACTTGTATGTCTTCGAGACATTTTGACGACCACCATAAACGACCACCAAAGTGGCCTAATGACCAAGTATACCAAAATAAAACATGATGCATAAAATATATAAAAACAAACTTATCAACATATTCACGATTTCACATAGACTTTGTGCACAACAACTGAAGTGGCCTTAGGAAAGTGTATACGTTCTTTCCAAGAGTTTAAATGAAATATGATAACATAAGAAACAAATATGTACTGTACAAAATAAAGATATGTAGAATGAAGTTGAAGATTTTGAAACATGTGGCTTACGAGTTCAGCGTGGCCCTCGCGGCATCCGGCCTGGAAACGGACCTGCCGCTCCTCGTGCGACCGGTCCCTGAACCCCGTGTACTTGATCTGCAAAGGGAAGTATTATTGAGATATCACAAACTGGAAGGAAACGCTTCATAATTAACTTGTTACAACAACATCAGTGTTGGGCTGACAACCGTGTTTAAACCACTTGCGAATCAAAATTGCTCGTTTAAATATTCATTAATATTTTCCTTGGTATTCAGTACATGATTCACTTCAGTGCGTGTGCCGTCAAACTCAGAAATATAAACTCAAAAACCCTGCGGTTTATATTGATTTTATATCTGAAAATGAAAAATGTTGATTTTGCAAAGATCCCCTGTAGTATACGTTTCGAAAAGAATGTTGCAGCCTGACGCCACTTTTTTCTTCATAATGTCATCTCAATGAAAGTAGTCAGTCATTGCAAAAATGATTAAGACATGAATATGGGACTGAGAAACATTTCCAATTTTGTTAGAAAACATAAGATTTTCTTGACTCTCCATAAACTCTGTACACAACCGCTGAACGAAGTGACGTTATTAGGTTGCAACATTCTTTCCAACGTTTCTTTGTGTGTGTGTGTGTCTAATTAGTTATAAATCAAGTGAATGATCTATCTACATATTATTATCTACATCTGAGTTAATACTGGACAGGACTCGTCCAGCATATGTCCAGACAACAATTAGTTAAATCAATTCAACACTCGCTTTATATATGGGTTAAGATACAACACATCGAGTCTTAATTCCTTTTGGAGTGGGGCAAAAAAAATATTTTACTAGATACAACTACAAGATTGAACTACGTCTTGGGAATTTCTTTCTTCGTACCATGTTCGTACTTGTGGAATGGCCATGCCATAAACCGGCCTTTACGAATAGCATTACGCAATCGTTTTTGTGCCATCACAAAAGTGAAAGAAATACAACCAAGCACGTGCATTATTACGACACTTCAAATACTTCATGGTTCATGTTGCATGCGCAAGCATGTATCGCATTTGACGCGCCACGATACACGATGTAGTTATACTACATAGTGCGAAATGTGTGTTCAGTACCGATATACAATATCACACGTTGAACTGGTCGTTGTAATTGGTTGACCCTAAATATAAAGACCCAGTCTTTGCGGTTAATATCCCCACTTCCGGGGTTACCCCGATAATAAACCGACTCCCCAGGCCAGGAAGGATCAACTTTTTCTCTCTCGCAATGAACAAGAAATAACCCTTACCTCTGACTCACGTCCAAGTTTTCTGAACAGTTCATCGTTCTCGAACTTAGCTCTCTGATCGGGAACAACTTTCGGCATGTTGACTGTTTTGTTGTGGTTATATTCCAATGTGCAAAGAAAAAAAGCAATCAAACTTTGAAGCCAGTAGTTGTGTGTGTATATTCCAATAGTAAACACGCAGTGCTAAAACGCCGTGTTGATATCACCATTCCGCGGTCACAAAATGACAATACACAGAAACCAGCGCTCTCTATGTGTGCATGCTGCGTCACTCAAGAGAGGCTACGTGTGACGTAGCACGGGCCATTCATGCATACGACCGGAAATATCTAATGAGCTCCGCCCATAATCGGCGCAGCCATTGGTCAGTTGGCCGCGACGTCATTTCCTCGACGTACCATTCCAGTTAATGCGTGGGGGTGGCGGTGGTAGGATCGGAGGGACAAACACTAACAGGAAATTCTCGGAATCGCATAGGAGGCAATGGAAGCGCGTAGGCGTTTTTCTCGGTTTCCGATACGCCGTGTTAATGTCATCATGTTTAATTTCTAAAGCCCAGCTGTGTACAAACATGAACTTTCACACAATTAAATATTTTCCTAGCGGTATTTTCAGGACCAAATACATGTATCAAATGAAAATCCACCCACTAACTTCTGAAAACTTGGTGTTGCTGGCAAAACGACGCAAATATTTTGAACAAAATATAAATGTCGACTGTATAATTTAAAGGCTATTACTGACACTCGGTGAACTGTACTAAAGCTTTTATATCGCAATCCCAACTCTGCAGTTTCCTGATTCATTTTCACTTTTAGCTTTTATTTGTTATTTTGGTGTCTGCAATCCTCAGAAATAAGGGGGAGCTAGTATTCAATCAATCGTGGGCGCGCGTCAATCGGTGGCGCGCGGACAGGGGGGGACAAGTCCTTCCTCCAATTTTTAAGGTGGGAATATCATATTGTTGGTCTCCCCCACTTGTTTCGTCCCCGAATAAAAATTGTAGCCCCAGGTGATTCTATAGCTCAGAATAGCTGATCCAATGACTCCAAACTCGAAAATGTTTCGATGATCTGTTGATATTTAGAATTCAAAATGTTTCGGGGCACGGCTTAAGTGGGCCCCGAACCCAACGCCGTCAGGGCTTCACGCTTTGCGCTCGCGTTAGTTCTGATCAAGGTACATCCCCCCCCCCACTTTTGAGAAGCGATTGACGCCCTTGCAATCAATGACTGACCTTCAATGAAACCACTTTTAAATTCTAAGATAGGGTTCCCAGATATTTCCCTGTGAAATTTCCAAAATTCCATGAAAATATATTTCCACTTTATATCTTTAACGAGGTTGCTGTAAGTCAAGATGTAGTTGCAGCTAGCACGCTGTAAACAGTTGTAATTGTCTGGAGAGGCCACTAATTAATAGTCACACAGCATAAACACTAAAAAGTCACAAATACTGAAATTTGTATCCTTGTGGAGACATTTCTTTGTTCTCGTGTACTAAAGTTTTCGAGTTTGAAAGTACAGTTTCAAAATGCTCTTATTTTAACCAGAATTAATTTCCTTGGCTGAAATTCGGACTAAATATCCCTTTTCTAAAACTCTATTATTTGCGATAAATAAACATACCTTGGAAGTTCCTAGTCTTTGAGTAAAATCCATATTTCGTGAAAACCTTGTGGAGACGTATATTCATCTATAGAAATTGGCTTTGCCCTGCGAGGACGTATACAATCTTGTGTTCCCTATTGTGTGCATGTCTCCAGAGGGCACGGTGTATCAGATCACTATAGCATGCAAGTCAGTCAATCAATGAACACAACTTGGACACGTGGCACAAGACGCACATACGCCAAACTGGCAAAAACCTTTCCATTCTGGGTCACTGTTAAATTCCCCGAGTTTTCCCTGTTTTTTCCCAAGTCCCTAAGTTTTTCCTGACTGGAAAATTGCACACTCACTTTCAAGGTTTCCCTAATTACCAGAGTTGCTGTGAACTCGGTACTTCCTTACTTGGTACTTGGTAGTTATCCTCCTGAATACTTCACGTGGAAGTCTAACAAGGAGGCCCTGGGAAGTTGTTGGCCTTGGGAAGTGGAACTAAATTAAATCCTTAAAGGTGTTTTTCCTGACTGGAAAATTGCACAAATTGAACCCTGCTAACAGCAGACATTTGAACTACAGTGAGAGATTGAAATTAAGATCATCGCAATGATTCATTGCAATTTTTGACAGTGCTTTAATGTGTAAAATAGGCATTAGATAAATCTAAATTTAATTTTAAAAAATGTAGTAGAGTTGAGTTTCAAACGGGCAACTGTCAGACATATGTCCAATGAACATGACAAGTAAAAGATGGGAAACATAAACGAGTCAAGATTGGAAATGTATAAAGAAGTCATCACTGCACATTGGCAATTAAAACCAATGCCTCCTCAAAAACAAACAAACAAACACCCCAACAAATAACAAACAAGCAAAACCAAAACAAAAGCAAAAGTGCTGTAAAAAAAAATGAAACAGATAACGTTTTATCTCAACCTTTATATACCTGTACCGTAAAAAAAACTCTTTCACTAGTAACTTACACTAATTAGACATTTTCTTTTTCATTATTTGATAAAATATTGAATGACAATATAGTACTGAAAAACACACATTATATTTGATGGCAATAAAAATGAGGCTTCAGACACCTAAAGAAAGTCTTTGCACTGGATACCCATCCACAGGTACGGGTACCCCACACCACACGTGTACTGTGCAACAGAAAGAAATACACTCAACCGAAAAAGAAAGCCCCCCCCCCCCTTCCAATACTTTTTTGTGTAACTCAAAAACTACTGAGCACATCTTGCTCAAATAATGACTAATAAGCACAGAAATTCCTTAACAATCCAGCCATACTCCTTATTTTGCCCAAAACGGTGATGATGTGTATGAATTTATGCAATTTTATGACAAATGATACCAAAAACAGTTGCACTTTTGTATACGTGCAAGTTGTGGTCTCGGTACCATTTGTCATAAAATTGCATAATTTGGTACACATCATCACAGTTTTTGGCCAAACAAAGAGTATGGCTGGGTTGCTAAGGAATTTCTGTACTGATCAGTCGCAATTTGAGAAAGATGTGCCCAGTAGTTTTTGAGTTAGACAAAAAAGTATTAAGGGGGGACTTTCTTTATTGGTTGGGTGTAGGACACTGATACCAACAGACAATGTAACGTTACCTTGTCTATGGTTAACAGCATCTGTGAAATAGCAAAATATAAAACGCTGCAAATCCCTAATACATGTAGATGTAACCCAAGGTTATTGACGTAAGGTTACATATCGCTACTACTCGAAGATTTTGATCATCTTTATTTTTTCGACTTAAAGTTACATTCCTGTGCAACAAAGTCTGCCAATTTTTTTTTTAAATTTGACTTGGGCGACTCTCAGTCGCCTGGACATGCTGAATCTGGGTTTATAAGCATTGAATAGCCATTGAATAGGCATTGAAGTTGGTGACATCACGTGAGAGTGGCCCAAGTGAAATTTACATCCTTTCACTTAATTGATTGTATTTCTGGATCTAGGGACCCACATGGAATGGGGTAAAAAGGAGTGGATTGAGAAATAGTCAGGCTTTAAATGTAATAATTTCTTTGAAAAAAACCCAAAACATTCTGAATGTTGCATTTTATGGGCACATTTTGTTTATTGGAGTTTCAATCTGACAAAAAAAAAGGATTCATTTTCTGAATTGCTATTTTCCCAGCAATACAAAAGCCTATCCACTTTTGAATGAGACATCGACTGAAAAAAAAGTTGGTCCATGTTAAGATATTGAATTATTACTTATTACAATTTCGAATTATTGACAATAATTCCGTTCTTGCAGGGAAGGCTGGTTCCCGACCCACAACTAGTATCGATAATGTATGGACTGGGGGCCAGTCTGCTCGCAAGAGAGGTCCTGTTTCAATTTTCATTTGCCATTTTCAAGGGTATTTTCGTGCCTTTTTGGTTTTTATGTTAATGCAAATTTCCATATTCATGAGCAAAAGTGTGACGTCATTTCGGGCAGAACCCTCAATGTTACAGCTTTATCACCGCAAGTAGCTGCCAAAATTCTGGATATTTTGCTGTTGTAAATTTTGGTTGTGTCAGTACATGGCAGTAAGCCAATGAGCAAACTTTTCTCATAAATGTTTTCAATGAGCAAATTTTTGGGTTCACAATTTGAACAGAAAACCCCTAAACTGAACAGTGTCTTCCTGAAATGACATCACAGCAACAGTGCCCTTCGTTGTCCGGCGGAAAAACATTGACAACTTTTAAATGATTAAAGTGCACTTTCGATTAAAACATCCAAACATAGATGTCAAATAGTTTTCATACATTTAAGAGAAGTAGAAAAATGCACAAAATGTGTTCCTCAGAAAAAAATAACTTTACTTCAAGAAAAGTTTCTATATATGGCTCCAATAAACATGATTTCTCCAGTGTTTGTACCCACAAATTGGTGCTCGCAATGTGGACGAATGCAATGTAGGAATAATTTTTCACAATGGCGATGGGCTTCAGGACTACTTTTAGGGGAGATCATCTTTGGGTGGAAATTTCTCCCAAAAGTCATCGATTAACCCCCAGAAAATTGAACAGAAAATGGAAGATGATGATATATGCTCTAATTTGATGTGTGTCTCAAAACACCTTGGAGAGTTGTGAGTATTTGGCCTAGCGGTTAAGAACACTGCTCTGGTGCTACAGAGACAACAGTGGCGTGGGTTCGAGCCCACCGGGTGGACACTTGTGCCCTTGAGCAAGGCACTTGACCATTATTGCTTTGTCCTTCGGATGGGATGTAAAGCCGTAGGTCCCGTGTGTTGTGAAATCCAATGCACGTAAAAGAACCCAGTGACAATATCGCTAAGAAAAGGGGTTTGCCCCGGTGTTTCTGGTCTACTGTAAAAACTCCCACGCGGAGTATTTAGGAGATGAGCCAACCAAGAACCAAGAACAAAGTATTTTCCCTTGAAGTGGGGGTATTTATCACTGGGGTCTATGGCAGTTTATTTACTGATCTGCAAGACCTTAGTGTTAATTACGTGCACTGCCCAAAATTATTTAAAATACTCGGAACTCTCTGAGGTGTTCAAGATACGCATCAAATTAAAGATTATTTCAACATCTTTTGTTTTCTGTTCAATTGTTGGGGGTAATCCAATGACTTTTGGGAAAAATTTCCATCTGAAGATGATCACCCCTAAGATAAGTCCTGCAGCCCATCGCCGTTTTGAAAAACCATGCCTACGTTCCGTTGCAAAATAGAGCGCTTTCAGGACCCAATTTCATCCAAATTTAAGAAGGAATACAAGCTCACAGTCCTGTGCACAGCTTCGACCCTTTTTTTTTTTTTTTACAAACCCCCAAGTTCATGGCCCCAAAAATGCACTCATACCAAAGAATTTGAAGGCATGCAAATCGTGATCTGGCCGGCATAGGCAAATTTGGACTGATTTACTGGTTTGGACCCCTAAGTACTATGGGCCTTGCGTCTTTGACCGAGGCCAAAGGTCACGGTGGTGAAGAGCCTCGCGAGCACCAACAGCAGCATGACAAAGATGATCATGCACATGACGATGACGTAATGACTGTCAAACACTGTGTTCTCTTAAGTACTATGAGCCTTGCGTCTTTGACCGAGGCCAAAGGTCACAGTGGTGAAGAGCCTCGCGAGCACCAACAGCAGCATGACAAAGATGATCATGCACATGACAATGACGTAAAGACTGTCAAACACTGTGTTCTCCTAAGTACTATGGGCCTTGCGTCTTTGACCAAGGCCAAAGGTCACGGTGGTGAAGAGCCTCGCGAGCACCAACAGCAGCATGACAAAGATGATCATGCACATGACGATGACGTAATGACTGTCAAACACTGTGTTCTACTAAGTACTATGGGCCTTGCGTCTTTGACCAAGGCCAAAGGTCGCAGTGGTGAAGAGCCTCGCGAGTACCAACAGCAGCATGACAAAGATGATCATGCACATGACGATGACATAATGACTGTCAAACACTGTGTTCTACTAAGTACTATGGGCCTTGCGTCTTTGACCGAGGCCAAAGGTCACGGTGGTGAAGAGCCTCGCGAGCACCAACAGCAGCATGACAAAGATGATCATGCACATGACGATGACGTAATGACTGATGCTGGTCCCTATATCCAACCAGCTCCCGGAATCTCTGACCAGGAAGAAGAACTGCAGCGCCAGGCCGTCCGACAAGAGGAGCACCACCAGAAAGAGACTAATGTTCGGCAACCGCTGCAGTAAGTGAATGGCCTTGAAGGTGCAGGTTACCAGCAGGAAGAGGATTACGATCTGTGGATTAAGGTGGATTAAGGTGGATTAGTGGGATAAAGATGGATGTATTGGATTAATAATTACAACCTTAAAGACACAGGTAATCAAAGGTCCAATTCAAGATCAAATTTGGGGGATTACATTAAATTATTGACAATAACCATTATTATTATTTTTTTTGGGAATTTGGGGGAATGTTAGAAAAATTCTCGAGTGGTTTTTAGGCTCACCTTCCACAATAGAAGTGACCCCATTACAAAGGGACTGAAGACCGTCAAGAAACAATAAACCGATGCTGGATCAAAACTGAAAAAAAAAAAAATGCAAAATGACTAAGATGTTATGCATTAGGTTTTAATCTTAAAAACATTTTTTTTTTTACGAAAATTACTTTTACAGGAACATTTTTATCTTCATTGAAGATTTATGGAATTGTTAATTTTATGTTGCTGATTTTATTAATAACAATTTATATTCTTTCACGTCAATAGAATTTATTATAACTTATATTCTTTCAATATATACAATTAGTCAGTCAGTGTTTTAGGAATATAAAAATGGAGGACTATAATTTTTTTAGAACTGTTAAAAACATTTTGATGTTTGGAAGACTGTCAGAAGTTTCAGCTCACTTTTGGCACATTTTAAAAATTTATTTACTAAAAATGCAACATTTTAGGTTCACTCGTACCCACCGGCCAAACAGGGCATTTGGAAGGGCTGATTTCTTCTGGGATGCATGATGTAATTTCTTCGAGTCCCCATTGGATAGAATTTGTATGAAAAGTAACACGGGTCAATCCTTCCGCCTGCACATAATATGCGCGCACAGAATGTACGTTCATTGGTTGGGACGGATGGCTCCCCACAATGCTTTGAGTGCCTGTGCTTCCATCAAAAAAATTTGTGCAGGAGTTAGCCCTTCCCAGCACCCGATTTCATCAAACTCTTTGTAACTTACGATGCATCGCAGTGATGCGATGCATCGTATCTCTACGATGCGTCGCAGCTGCGACACGTCCTGCGATCAATTTCACAAAACACGTCGTAGGTGCGACGCATCATAGTTGAATTTATAGCACAACTCGGTGACTGTTTTATGTATTTAGTCCGCGAACAGTAAATAGTTGTCTGACATTCAACAAAGAGTCGTCGGATCTCAGCGCAAAATTTGTTAAAACGTTAAACAAAATGGCGGCCGTGCGATGCAATTTTGAAGAAAAACAGGCTGTCAGTGGACTGTATAGCTACTTTGAAATTTCAACTGCAATATTCCAGTCATTTTTCAATGAATTTTCTATTTACAACTTTACACACATTGCATCGGTATTATAATCTCGTTTATGTAATGTTTATGGCATTAAACTGGCTAAGAAAGAGACTCTTCTTATTTTGTGATGACCACTAGACACGTCGTAACTTGCGTGGCGTTTTAAGACATTGTCAAGGAACTTATGACGCGTTCAACACATCGCAACTTTCGTGAAATGGATGATACGACGCGTCACGAGTTGCACGTCGCAACTCGAGTTGCAATGCGTCGCAGCGCTTCGTGAAATCAAGTGCTGGGACCTGTTTGGCAGTAGGAATGAGCGAACATTTTAGGGGGCTAAAGACCATATTGTTTTCTTTTCTTAGGGTGGGAAGCTTAACCAGCACATCTCTGAAACACAGTCTGGAGTGAATATCCTTGTCTAAGAGAACCCTTCTTTATGTCAGTTCACCTGTTTATGCTGGCTATATTTCCCGTTCCGAAGAAGGCGGTGAGAATAAAGAAAATGAAGAAGTAAGCACAGCGGACGTCGTCCAGGACCAGACGCCTCGGGGGTCCGCTCAGGATCGTTGATTCCTCGCCAAATGACAGATCTATAAGCTGATTTGAGAACCAGATTAGAGATTATTATTGATATCAGGCTTCCAAGTAGTAAAAGTAAATAAGCGCATTGTACACTTTCGGAAACAGCCCCAGACGACTATACATGTTTGATTTTGGTTACTGTGTAGTCATCTGGGCATTTTATGATCTTGACACGCATTTCGCAGCTTCCCGCTCAAGAGCGTAGTGACTCACAGTTCTTAACAAACCAACAGACCGTAGCGCGCAGTACTGGTACCGTACTGGCATGGGGGGGGGGGGGGGGGGCGGGGCACTTGGCCCCCCAAGTTGTTTCCTTGCCCCTTCCAGTCCCCCCTTCCAGTCCCCCCCTCCCAGTTTTTCCTCAATACTTTTTCTACAAATAGATAAATTATGCTCATTTTCTTCCCTGTTAAGATTCATAACAAGTTGAAGATTGAGAGAGTGAATCATCGGTTCTGTGGACACATTTTGGGCCAATGAAAGCATTATCCGCTCCGTTCACAAGTACCCCCTCACCGGCAAAGAGAGTACAGTTGGGGGTGACCGACCGACGCCATCTTGCCTGACTGCAATTCATTTCCCGCGAAGCGCAGCCACTGCGTGTACATAGTACAAATCCCCTGGTGTACGTGCGTCACACACAAGGAACGGTGCGCTTCAACCAGCGAAATGTTGCACCCATGGGACGTCGTTGCTAGGTAAAAGGGTGCCCTCTTTGTCAGCGCACGGAGCTCATAATCATTGGTACTTTAACTAAAACATGCCACACATGCATTTATACAGCCGTATACATTTGTTATACTAGGGATGAATGTTCCGGCTCTATTACCAATGTTCTTACGTGCCTTTAAAAAAAATTGCATCTTTTACCTTGACCTTTGAAGACTGGGACAACCTGTGTTCGCACAGAAGCCAGAAAAACATGAGGTAACAGAGGGCTATGCAAAACAAGCCTTCATGTCTGGGTTTAGATAAACATTCAGGAAAGAATTTAAACAATCTTGAGAGATTTGGAAAAAAGTAACAGAAGATTCTTCAAAGTTGCAACACCTGTGCTATTTTTGAGTTTCATCCAAAGATTACTTCCTTTTCTAAACTGTAATTTTTCTTGCCATATAAAATTTATTCACTTTTATAAATGAGACATCGACCAAAAAAAAAAATTGGCCAAATTTTAATTATTGAATCATTACTTTATGGATTTTGAATGACTGGCCGCCCAACTATAATTCTGGCATGGGCTGGTTCCTGCCCCATAATCAGTACTGATAATGTATGGACCGGGAGCCAGTCTGCTCGCAAGATTTGTTTGTGCCTTTAATAAAAACCCTTTTTCAGAGGGCTGCAGATGCTGCCCTCCAATAAAAAGGACGTTTTGGTTTGAAAAAATGCACAAGTTGAACATTTATTAAAGAGAAAAAAATTGGATTTGATGATGAGCACAGAGAATGCAACCTTAAAATCTGTAGGGTTCTTTTTGTTGTGTGAACAGGTCATAGGCGTCGATTGGTGGGGGGACCCCCCACCACTTTTTAAAGTGGGGGGATTTCATATCGTTTGGTCCCCCCCCCCCCCATTTTTTGTCCCCGAATACAAATTGTAGCCTACATTTGATACTATAGCTCAGAATAGCTGATTGAATGAACCAAACTCGAAAAGATGTTTAAATGATGATCTTTAGCTCAAACAAATTTGTTAAAGTGGTCAGAAATTGCCTCAGATCGCACCACAGAGCGTCTAGAATCCATAATTTTTCGGGGCCCTGAAGCAGACACGCCACCCCACACTGTTATGGCTTCGCACCCGCATTAGTTTTGATCAAGGTATGTCCCCCCCCCCCCTTTTGAGAAGCTATTGACGCCCTTGGAACATGTTGGCGTGCACAAACAGAGACTCACAGAAGTCTTACAGCTGATAGAGTAGAAAAATTACCAAATTTGATTAATTTTTGTGATGGTAATTTGGCCCCTTTGAAATTGTAAATAAAATGAAAGGATACGATGTACTGGTCAGCAGGAACACTGCGGCAAACGCCATGGCCGTGCTTAGCAGTCGCGAAACAACATCCAATGATGTAAGCCCGGGTATAAGAAAGGAGGAGCCAAAGATAGCCCAACTCAGACACTGGTTGGTGAGAGGGAGCCCTCGCTTGTTGGCCAGGCTGGCCCAGGTGCTGTTGACGATGTACACCGAGAGGAGCAGAATGAGGAGTTGGAGAGGGCCGATGGCGGGGTGGATGGGGTTGGTTGGGGGGCGACGGTGGGCGCGGAGGTAGAGAAGTGCAGCCAGGCTACTCAGGAGGAACAAAACGCCGGCCAAAGTCCTAGACATTAAAAAAAATGGTGAAGATTTACGACAATTAGTTTTTATAATAAACATTTTATGCACACCTTTTAATTCATTTCGTTGCGTGCATGGAAGAAGATCGTTAGGGCGGAAAAATGAGTCAATAGGTCAAATTAGGGTTTTTTGTGTCATCGATAGAGCATTAAAATATCTTTCATTTGGTACATATTTTGTCTCAATGGGCTATGTCACTCCGACATAATTAACAAAATTAAAAAGATGGAAGGAGGTTTTTCATTATTTTTGCGTGTCTCTGCTGCTAACGTCCCTTTCCTTGGCACGCGACAATTTGTGCTTGAACTGTCCGAGTTCTGACTAGCTGAGTCCGGATGGGAACTTACACCCAGTAAAACCTTCAAACGTTTGCTGTAGGGAAGGCTAAAGTCAAAACAGTAATTGGGCCTTTTTTTCCAGTGTACAACTTTACTTCCCATAGACACATGTTCTTACTAGCCGTAGCCATTCGTACGCAGCCAAAATGAGCAGGCAGACGGACAACTCACAACTTCTCTAACTAAACAAATAAAAGAAACACAAGCAAATAGACGAACTCTACTGGTGTCGCATTGTTACTTACACTAAGTTGATATTGGCATCCCTACCGACCACGGGTAGCATCGGGAATACAGCCACAGCTAGGCAAGACACCGTCCAACCAGCAACCAAACCCTACATAGAAAAAGGAATAACATTGACATCAAATGACACCATTGTAAAACAGCGATGATTGAAGCTAGAACATCATGGCCCAATTTCATGTCTCTACTAAGCACAGAATTCCACGCTTATGATGCCCTGTTCTGTGCTAACAGCGCTAAAGAATGTGGTTTTTGGCAACCCTGTAAGCACAGAATCCTTAAAAGTAACAGGATGTACGCATGCGCAGAAGCCGAAATTCTTCGCTAACCCGTGAAATATGCTGACCGTAAATGTGCTTTAACCTTACATACTCTTTGTGGACCTGTGAACAAAAGAGGTCCACAGGATGCAGGAAGTGTGAACGCTTTGTGGACTTGCACACATCCACACTAGGTTTCCCCCCCTCTGGAAGACAGCTTTAGAGGCATTTTGGGGTTAGGTTTATCCGTGGCAAAATGAAGAGGAACACTCAAGGAAATCATGATAAATAAATTGGGTTGAAAGAATGTTCACAGTGGGAGTAAAGAAAGTTTTTTCTTCGCTTTTTCTTAACTATACGAATACTAAGGAATGTCCACAGTAGGAATGTAAGGCTGCGTGAGCACGTGTGTTTGAAGCAACTGTTTCGAACGATCATAATTTGGGAAGCTAATCATCCTTACTGGCAGCTGAGAAGCTGAATTGCGAAGGACGCGGCTACAACGTGGTCGAGCCGAAGGCATGTAAAGGGGCCTTTGGCAGCCAGCCAATCGACCCATATATGACCATGGAGCACAGCCTAAGATTGAAAGTGTTTGATTTTGCCGGAGGAAGGAAAACCGGAGGGCCCAAAGAAAAACCCTCGTGGCACAGGAGAGAACCAACGCACAACTCTACTCACATATGGCATGTATGGTCTGCAGACCGGATTCGAACCAGGGCCACAGTGGTGAGAGGCGAGCACTTTTATGCACAAGCCACTCATACCACCCATGCCATCTATGTTTTTCCCATGGCGGTGTGAAACACACCGCGGGCTTGAGCTGCTTATGTTGGTTGGTCAGTAAGTTGGTGCTTTGGTGGGTGGGTAGGTGGGTTGGTTGGTTGGTGACAGTTTACTTGGGGTGTATTATACTGTTCCATGCCCCGCGTGTATCACAGCTTTGCCAGTGAGTTTCTATGGAATATCTACAGCTTTGTGACACTGATGCGCATGCGTCTAATTTGCATATTAGATCACACCCCATTGCATTGTAAAATTCGCGGTTGTACTGTTCATGGAACCGCCGTGGGTTGTACCACTTGGTACTTGTTAAGTTTACATCACGCATCAAAAAAAAATCCACAAAGAAAAGTCAATGCAAACCTTGCTATGCTTCCTGAGTTCTGTGAAAAATGGCCACAGCGCGATGCCCACAAGGCCTAGGGACAGCACCTCCCTCCAAAACATGCTCAGGACAACAATCTCCATGGCGATGACCCCGAGCACCAAGTAGCCAATCACCTTGCAGAATCCGATAGTAGAGACCGTGTGACTTATAGCACGATAGAAAACTCTGTACCTGCGTAACGGACACGAATTAAAATAAACAGCAATTAATCATGTGGGACACGGATGCACTACATTTTCCGTGTTCCGCTCGTGCTCGTGTGATAACGAATTTAGCTTCAAGCAAACTTGACACACAGTAATAAATTGAAATGCTTATATAGCGCTTTCCATCGTATCAACGCTCTCAAAGCGCTATACAATTATTCCCCCGTTCATCAGGCCACGGGACCACGCGGCAGCCGATATCAGTGCACATTCGGTCCTCTACCCTCACAGGTACCCATTCATACTCCTGGGTGGAGAGAGGCGATTGTAGTTAAGTGTCTTGCCCAAGGGCACAAACAGCATGTTCCTCGCAGAGTTCGAACCCACGCACCATCGTACATGAGTCAAACACCATAACCAATGGACCATGGCCTTCTACAGTAAAGATGGTACACGGACGCTGCACACAAACATTTCAGTGGTTTTCCTATTACAAGTGCACCAAGTGGGAATGGTGCGCGCATCTTAGAATACCATGATACGTTGAGTGCGATATGGGCCATGGTATATATGATAATGCCACACTGTTGTTGCCATGGACCGACCAATCAGGATCGAGAATGCAAGTTTGCTTGAAGATAAAGTTGTATACCCGTCATAAGGGCCAATATTGAACACTATGAGTTAGACCTGACACTCTATATTGCAAACACAATCCATGCTCCGAATTGTCCACTGCAGGCACTTCCAAATAGGGATGGCCATAATTTCTGACCAATCAGATTGTTCTTTACAAAAGTTGTTTGTTTTGGAGAAATACACTTACACAGGGAACCACTTTTTTTCTGATTGATTGAGACATGTATCCTATCTGATTAGGTAGGTAGGCCTGCAGACAGAAATCCTTGACATTCTTCTACAGTTGTAGGAAAAATATTTGGTAGAGTTGGGTCCTTCTACATCTCAAGTAGTCAGTTTGGTAAAAAAAACCATCCCCTCCACCAAACCCCCCCCCAAACAAACAAACAAACAAACAAACACACAGATAAATAAGATATGGAATTTTGTAGTGTAAACAACTGGGGGTTTGTGGTAACACCATGTGGAAGAATCTCTTTTGGGAAGATGTGTGGTTCTGAAAAGAACCGCTTGGTTGTGAACTCGACGTTCCGATCAGTATGCTCTGATCGTCTTCAGGAGAAAGCCAAACGGAGTGGATGAGGCTGCATTTATAGAGCTGGATGATTACTGAGGCGTGGAGTTGTCGATGCTGAAGGCCCCAACTCCAGTCGATGTTCCAACCAGAGCATACTGATCGGAATGTTGAGTTCACAACCAACCGGTTCTTTTCAGAACCACACAACTTCTCAAAAGAGATTGTGCCACATGGTGTTACCGCAAACCATCACTACTAACCACACCGATGGTATCTCTTTAGCCCGTCGTGACATAAAAGTTAGACTTACTGTTTTGCGGCAGTATACCACAGCGGAACAGGCAACAAGCAGTACACGTAATACATCAGCGGTGAAGACTGGATGGTCAGAAGAACAACGATCACTGCGGCAAGGGTCGTGAAGATGACGTCGGGCCCTCGCTTGGCAAGGGCGTGAGAGTCACCAAGGCCATCTAGCTTGGTCCTTCTCGGCTGGGGAAGGGAGGTATGGAAGGACAGGAGGTGCTGTAGGATGTAGGCCATCCAGCCCAGGTAGCCCATTAAGATGCTGGTCCTGACGAACAGAAGATGAAAACAAGGGACAAAATGTAGTCAGAGGCCGGTAGTTGAGCGCTGCGGTCCGATGGTTACGATGTTCGACCCACGTGCCATGGATTCAAACTAAGGATGTGAAGTTTACAAGTTTAAACATTTAAATTAAAACAATTCTAAATCCGTTTACAAATTTTCAAAATGTTTAAACGAAACCCGAATTAAAAAAAGGGACCTACATTCACCGTTCACGCATCTTTCTTTGAGTTGAACCTACAGAGCATAAATATTTAACGATGTTTTCAAACCTATTTAATTTTAATACAAAAACTTTGAAGTACTCCAATGCTTGATTACATTTGGGGCAAACGTAGTCACGTTTTTACTTTTTTAATGACTGCCATTGCTGATTTATCATGTCAATCACGCCGGTCTGCAGACATAATGAGCAAGCGTCAGCCCTTGTGAATGGCTAAACGTTCAAACCTATTATATGGTTCTTAACATATTTGTTAATAGTTTACAAAATTAAACGCAGAGTCACATCCTTAGTTCAAACCCCGACTTGGAAAATGGTGCTTGTGCCCTTGGGCTGGACAATTTACTGCAATTGCCTCTGTCCACCCAAGAGTATGGGTACCAATGAGGTAAGAAACCAGACACGCTGATCTCGGCTGCAGAAAGTCGTATCATGGCCTGATAAACGCGATTTGAGACCTACCATTGGAAAGCGCTATACAAGACCAACGCATCATTATGCTTAGCAAGAAACCAGACACGCTGATCTCGGCTGCAGAAAGTGGTATCATGGCCTGATAAACGCGATTTGAGACCTACCATTGGAAAGCGCTATACAAGACCAACGCATCATTATGCTTAGCAAGAAACCAGACACGCTGATTTCCGCTGCAGAAAGTGGTATCATGGCCTGATAAACGCGATTTGAGACCTACCATTGGAAAGCGCTATACAAGACCAACGCATCATTATGCTTAGCAAGAAACCAGACACGCTGATCTCAGCTGCAGAAAGTGGTCTCATGGCCTGATAAATGCGATTTGAGACCTACCATTGGAAAGCGCTATACAAGACCAACGCATCATTATGCTTAGCAAGAAACCAGACACGCTGATCTCCGCTGCAGAAAGTGGTATCATGGCCTGATAAACGCGCTTTGAGACCTACCATTGGAAAGCGCTATACAAGACCAACGCATCATTATGCCTAGCAAGAAACCAGACACACTGATCTCGGCTGCAGAAAGTGGTCTCATGGCCTGATAAACGCGATTTGAGACCTACCATTGGAAAGCGCTATACAAGACCAACGCATCATTATGCTTAGCAAGAAACCAGACACGCTGATCTCCGCTGCAGAAAGTGGTCTCATGGCCTGATAAACGCGATTTGAGACCTACCATTGGAAAGCGCTATACAAGACCAACGCATCACTATGCTTAGCAAGAAACCAGACACGCTGATCTCCGCTGCAGAAAGTGGTATCATGGCCTGATAAACGCGATTTGAGACCTACCATTGGAAAGCGCTATACAAGACCAACGCATCATTATGCTTAGCAAGAAACCAGACACGCTGATCTCCGCTGCAGAAAGTGGTATCATGGCCTGATAAACGCGATTTGAGACCTACCATTGGAAAGCGCTATACAAGACCAACGCATCATTATGCTTAGCAAGAAACCAGACACGCTGATCTCGGCTGCAGAAAGTGGTCTCATGGCCTGATAAACGCGATTTGAGACCAAGACCAACGCATCATTATGCTTAGCAAGACTGGGTGTTGATGGAGGTTCAACACTGCCTATAAGCTATAAATGGGACCTATGAGGGCAGTGATGATGGTTATTGTGATTGAACTAGCTTCCTTGTGCCTAACAGGCTGCATCGAGCTGTATACTCCCCAGGGAGCTGAGATGGTATATGGAATGTTTAATTGGCCCAATGATTAGGGGTAATAATAATATAAAGCGCTTTGATCTTAGTTAAAAGCGCTATATAAGAATCTGTTATTATTATTATCATCATTATTATTAAGCTGATCACTTATATTGATTGCCCATGTTTTTTTTTAGTATTGGCTTCGCAACATGCAGTTGATGTCAAACTCACCCTAACAGGAACCTATCGTAGTTGTGGTAGTAGTTCAAACCATCCAGAGCCCTCTGTATCAAATCATGGGTTGTAGATATCTGAAAGAGTTCAAAATCGTTTTTTTTTTACTCCCAACACAATAGACTTTTAAGGCCACTAATGATAAAAATCACTGATTTTCTGGATGCATCAGGAATATTTTTTGCAATGTAATACAGTGTAATACAAGCATTAACGGCTTAAAGCTATAGTCCATCATTTGCAGCCATCCGAAAAAGTAACTGGCGTATTATTGTTGAAAAACATACTTGGTTGAAAGATAGTAAGTGAACTAAACTCCCTTTCAAATTATCCTTTCTGGCAAGCTGTCATTTTGAAGTAATCAACGAAAGATGGCCTTTCCAACGGTGTGTCTTCACTGTAGCAAAATTTAAATTAGTAGTTGTTATTCAGCACAGCGCGCGTAATCATTGGCACGACGCACAGGTGCGCGCGGCTGCTATAATTCCTCAGATCAGTGTGCGACATCGCGTATAGCTGCAATTCAAAACAATTCAAAACATGATTCAGCAACTTTTGATTTGAAATTGAGATCCTAGAATGCTGTTTTTCTCGGAATATACAGCTGAAGCTGAGCTGAAACTTCATCAGGTTAGTTGTTCAGTATCCTTCATTAGATTTTGAACACTTTTGTTGCTTCAAACGAACAAAATGCACAAATTACAAATGATGGACTATACCTTTAATTAATAATCTACAAAATTGTTTTTGTGTGTGTGTTCTTTGTCTTAAAGGTAGAGTTGACCATTTGCAGCTATCCAAGTGCTGGAGCCCTGTGGTACAATGGTTACGGTGTTTAGTCAGGTGGCATATAGTCGGAATCGTGACCGACTGGTCCAAAGCACCAAACTTAACAGATGGATTCTTATAGACCTAGAGAAGATATTTAGAAGGGGTGACACCTGAAATTCTTTTGGGAAGGGTGCCTAATTTGCATAAATTGTTAATCCCTGCCGTGTAATATATTTATTCCCATATTTGGGTATATTTTAATTTTTTTATTTTTTATAAAAGTGTATTTTGGTGATTCTACTTGCATATTCTTACTTCAATAACATTTTGTAAAGCATGTAAGTGACTGAATAATTAAGAGGACATAGTAACGATCCAAAATAGCTACTATTTTACCCTAAAGTTACGCGCATTTACCTTTTCCTCAGATATCATCAACTAGTCTCGCCAAACGTGGGTATTGATGAGCTTCAAATTTACAAAGGTACTTACTGACATAGTTAACCTAACAAAAATAAGTGGGAAATCATGTGAAAATTGATATCATCTTGATGTTTAGCCCAAAAGACCAAAAAAGGGGAGAAAATGTGGTGTCCGTAAATTGGGCTACTACGGGAAGGGTAACGTGGGGACTTGAACAAGTTCAACAAAATCCCCCCAAATTAGAGATTATTGTTGTTTACAATAATTTTGTCTACGCCAAAACGTTTTCTCAACAATAATTTTGGGAATTTCCTTGAACTTGTTCCAGTCTTTCATGTTAGGCAACCCTTCACCTTACTTGTTAGCCCAATTTATGGACACCTCTTTTTTCCCCAGTTTTTGTTTTCTGGGCTTAATAACACAATGTTCTCATTGTTCACATGATTTTGCATAAGGTTTCAATAGGGTAACTGTACCAGTAAGCTACGTGGTGAATTTGAAGTTCATCAATGCTGATGTTTGGCAAGACTAATTGATGATATCAGGGGACAAGGTAAAGGCGTGCAATTTAGGGCATAATAGTAGCCATTTTGGACCGTTACTATGTCCTCATAATTATTCAGTCACTTATATGCTTTGGAAAAAGTTATTTAAGTAAAGATATGTAATTAGAATCCCCAAAATACACTTTTCAAAAAAATAAAACAATTAAAATATACCCAAATATGGGAATAAATATATTACACGGCAGGGATTAACGATTTATGCAAATTAGGCACCCTTCCCAAAAGAATTTCGGGTGTCACCCCTTCTAAATATCTTCTCTAGGTCTATAAGAATCTATCTGCCAAGTTTGGTACTTTGGACCAGTCGGTCACGATCTTGACGAAAATTAGATCTAAGCCACCTGACTAGTTTGACTCACGTGCCACAGTACGTGGGTTCGAACCCTGATGGGGAACATGATGCTTGCGTTCTTGGGCAAGACTACTACAATTGCCTCTCTCCACCCAGGAGTATAAATGGGTACCTGTGAAGGTAGAGACCAGAATGACTCTGATCGCGAGCTGCTGCAAAAACTGGTCTCATGGCCTGATGAACAGGGGTAGTAAGTGTGAAGTGCTTGGAGACTTCGGTATAAAGCACTACATGTATATAAGCACCATATAATTAACCCTAACCGCCCTGAATCCTTCCAAAATCCTCTAAGCCAAAGTGGAGGAATTTAGAGGATTGAGGTTACATGGCAAAAGTGCGTTACTGATTTCGTAGGATGCACTTTGTCAAGGTCTTGGGCTGGACCTTGTGTTGTTTTTGCTCAGGCATGCATAAATATAGGCCTGGATTATGCTTGAAATCCTCCGTACTGCTCCAGGATGTCACTGGCCAAGCCTCAAAAATATTGAGTCACTGCCGCAGGATTTTGCAGGATTCAGGCAGTGGTCACCCCTCCATGGACCATTTTCAAGAAATAATGGAGGAATTTGCAGGATTGAGGCTATATGCTATTTTTCCATGAGGCCAATTGTAGGATTTTGCAGGATTGAGGCTACATCCTAGCAAAAAAGCCTAGGGAGTTAGGGTTAAAGAAGGATGCATAATGATTAACTAGTTGAAATTTCAGCTCAGTTGATCCTATACATTTTGAAAGAACATAGAAAAAGTAAGCATATTTTGGGGGGTCACTTGTCTGGTTTCTGTTGCTAACGCATGTAAAAAGCTACATTAATGCACTCTTCGTTTTTTTCTGACAAACGTTTCTGGGGAATTGTTTCTGGGGAATTGCCAATACTCCTAGGTGCCTTTTAAAGAGCCCTAAATTGATCGCAAACATTTGTGTTACTCACAGCTTCGTCGGGTTGGCCTTTACTGATCTGGGCTCGGATGGTCCGCATGACATCAGCCTTCTTGCCCACCGACAGAGGCTTAAAGGGGCTGAAAAACACGGCCAACGTGGTCTCCTGCATGTGTTTCTCTTTCACCTTTAACGGGAGAAAAATACCAACAAGAATTGGTCAGTACAGGTCAAGGTTAATTTGAGAAAACCTGAAAATGTAGACCAAACTCAGCATTTGGGTCCGTGGGAAAGGTTGGGGGGGGGGGGGAGGTGAAATTGGTAATATTTCTGAAAAAGTGATTGCAATGTTATTTTCCTTTGTAAAAATGGTCCAAAACGGGGGAGGGTATTACAATTAGTAGCTGTTGTGAGATGGTGGTGCTTTCATTTCTAAAAAATACAACAACATGGCATAATGGCATTGAGTAGATTAGAGATTATAAAATACAATTTTAGAAATAATAATAACGGGAATTGGGTCATTAGGGAGACTTTCCCATAGACTTCTGCATAATTTTTTTTCCAACTTAAATATGCCCTTACCCAATTTTCCCTTGTCCTTTTTCCATGAAATTCGGTATTTTTACTAATTAGACCACGAGCAACAAATATAACCCAATTGCGACAGTACAATTTTGCCTCTAAAGGGGGGCTGTGCCATTAGGGAGACAGTTATGTGTCTTCCTAAAGGCCGGTGTCGAAAAAAAAAAATGATAAGGTGTCTCCCTAATGGTACATTTAGTAATATATAGCAATATCTAAACTGTCATTAAATTTGACTTCAAGTTTGTTTATACCGTCCCCTTAACCTAGTTTCGTAAGAGTGCCGTAATTCGCTAAAAGAAATTGGGGCGTCAAAAGGAAATTTGAAACCAACCTCATACTGGGCCAGTATCTGCTGTGCATTGGTCAGCAGGCTCTCCACCTTGTAGCGCTTCGTGTTGTCAAGGAAACCCAGAGGGAGCACACCTACCGAATTCAGCGGGAAAGGCACGCCAATCAACGAGGCCATCAGAGCGGCGATATCGGCCTGGCTCATGTCTTGACGCTTGAGGTGGTCCAACTTCCACACTGCGAAGAGGAACGAGCATGTTGAATTAAGGACATTTATAGTTAAAGGTACATAGGATCATTTGTATTTGTCCTAATTTCGTAAAATGGACTAATTTAATTCACAGCAGACGTTGTTCCGCTGAACTGTTCAACGTTTTTTGCCCATTGGTGCTGGAAAAACAGAAAAATAAAAAACGATGATCATTTTCAACCAAAGACATTCTTTTTGCTACTGTTCATTCCCCGTTACTTGTTACAGGAACTGTGAATTGACTTTTGGTTTTAACTGTGACTGGACTAGGCACTGTTTTGACATTTTTACCATTGATGTGCTACTTGTGCACAAAGTCTTCAGGTGAATAAGTTGACAACTTACATTGAGAGAACCCGTCGGGATAATCCTGGGCGTTGCCACTTTTAGCAGGTCTGTTCACCCCAGCACCCCAGGCCACTATCGGGGTCAGGGTTTCATGGGGGTGACCTGCCCCATGGGAACCTGTCAATTGTATAAGAAAGAACGTCAGTGGTTTAAAGGGTAGAGTAGATCATTTGCAGCTATCCAAAAAGTAACTGACGAAATTATTGTTGAAAAGCATACTTGGTTTAAAGATAGTCATGGCACTAACCTCCCTGTGAAATTATACTTTTGTGGTATGCTGTCATTTTGAAGAAAACAATAAAAGAAGGCCATTTCCAAAGATGCGCCATGTGACGCATTTTTGGAAATTTCCGTTAGAAGCTGGTTTGTAATTGGGCCAGTCCGTGGATGGGTGCATGCAAGCGTTGACACAACGCACACACGAGCGCGGTTGCTGTTATTCGTCGGTTCAGTGTGTGACATCACGCAGCTGCAATCGGCTGAATGAGAACGTTTCCTGGATGCTGATTCTGGGAACAATTCAAAACAAGACTCGGCAACTTCTGAACTGAAACCGAGATCTTAGAATATTGTTTTCTCGGAATGTACAGCATTCACAAGAGCTAAAACTTCATCAGGTTAGTTGTTAAGCACCCGTCTTTAGATTTTGAGCACTTTCGTTGCTTCAAATGAAGAGAAATAAACAAATTGAGTGTTGCTTTTCATTTTGCGACAGATAACCCTAACCAAAAAATTCCACTAAATTTTTTTTCAGAGAAAGGAAACCCTTATGTGGAGCTGGGCAAGTCCACACAACGTTTTCACTACCTGCACTACGTCATCTTTTGTTACGAGGTCCACACAATGACCGTAATGCCGGTTCAAAATTACAAATCAAAAAAAGTATACCTTGGACCTATCTAATGCAACTGCTAGAACAGAAATTTTCTGAGAGCAAGAAATATGTAATTGTTGAAATTTCCTAGCTGTAATCAGGCCTAAATCATTCCTTATCTAAAATCTGAATCTTATAAACCCACCCCAGTTTGTCATGCCGTGGTCGGCAGTCATCATGTATGCCGTCTTTCCGTCCCGCTGGAAGGCATCCTCAATCAGCTCCACGGCCTCCCGTATCCCAGAATCCACCAGACCGATGTTGGCCAGGTATTCCTTCGAGAATGGCTTGTGGGCGTGGCCGTTGGTGTCGATCCCCAGGAGGTGGAGGAACAGGACGATCCTATCGGAAGACACCATTCTGCTCAGGGTGTCGTTCTGCTTCATATCTTGGACAAATTCCTGAAATTTTTATTTGTAAGTGCTTTGACTGGAATAATCATCCCAGGCTTTTTGCTGGATTCAAAGGGGAAGCCTATTGTCTTCTGGCTGGCTGAGTCAAGGACAGACTAACTGACTGACTGATTCACGGAGAAAGAACCAAAAAACTTAAACTTATACTTTTTGATCTCACAAATACTAGATATGACAAATACTTGGAGTGGACTTAGTTAGTACAAGCCTCTCAAAACTTTGGTCAAAATTTGAGTCAATCACTAAACAGTGTGACATTGAAAGAGCTGTCTCAGATAGGAAATCATGCAACTTTGTTTTTGACATTGAACCCATGTTTTCTGTATTATCCAAAAGTATTTCTCAAGATTTGTTTAAGTTTAGTTGTTATCGGAAAATCATTCCAAAAAAACTTACCAAAAAACCTAACGTCTATGTTTATCCACCAAAAAATTAACTGAAATGCTCCCTTGTCTACAAACAAAAAAATGTGCCCCCCGCAAAAAACTTCATCACACAACTTGCCTTGCCCCTGAAAATCTATCAAGATAAGTGTTCACGTCCAGTATGGGCCAAAATTTGGATTGGGTTTTCAGTCCCTGCCTGATGCCGTGGGTTTTCCCCTGGAGTGTGCCGGGGTCCTCCCCCCCTCCCAAACCACTGAAACTGTAGTTTATCCTTCCACATCGTCTACCAAGACAACCCACTGTAATTAACAATATCTTAGCCAACTGCCATATAATAATAATATTATAAAATATCATGATGGTTTTGTCATGTCTTTTTTACCTTGACTTTGTTGAACACCCACGTATCCAGTCTGGATGCGTCTTCATCGGCGAAATCCTCATAACCGGCCGGATAGGTGTGGACGAAAACATGATTCCCTGAAGCACCTCAAAAAAAAAAAAGAAAAAAAAAAACCCTTTTGCACACTTGGCCACATTTAAGAAGGGAAATCATGGTAATGAAATTCCATAACAAGGTCGTCGGTATTTTGACATAATTCAGTGTAGACCATTCTCATAAACAGCCGTAGGAAAACTACAACTTCGTGTTCAACGCCATCAGGTGCATGTCTGCAAATGTTGTAAACACGCACGTATGTTGCCTGAAATTTGTTCGAAAAACGGCGCATGCCATTGCGCTTCACGAAAATTTGACGCCCAAATGCTGATGGACGTGACAATCTGTAGTAAGTGACGTCATTTGAGAGAGTCTATTGCTCGGTATCAAAAAAACACTGTCACTATATGATTTTATTGAAACACACCAGCACTACAAGCCTAATATACTTACCTTTGGCAAACATGGGCAGTATATCGGGGCTTCCCCAAGACCACGTATACCTGCTCTCATTGAAGACAGAGTCAAATTGCACTGGATTTTCCTTCCAACCTGAAGGTGACAAAGAAGAAAATATAAAAAAAGATTGTATGCCAGAAAAATTCCCCTAACAGGGACAGGACATGGGGCTGTACTTGTCATTAGGACTTACAGAAACTATAAACCTTTATTGGATGAGTTGTATTTTAACCAGTGATGAAGTTGAGGCACTTGCGATGGATTACAACAGTGGTGTTGACTCGCGTCGCTGACTCAGATTCAAGTCCGACTCGAGTCGCAATTTTTTTTACTTGAGACTTGACTTGACATGGGAAAAAAATTGACTTGCGACTTGACTTGACTAAATATGACTTGCTGACATTAACACTTTCGTTATAAAAACAAACACAAACTTTCAGGCACACGCAAAAATCAGTTGAACAGAAAGCCAAGGACCAGATGTGCATGTAGCAAGCTATACGTATCATGCACATACATGTATGCATGAGGGAATCATTGAGGTGGTCATGATTTATATGGTGCATGCCGGTTTATGCCATGGCGATCACAGCCGGCCGTTGGACACAGTTGTGTTAATACACAAAGCACCACACTGCCGAGCTGCACATTACTGATCAGTGTAGGGAAGCATTGAGAAAGTGACATCATTTTATATCGACTGGAAAATGACTGCTATCGATGATAATGCTTGACAAAATGAATGACGAATGTCCTACACTTCAATATGATTGAATAAAGTTTGTGGATACATGTATTTAATCACACTTTCAGACTATTTTATATGCAAATATAGTATTTGAGAGAGAAAATTTGAACATTGTAAAGTTTTATTTTCAAATTTGTGCACACTTGCACATTGAGTGGTCCCATCTCTACTGCTATGTTCAGATGGACTTAAAAAAATTGACTTGAGACAAGTTTGTGAGTTGACTTGAATCGGGAAAAATTAACTTGTGACTTGACTTGACTAGAGAAAAATTGACTTGGTTACAACTCTGGATCACAAGTCTGGCCACAAGTAAATCACTAGTCCGGTCCAAGTTTTAACTTGGACCGGACTAGTGATCAATAATATAGGTTTTTCTGGCTATTCTAAAACATTTTTTCGTTCGAATTCACCGATTCTTATATTCAAATTCGTCCAGCAACATCAATTTAGTCCACTTCCAATGTTTAATTTCGTCTTTTGTCAGACAATTTCAAATTTAGTCCAAACAAATTCAAACAATGAACACACGTTTTCGACCCGGTGTATTCGATTTCGACTCATCTACGCCAAATCGTTCATGTTCAGAAATCAAATTCGTCTAATTGATTTATATCAGACGAATGTGATCTCTGAAAGCTGCCATTCGGCAACAGCTTAGACGAATTTGAACCGTAATGACGAGTATTCTCGACCCGCTGACTAAAGAGGATGACCAAACTTTGAAATTGAATGGTAAATGAAAATTGGTTTTGTTAAAAGTGTGTGAAATTGTTCATGGACGAAATTAAATGATAGAGTTGGTGAATTTGAGTGAAAAATATTTTAAATTGGCTGGGAAACCTACATGTATAACACAATCAATACAGAAAATGTAAACTTTTACACAAGTAATGTTTCCACCAGTGTTGCAGTTGAGGTACCTGTGATGGATCAAAGGACATCACAAGTCCAGTCACAACAGTCAAAAGTCACAACAGGAGGAACAATAATAAAGGAATGCCCTTGTCACAGTTCATCTCAATACCTTATTTAAGACATGACTTGGGACTGGATGACTTGTGATTGACTTTTAAGGACTGGTGATGGACTTTGATTGTAACACTGCCTACAAATAACATTTTTACACGATATTCAAAAGTTAGTTAGAATGACCTTTTGCGACAGCGCTGACATCTTCATAGAAACCAGCGATCAGGGCGACATGGCCTGGCCGGGATTCCGTAGGCACTCTGGTGTGGGAAACTCCCCATGATCCTTGCTGCTCAATGACGCTCCTGAAAAATCACCAGGAAAACTGATTCAGGTTAATTTCTTTCTTTCAGAATCTCAGAAACTTGACTGGACATCGCCGCTAGGCATCATGCAGCAGTATTGTTGCAACCTGTGGAACGGTCCCAGCTTAAGTTGGGACCATTGTCTAGTTGGGACGTAACATCAACATGACAATCCTTGGTCCTGGCTCCCCGCTATACACATACAATGATGCAAGTGGATATTGCAACCAGTGATGCGACCAACTCTGTAGATAGTCGACCAAAATAGTCGAACTATATGGTTTTAGTTCTGAATGCAAATTCAGATGTACCAACCTGAGGTATGGTGCCCTCGTGTGACCACTCTCATCCACCTCGTACAGCTTGTCTGCCCTCAGCCCGTCGGCGACGAACAGCACCAGTCGGCGCGCGGGGGGTTCCAGGGGGGTTGCATGGGGTGTCATTCCGTGGACTAGCGGCGAGGTGAAGTAGATATCAAAGATGGAGAAGAAGAAGACGACATGAACCAAGAGCCCGACGACGATGAGCCAGACATCCATGGTCACTGATCATCAGATAAGAATCACTCTCTGTGGAGTGTGGAATGTATTGCCTGACGCTCTCTTGTTTTGAAAATGTAATATCTGGGAACATTTAACAAAATGAAGTGGTTTGACACAACAGCAGAAAAAAATTCACCTCAATATTTACATTAAAGCTATAGTCCATCATTTGCAGCCATACGAAAAGTAACTGGCATAATTATTGTTGAAAAACAAACTTGGTTGAAAGATAGTGAGGGAACTAAACTCCCTGTGAAATTATTCTTTCTGGGAAGCTGTCATTTTGAAGTAATTAACGAAAAAAGGCATTTCCAACGGTGATTCTTAAGAAGCACCGTAGGAAAATTTAAATTAGTAGTTCGTTTTGTTATTCAGCGTAGCACGCACAAGTATTGGAACGACGCACACGCGCGCGCGGTTGTTATAATTCGTCGGATCAGTGCGCTACGTCGCGTATAGCTGCAATTCAAAACAAGATTCAGTAACTTTTGATTTGAAATTGTGATCTTAGAATGCTGTTTTTCTCGGAATGTACAGCTGAAGCTTAGCTGAAACTTCATCAGGTTAGTTGCTCAGTATCCTTCATTAGATTTTGAACTCTTTTGTTGCTTCAAACGAACAAAATGCACAAATTACAAATGATGGACTATAGCTTTAAAGCAATGTAAGAAGAATGATAACCAAAACATTGCATTAGGCCTAGACCCAGTAACTGGGGCGCTAGAAATCCTTTTTGGGAATTTAGACTTCGGTCAGTCGTACTCGTGGGGGTCTGAGTACAACCGACTGAAGTCAAAATAAAAAAAAAAAGGCCGTTCTAGCGCCCCAGATTTACTGGGTCTAGCCATTTGTTACCCCTAGAACTAGTCTATGGGCCTTACACGTGTAAGGCCCATAGTTCTAGGGCAGTGGATATTTAGCCGGAGATGGCAAACCTTTAGTAAACGTTAGCTTGCCGGATATGCACTGAACATGCGCAGTTACTGTTTTTTTTTACTTAGACATTTTCCGGTGACAAATTTTAGTCTGCTCCATGCCAACATTATCGTTGTAACTTCGTATTCACAAGATGGGAATCAGACCATTTTACAATTTCGGACTTTATTTCCCTTTAATAAAAAAAATCCTCCAGAACCACAAATCTGAAAAAGAAAATGTAATACTCTGCAATAAAATGTTTGAGACATGTTACAATAATAAAAGAAGAATATTCTTATTTTTGGGGGATGGGAAAAAAAACTTTAAAAATTTGGCCAGCGGGGATCGAACCCGGATCTTCCTGCTCATGAGATCCGTTGCTTATCCACTAGGCCACAGGTGCTACACAACCGTTGGTGGTAATTTATCTTATCAGCCCTATCTTAGAGAGTACAGCACCCTCTGTTGATAGGGATTGCCGCAGGCAATATATCCACTATCAAGTTCTAGGGGTAGCCATTCGTAGGGTCCTAGTAATTATTTTGGAAAAAATGTTGTACTCCGACACCACTTCTTTGATCGTGTACAAAGTCTTTGGATGGACCGATGGAGAGTCAAATGCATTTTCAAGGTATTTGATAACAAAATTGGAACTGTTGAGTGTTTCTCAGTCCACCTAACATTCATGCCTAAAAATTGTCTTGGAACATCATGGAAATAAATGTTGCAACCTGCGCCATTTTTTTCATCACAGCCTGGCCCTATATTATCTCGGTAATCCTTACCTTTAGGACCACTTTCCTATTATAAGGTTAAAAGACTCACCAAAATAGCTGACTAAATGACACTCAAAAGTGACATTCTGATATTTCTTGGCACATTTGAACATTTGGCAACGACACCTTCTTGAATATCAGCAGGTTTAATTTTGTAAAAAGAGGGCAGGGCTTTGATTTTTGAGGGGTTAAAGACGACGATGACAAACAGAAAATATATTAAAAAAGCAAGATGGCGAACTGCAAAAAAAGGTAGGAAAGTCACATTTTCTTTGAAAGTGCTTTCAAAATTATAACTAACATGAGTTTGTCTGAAGAAAAAGGACTTCTTTAGCCTGCAAAAGTCACTTTGGTACTGGACAGTCATCTGCAAAAGTCAGTTTTGAACAGAACTCGTACAAAATAGAGGTGTCCTAAAAGTAAGGATTACCGGACTAAGTCCATCCAACATTCATTGGACATGTTGGAACATCATTCATGGAAATAAATGTTGCACTCTGCGCCATTTTTTTTCATCACAGGGCCTAGGCCCTACATTATCTCAATAAAGCAGGTCAGTCATTGCAAAACTGTTGAAAAGACATGAATCTGGGGACTGAGTCCGAGATGAGAAACATTTCCAATTTTGTTAGAAAATACTTTAAAAATGCACACGACTATACGCTCCATACATGCCATAGGCCATCATGTCCATAGACTTTGTACACAAACTGACAAAGTGTCTGGAGGCCTGGAGGGGCTTTCCATCGTGCTTAACAATGAATTAAACAATAACATCATTAATTTTAACACAAAATAGAAATGTATAATTTATATGCGAACCATGAAGTCATTTGCAGCATTTCTCTACTTAATTAATCATCATCACTCAGCTAGTGTGATAGGTACGGTGGCCCACAACTGTCACGGCAAAAGCAAAAGCGCCACGGCAAGCGCAACAGCGCCGCGGCAAGCGCAACAGCGCCGCGGCAAGCGCAAAAGCGCCACGGCAAAAGAAAAAGCGCCACGGCAAAAGAAAAAGCGCCGCGGCAAAAGAAAAAGCGCCACGGCAAAACAAAAAGCGCCACGGCAAAAGAAAAAGCGCCACGGCAAAACAAAAAGCGCCGCGGCAAGCGCAAAAGCGCCACGGCAAGCGCAAAAGCGCCACGGCAAGCGCAAAAGCGCCACGGCAAGCGCAAAAGCGCCACGGCGAAGGCAAAAGCGCCACGGCGAAGGCAAAAGTGCCACGGGTTTATTGGGAAGGGGCGTAATCATACATGCCGCTACTACATCAAAAAATAAAATGGGAAGGAGAATGGCCGCCACCAGGAATTCTTATTAAGCACAGAATTTAATTCTTTGAGAAGTGATTTTATGGCTGAGAAAATAGCAAGGCCAAGGAAAACCGGTCAGGAAATAAATCGTCGATATTAATTTGTTGTAGGATAATTATTATTCCAAGAGAGTTGCTGCCGTGAATCAGAGTTTATCAAGGAGTGGGACTCGCTGTCGGCACCATCAGGGCCGTTCCTCATTTCTTTACATTTCTTGGGATGCAAACAATTACAAGGACGGGAGGCTCTGTGAGCTGATGCATTTTTGAAAACATTTTTTCCCCCTTCCGACTAGCATGCAGAGAAGAGTTCCGTTAATTTGAGCCTTTTTTTCACAGGTGTGTATACCAGTGTAGGCACGAAAGTGAGCTGCCCAGAGTGTATGAGTTTATTTTTTTTTTATTTTTCAGTATATCATACACATCTATAGGAAGTCGATTAAGGCTCTCCTGCAGGGCTGCGGCAGTGGGTGGGTAAGGCTTGTCAACACGTAACTCGCCCGCGGGCCCATTAGGTTAGAAATTCCCAGAGAGCGGGAATTTCAAAACTCTTCGCTGAACGTTGCTTGCACTGACCGGTTTTCCTTGCTATTTTCTCAGCCATAAAATCACTTCTCAATTCATGGTGGCGGCCATACTCCTTTCCATTTAATTTTAGATGTAGTGCGGCATGTATGATTACGCCCCTTCCCAATAAACACGACTGAGTTGAAGATAACTCACAAATCGAGAAATGGATCGTTCTATTAGACAGTTGCAACGCTTTCGACAGAGGAGGTTAGGTCGTGGATTTCATGTAAGGAACGTAACACAGGCGAAGACTTTGGATATAGAATAAGAAAGAAAGAAATTAACTTAAAAAGGGGGGGGGGGTAAGGGAGAGACACTAAACAAAGGAGAAGTGTTATCGTTGAGATGCACAGTTCTAAGCTCTTCTATGAAAATTTGGTGGCTCTGAAAAGAGCCGTTTGCTTTGTTTCGAGTGAATACGGAACTATTTGATGCCGGAAACAAGCCCTCTTTCTGCCCTGCAGGCTGATTCTGCGATGATGTGGAAGACTGTCCACAGGGCAACTCATCATCGCTATCGCTAAGCATCATGAGGTCTTGTTCGGCTTGTTGGTTTCTTGAGCCGGGGGTGGGTGGGCCAATGAGTTCTAGGTTCTGAGTTAATTTCTTTCTTTCTTATTCTATATCCAAACTCTGGGCAGCTCAATTGTGTGCCTACACTGGTATACACACCGGTGAACTCATGGGCGTCGCCAGAATTTTTTCTAAAGGGGGCAAAACATATTTTTCCCAAAAAATTCTTGTATTTCTGAACAAATTCTCGATTTCTCAGTTTTAGACGGGGGCAGGGACATTTTGCCCCCCCCCAACTCATTCAATTTACACCACTATGACTTCGCGCCTCTTTTTCTTTTCTTTTTTTCTCTCAGTTTTTTCCCCTTCCTTTTTTGTGTGCTATTCCAGGGGGGGGGGGGGAGCGCCCCCTTGCCCCCCTCGCGACGCCCATGGGTGAACTAAGTCTCAAATTAACGGAACTCTTCTCTGCATGCTAGTCGGAAGGAAAAAAACTCTTCAAAAAAATGCATCAGCTCACAGAGCCTCCCGTCCTCGTAATTGTTTGCATCCCAAGAAATGTAAAGAAATGAGGAACGGCCCTGATGGTGCTGATAGCGAGTCCCACTCCTTGATAAACTCTGATTCACGGCAGCAACTCTCTTGGAATAATAATTATCCTACAACAAATTAATATCGACGATTTATTTCCTGACCGGTTTTCCTTGGCCTTGCTATTTTCTCAGCCATAAAATCACTTCTCAAAGAATTAAATTCTGTGCTTAATAAGAATTCCTGGTGGCGGCCATTCTCCTTCCCATTTTATTTTTTGATGTAGTAGTGGCATGTATGATTACGCCCCTTCCCAATAAACCCGTGGCACTTTTGCCTTCGCCGTGGCGCTTTTGCTTTCGCCGTGGCGCTTTTGCGCTTGCCGTGGCGCTTTTGCGCTTGCCGTGGCGCTTTTGCGCTTGCCGTGGCGCTTTTGCGCTTGCCGCGGCGCTTTTTGTTTTGCCGTGGCGCTTTTTCTTTTGCCGTGGCGCTTTTTCTTTTGCCGCGGCGCTTTTTCTTTTGCCGTGGCGCTTTTTCTTTTGCCGTGGCGCTTTTGCGCTTGCCGTGGCGCTGTTGCGCTTGCCGTGGCGCTGTTGCGCTTGCCGTGGCGCTTTTGCTTTTGCCGTGACAGTTGTGGGCCACCGTAGTACGGTCACGAAGTTTCTCTTAATAATTTCATCAACTTACAAGCCCGGGCATGTCCTTTTTCCGCATTGTGGCCCGATTTCGAAATATTGTGAGGTCGAGTTTTTTGGTCCCCGGCTGCGGATAGCTACAGGTGCATCCTTGTACACTAAAAGTCGTAGCCATTGAAGTCTGCCAATCGGCCGGCCACATTCTTACTTGGTCATCCAACGCATGGGGGCAGTATGAATTTCCCGCGAAACCAATTTGACTGGCGCGCGCTCACGATCACTCCGTATTTTGATAGGGCCTAGACTTGAAAGCACAGCTTGTGAAGTTCTGATTCAACAAACCGGCCGATTTTTGCCGCAAACCTGAGCCAAAATGGGAATACACAATCTAGCTCGATTGATTGCTGATCATGCACCGGCTGCAATGAAAGACAATGAAATCAAGAATTATTTCGGTGAGTAAAATTTGATTGTACTGCGAACTGTCAACAGGTCAACTCAACATGCTCCAGGAAGAGCCTAGTCTTTGTTGAGTATTTGTTGAGCATTTATGCATGATGTAGGTTATTATACTAGCAAGACCCATAGTTCTAGGGGTATAGGGTCATGACATGATTAATTTATGTAATAATAGAGCAGAGGGGGCGCACATGTTCATTTAATCATAATGGCACATTTTGCATTTTATATTTTGCCGTTGTTCATATTAATTAACGCATGAATAAAAGATGAAGATTTTGATAAAGCATGACTTTTAACATGTTTAAGCATTTTTCAGTCATAGTCTGCTGTGCACTTGATTTGTATGCAACATCACACTCTACTCTACTCTGCATAATATTAAACGTACACATTCAGTGACATTTCAGGAAAAAAAAACCCGGCTTTAAATATAAAGTTTTCTTTGCTTTGCAGAATCTGACAGAATCCACATTTTAAATTAAATATGATTCTTACAACTTTCTCTACAAAACAACATCAATTTTTAATCACAGTTGATGGGTTGAGGCAGTGCCGATGACATTCAGAAGCAGTGCGGATGACAACTTTTTTGCCAATTTTTTTGCAAGCTTCAGCATAGCCTATCACCATGATCACTATTCTTAGGTATTCATTCCTCATCAGCTCTGAATTCAATCGTATTTTCATAATGTTCTTTTCTATCTCATTTCTAGGCCGCAAAATAGCCATCGATGCCTCCATGTGCATCTATCAGTTTCTCATCGCAGTACGACAGGACGGCTCGCAGCTGACCAACGATGAAGGAGAAACAACCAGGTGATCATCGTCATGCTTATCGTCCAAGAAAAAAATCGGGGCAATATCTCAAATTGAGAAAATCAGATTTAGAAATCTAATTTCTATTTCAATTTTTTTTTCAAATCATTTCACGCTTCAAGTAACACCAGAAGGATGAAATGCAGTTGGATTATACAACAATTAGTATAACAGACGAATGCTTTGTCTTTGACAACCAAATACATTTTCGCAGTTTAATTTAATACATAATTATTTACTACCATTCAAGAAGCGTAAAATATCTAGAAGCCTAATTCTATAAAGTAGTGGTCGGCAGTCCTTCTGATTTGAAAATCACAGGCGTGTGGAAAAAGGCACACCTGGATTTTTCTAGGCGTGTGGTTCTGTGGTCCAGGGAAATTCAGGTGTGCAATTATTCACACTTCTCGGGAAGCTTTTAGGTGTGCGATGGCGTGGGAGTACGATCGCACGCCTCAAATCAGAACGACTGGGTCGGATTTCAATTCCACTGTTAGGTTACAATTTTCCAGATAATTCGAAACCAACCTTAAACAATTTTAAGCCATCCATTTTTTTGTGTGACACAGGCTAAAGAAAATGAGTTCTGGAGCATCACCCAATTTGCTCCCTGGTCTCTGATTGTAACTGCATTCACTTGCTAGTGGTCTTCTTGATATATGAACAGCCTGCTCATTCGACTGATCAGAGAGTTCCCATCAATTTTTTCGTCATTACAGCTCTGGAGTGTTTTCGTAAAGACCCAGCGGTCTCTGAATCCTGCAAACTATACCCAATCATTGGGAGGGCATTTCATGCAGCACCTCGCTTGTCACTTTTTGTTGGCACGCCTGTGAGCTGGATGGGAACTTCCGGTGAAATCAGAGAACCGTTATTCGGTTTGAAAAAAAAACATTCGGATAACCGGATTTTGAAATTTTTCCCACCACTTCTTTAAACCTTTTTTTTATTTTGACTACAGCCATCTGATGGGTATGTTCTACCGGACAATTCGCATGGTGGAGAATGGAATCAAGCCAGTGTAAGTTGAAGAAAAAAAAATCTGGCTATTAAACCCTAACTCCGTAGCATAATTTACTAGGAACCATACCCATTCTGGCAAATTCCAACATCCACATGGGAAATCGTACACACACACTGTTGGACTTAGTTTCTGGAGGTATGGCAAACCCAGCGTAGAAGACCATCAGTTTAGGGGTACTTTACCTATCCCAACAGATTTCAACAAAACCTGTTGTTGGACTTTGATGGGTTGAGTTTGGTTAAGGTCAATCCAATCTTTTTAGATCCTGTAAAATCCGTCGAGAGTCTTGGGAGGACTTTGCAGGATTGAAGAAAGGGTTAATGCCCCTTGTCGACCGAAGAGTACAAAGTGTGCTGTTGGATTTCTTTTATAGTAGTGTGAATGTTGGAAGAGTTGTGGAGTGCCGTGGCCTCGTGGCCTGGAGCATTGAATTTGTGGTCTGCGGATAATTCTGCAGGTTGTGGGTTTGAGTCCAGCCTAGGATTATGGTGCGTGTGCCCTTCGACAAGGCACTTTGTCACTCATTGCTTCTCACCACCCAGGAGTAAATTGGGTACCTGTGAGGGCAGAGATGGTCATTGTGATTGATTTTAGCAGCTTTGCGCCAAAATGGCAGCATCGAGCTGTATACTCCCCAGGGAGCTGAGATTGTCTTTGGAATACTTCATGGGCCCAATGAGCAGGGTAATAATGATGTAGCGCCTTGAGCACCAATACTGGTAGATATGTGCGCTTTATAAATACACATTAAGACTCGCGAAGGTTTCTTGCTTCGCTGAGAAACTTAAGCTGACAAATTGAACAAAGCTATCCCGGCAGTCAAAATCAATCAAGTGGCTGTTTTTAACAGTTGAGTGCTCCCTTCTTACATTAAGCAGGATTGACCGGCTGTGACTGTTTGTGTCATTTGATATAGCTTTGCCTTGACTGTAGGTGATCGGTAACCCAGCGGTGCACAGCAGTTGGTTGCTTTTGTATAAAGATGGATTTAAAATGGCTGGTCAAAGTGCATCTGACTGTTGGTGACTAGCCTGTATACAAAGGCATAGCAGAGGAAGCAGATTGAGATTTGACTGTCTGTGACTGCTCAGACAGCAGTAGGGGATGGTTACCTAAGTCAGCTTTTTTCCAAGCGGGTGCAATTTAGCCTAGTTGTTGTATCAAATGGCTGGTTGTAGTGAGTTAAAGTGCCTTTCTTACAAGACGGGAGTCACGTTTTTTTCATCGTGCAGTTACGTCTTCGACGGCAAACCGCCGGACCTGAAATCGGGCGAGCTGACGAAACGCAAGGAGCGTCGCAGCGAAGCGGAGAAGGAGCTTGAGAAGGCCAAGGAGCTCGGCGACAGCGCCAACGTGGAGAAGTTTGAGCGTCGCCTGGTCCGCGTCACTGCCCAGCACAACGACGAGTGCAAGGACTTGCTGAAACTGATGGGCATTCCTTCCGTAACGGTTGGTAATCTCACCGAACCGGGGGTCCAGTGGTTACGGTGTTCGACTCGTGTGCCGTGGTACATGGGTTCGAATCCTGACCGTGGGAACATGGTGCTTGTGCTCTTGAGCAAGGCACTTTACCATTATTGCTTCGTCCTTCGGATGGGACGTAAAGCCGTGGGTCCCGTGTGTTGTGTAATGCACGTTAAAGAACCCAGTAACACTTATCGCTAAGAGAAGGGGTTTGCCCCGGTGTTTCTGGCAGTGGCTTCAATATGCGCCGCAGCACCTTGTAAACCCTTATAAGGTGCTACATAATGGGTCTCATATTTTCTCATAAACTTTATTTACCTTTCTTTAATAATAGACATATCTCCAGCGCCTTGAGTACCTAATAGTTGGTAGATACGTGCGCTATATAAGACTCCAATATTATTATTATTATTCTTAAAGCTCTAAAGTCATGTTTTGTATTTTAACATGACAGTAATGGAATACTTGCTGCAATTGCAAAACACTCCAGCGTTCTACAATATCCATCACTGGAGTTTTGACCAGCGAGTAAATGCAGTTTCAGCTGGCGTGTGTAAAGCTTGATCGGCAAGTTTTGAATATTCAAATATTTGGTCAAGTGTTGTTTCGAATAGTCGAATACTAAATTATTCAAAAAAAGGACAGTCCTATATTGGGTGCAAGCTAAAACGCACTGAGAGTTAGGGATCAGCGTTTGAATAACGACATTTGAATACTTTCTCTCTTTGATAGTGTTCTCGTGTTTTTGTCCACAGGCCCCCAGTGAAGCTGAGGCCCAGTGCGCCGCATTGGTGAAAGCCGGCAAAGTTTACGCAGTCGGCACAGAAGACATGGACGCGCTTACGTTTGGCGGGACCGTTCTTTTGAGGCATCTCACGGCCAGCGAAGCTAGGTACGTCTCACAAATGTTGCTAAAAACAAGACTAAGATTCCAGGGTGCTCAAATATTATATTCAAATGAGTCAGAATGTCTATTCACTGGAAGTTTTTTTTTGATGCATCCTGTCTACATAGTACGGCAGATAGGTGATGGGATTGTGCCTTTGATGAGACAAGCATGGCATTTGGCACACAGTCAGAGTATGTCATGAAAAAGATATTTGCCTATGGGCTGCTTGCGCCAACGAAAGAGGGCGCCCTTTTACCTAGCAACGACGTCCCATGGGCGGGACATTTAGCTGGTTAACGCGCACCGTTCCTTGTGTGTGACGCACGTACACCAGGGGATTTGTACTATGTACATGCAGTGCCAGTACATGGTACGGCTGCGCGTCGCGGCAAAATAATTGCAGTCAGGCAAGATGGCGTCGGTTGGTCACCCCCAACTGTACTTTCTTTGCTGGTGAGGGGGCACTTGTGAATGGAACGGATAGGGCAATCGCAGGTTTGTCCTTTGAAAAAATATAATAACAAGCAATGGCAGACATTTTGAACATTTTGAAAATTGCTTGTTATTGTATTTTATTGTTTCAAAGGACAAATATGCGATGGCCCTATAGGCAAATATCTTTCTCACGATATATAGTCGGCTGTGTGCCAAATGCCATGCTTGTAACATCAAAGGCACCATTCCCCCAAATATTTCCCCTGTCTGCTCCACTAAAGAAATGGGCAGGGTTCAGCCCGTTCATTGGTATTACAGGGTAATCCTGACAGTCAGTTAAAGATATAGTCCATCATTTGCAGCCATCCGAAAAGTAACTGGCGTAATTATTGTTGAAAAACATACTTGGTTGAAAGATAGTAAGGGGACTGAACTCCCTGTGAAATTATTCTTTCTGGCAAGCTGTCATTTTGAAGTAATCAATGAAAGAAGGCCTTTCCAACAATGCTTCTTAAGACGCACCGTAGGAAAATTTAAATTAGTAGTTCGTTTTGTTATTCGGCGAAGCGCGCGCAAGCATTGGCACGACGCACACGCACGCGTCATTGCTATAATTCGTCGGATCGGTGTGCGACATCGCGTAGCTGCAATCGGCTCAGTGAGAACGTTTCTCGGACCCTGAATTCAGGCCCAATTCAAAACACGTTTCAGCAACTTTTGATTTGAAATTGAGATCCTAGAATGATGTTTTTCTCGGAATATACAGCTGAAGCTGAGCTGAAACTTCATCAGGTTAGTTGTTCAGTATCCTTCTTTAGATTTTGAGCACTTTTGTTGCTTCAAATGAACAAAATGCACAAATTACAAATGATGGACTATATCTTTAAGTGCAAAGAGAATACTAATATAAACTTAACTGCCGCACTCTGCGTGCAACTTTTGACTAGTGACACGCAGCTACAGCTAACGTGTGTAAAACTTGATTTGGCGAGTTTCGAATATTTAAATATTCGGTCAAACGCAATTTTCAATAATCAGATACTAACTTATTCGAAAATGGACAGCCTTACTCAAGTTCTTAGATTTTGTTGGAAAAGCGCAACCCCTGGCACAGTGTCCAGACTTAGCAGTCAATAACCCAGATTTTGAAAATCTGGATTTTACAGGAAGTTACCCGTGCAAGAATTCAATCTTCCAAGGGTGCTAAACGGACTTGGGCTCTCGCAAGACGAGGTAAAATATGTCCTTCAAATTTTAATCAGCTTATTTCTTTATATTTACTTCTTTAACAGCTACATGAATGTTAACAGAGCTTGTTAAGCAGAATTAGATGCTTCTAGGCCCAATGGCTCTGCTTACCGTTAATTAAAAATCCCAGCTTACTGTAGCAGAAAATTCCGTGCTTATGGTTAGTACGTTTCACAGCTTAGCGAGGAACGTTGACTTTGTGCAGGCCGCATGCATATACATCACGAAACTAATGATTCTTCGCATATAGCGGAGTTCCCTAGAAACATGGCGCACTTTGACGTTTCCCTCAACTTTCCTCATGCAGTGTTGCCAAACCTCTTTGTTGACCAACTTTAAATTCAATCACTGGTACTTAGCCTTAACCATAACAATCCCCATTCAGTCAAACTCCAACACCAGGGTTTGTTGGAATCTGTTGGAGCGAGTACTGCACTAGTAAACTGATTATGCTTTACATGGGGTCAGGCATACCACCAATAATCAGATTCTAACACTTGGGTGTAGAGTTTACCGTATGGTGTTGGAATTTGCAGGAGTGAGGCAAGTTCCTAGTAATTGACTCAAGGGGGCTAGGGTTAACAATGCTTGCTGTTGAACCTTTGGGAACAATTTCAGTGTCATCAAATTTAGTCCGAAATTCAAAATAGGTGGCGTCTGGAAATTGGGAACAAAATCTTTTTGTTTATTAAAGTTGACAAATTCTGATAAACCTTTATTATCTCCATTCCCATACCCAACTACCAGTTTGTCAGAAAATTATTTGATTATATTTGGGCGCATTTTAAAAGGTTCATTGTGCACTTCAAAATGAAATTTGAAAATCATGGCAAAATAAAACTTCTCTGTTAACTTTGTAATGGGTGTAGGTAAACTCAAGATTTATGAACAGGAATGTTGAGAACTTGATATAATTTCACTCTAACGTTGGCTCTAGCAAAGCACTCTAGGCAAAAAGTCAAAGTGTGCCACGTTAGAAGACATCAACAATACTGGGTCAACACAGAATTTTTCTGCTAACACTGTTAGCTCAGAACGGTGATCGTAAGCACGGAATTCTGTGGTTAGCAGAGCCGTGACAGGGAGTCCAGGTGGGTACCAGTACCCATCAAAAGCAATATACAAAACTTAATGACATTTTGACTGGTAACCTGTATTGGCAAGGCAAATAATTTATGTGCTAAGCAAGTTTGTGTGTTTAGCAAATTCCCGTGTTTGCAAAATTTCCAACTCCATGAAGTTGGAGAAGACGAAATTGAAAAACACGACATGATTTTTTGCTTTCATTGAACAGTTTGTGGACCTTTGCATCCTGATGGGTTGCGACTATTGTGGCAGTATTAAAGGCATTGGACCCAAGAGAGCCATTGACCTTATCCAGAAGTACAAATCCATCGATGAAATCCTCAAAAATATTGACACAAAGGTAGGACAATGTTAAACAGAATATTAACATTTTTGTCATTTCCCCAGTTGTGTGTTATGTGTCCACCATTGACGAACCATTCATGATACATGTTGTACTTTTAAGTGCGGTGAAATCTGTGTGCACTAAATGTTTAACAATCATTCATAAATACTTAAGACAGCTTACCCATTCCTATTGGTCGAGAGCCCGTCACGTGGGTGGTTTTAAACGGTTGATTAAACACCGGCTGGCTGGTTTTAAACACTTTTCCGATGTCACATGAAATTTGGACTCCTATGAAATCTGGTCCCTTTAGCCCTTTTATTGGTTGAGCATTCACAATCTTCACTAAGGCATGCGCAATACTACCAATGATTCTGTATTTCAAAGAGTCCTAAACTCACACTACACTGGCACAGCTGCGTTCTGCACCACATTGCGCAGTATGCGCAATGCGTGCGCCAATCTCCATATAAGGATACATTGATACAATGTAAAAAAACATGTCTGGGATTGTCAGTAAATGGACTCAAAGATGGGGCTCTATCTGATCATAACCAGAAATGGTGGGAAGGAATTTTAATAATTTTTATTGCAAAGGTTGTTTGGGATCATAAAATTAAAATAGGGGGGAAGTTGGTACTTCTCAACTTATTTATTTTTTTTGTCAGGTATTGGGTATCCAGCTATTGGTCCGAGCCCTACACAGAGTTAACACAAACATTATTTGTAGATCTTTTATTGGCTTTTTTGGGCACTAAAATCAATCTGATTGCCTTTATACTTTGCACCCACTTAGACCAGCACCTGCCAATGTGTGCCAAACATTGAAATCATCATGACGTCATCACGAGTCACGTGACGTCGCATTAAATGTGCATATTTTGAAGGCTTATATCTACAGGACTACTTGTCCGATTGGGTTGAAAGTTGGTATGTACCTAGACCGGGATGTGTCATAGATGAAAATTGTAGTGACGTCACGAGACATCATCACGAGTCACGTGACGTCACATTAAAAGTGCATATTTTGAACGCCTATATCCACAGAACTACAGGTCCGATTGGGTTGAAAGTTGGTATGTACCTAAAGCGGGATGTGTTATAGATGAAAATTGTAGCAACGTCACGATGACGTCATCACGAGTCACGTGACGTCACAATATAGGTGCATATTTTGAAGGCCGATATCTCCAGAACTACAGGTCCTATTGGGTTGTCCTGTCGTCTGTTGTGTCTATTACATGACATCAAAATACAATAACAAATTACTGAAACAGCCATTATGTTTGTAAACAAACATGTACAACTAGTTTATTGGGTTTTTGTTTCTTTTTTTCAGAAACATCCTCCACCTGAGGATTGGCTGTACAGAGAGGCTAGGCAACTCTTCATCAAGCCTGAAGTTGCAGAGGCAGCTGAAATTGATGTAAGCTTTTGAGTTCATTTTATGTAAAGTTAGAGAAGATATTATGAACACTAAATACTGCAGTCTGAAAAAATTTGCTAAGAAGTAAACTGAAACACAATAACTGCTTGGACGAAAATGACACAACACAATCAAGCTGTCCCTTGTTAGGACATATGAAGTAAATTCCTGGTCCATATCTGATGCCCTACTGTAATTTCACCCCCTGGTAGCATAGGTGGCATGGGTTGCTAGTGGGTAAAGCGCTCGCCTCTCACCAATGTGGCTGGGGTTCGATTCCCGGCTCGGACCACACGCGAGTAGAGTTGTGCGTCGATTCTCTCTTGCACCACAAGGGTTTTTCTCCGGGCTCTCCGGTTTTTCTCCCTCCGCAAAAAAATCAACACTTTCGATCTCTGGCTGTGCTCCGTGGTCATACATGGGTCCTATGGCAACTGCCTAAGGTGCCTTTACATGCCTGCAGCTCGACCACGTTGTAGCCGCGTTCTTCGCAATTCAGCTTCTCAGCTGCGAGTAAGGGTGATTAGCCCCCATATTATACTGTTTTGAAGGAAAAAGTAAATCCTGCACGTAAATATTTAAACAATCTTACTAAATATGATCTTGTTGAATTATATTTCAGCTGAAATGGACAGAGCCCGATGAGGAAGAACTCATCAAGTTTATGTGCGAACAGAAAGGATTTAGGTAAGTATTTTCGTAAAGTTGTGGGGCCGGGTTTCAAAACATGCTTTTAAGAGTTTTTGTTATGCGAAATGAAAAAAAAAGTAAATATGCATATTTTTTTTTCAATTTTGAGACCTTGATGGGGGTACATAAATCTAGATTTATAGGTAAATTTGTTATCAATTTTTCAAAATAATATTAGATGAGAAAAAATAAACTTATCAGTTCTTTAGGATGAAAAAAACAACAACTTGGACCTCCAATTTCATACCTACCAATGAATTTTTGCTTCAGGGAGTCAGGTTGGCGTAGCGGTACTTTCCTCGCCTTCCACCGCTGTGACCCGGGTTCGAATCCCCCCTGGGCCAATATGTGGATTGGGTTTTCAGTCCCTACCTGATTCCGTCGGTTTTCCGCAGAATATTCTTCTGGGCTTTTCTTCCCACCTCTAAAAACTGAAATTGCTTCTCATTGTCTTCTCTCCACAGGTTTCTTCAGGCTTGCGAGCTACAGTGCCTAGGGCGCTTTTGAGGAATCCTTGGTTTCATTACCAGAAATGATTGATAATAGTATGTATTTTTTTTTTCTTGCTCTTTGTCATAAAAAGTGAGGATCGCATCAAGAATGGAATCAAGAAATTGATGAAGGGGAGGCAAGGATCAACCCAAGGCAGACTGGATAGTTTCTTCAAGGTTGTAACTCCGACAGGACCCGCGAAGAGGAAGGTAAGGCCAAGTCTGAAAGTCTTAGCTTTGGCCTGCAATCTAACAAACTTGTTTATTTGAAGTTGCGTCAGCCCCTTCCATATGGCGTGTATAATCCCATTCCATAGCCAAGTAATTATGGCGAGATGTGAGATTTACAGGCTGTATGAAAATATATTACATTGCACGAAGATAACAAAGTCGTAAGCAGTAAATCGTGTGAAATTTAAGCTACTTCTAAACTTTTTGTCCAGGAAGTTATACCTATTTTGACATAAGATCTTTTTATGATTAAAGAGGTTGTGGAATGCTCGAAGACATTTCCGTCATTCTTCGGGTATATGTAGCCTTAGGTGTGATGAAATAAAAACGACTATTGTTTCTGTCATAAAATGAGTACAAAAGGTACTTTTGAGAGCTGTTTTTCAAGTCCTGTCATGCCTGTTTCGACCCGAACGTGCAATTTGTGTAAAAGTCGTCGTTGCGGGCAGCAAACAAAACACAGTAAATCGTGACGTAATAAACAGGACTCCCGATGCAGAGTAGCATAAACGAGTCCTGTTGATTACGTCACGATTTACTGTGTTTTGTTTGCTGCCCGCAACGACGACTTTTACACAAATTGCACGTTCGGGTCGAAACAGGACCTGAAAAATAGCTCTCAAAAGTACCCTTTGTACTCATTTTATGACAGAAACAATAGTCGTTTTTATTTCATCACACCTTAGGCTACATGTACTCAAAATATGACGGAAATGTTTTCGAGCATTCCACAACCTCTTTAAAAATTGATATTATTTTGATGCCTTTTGAAAACCCTCGTTTGTATTTAAAAACTTTTTTTTAAACAAAGCGAAGACTTAAAACGTACAATTCAAGTTGGAATCAGAGACCTTTGCTTATTTCTCTTTTCTTTCACGGCAATTTGTTTGCATGATTTTCCAACTTAAGCCAAAAAAAAATGAAAAAAAAAATGGAAGAACTGAAATGTCTATTGACTGAAAAAAAAAAACACCACAAGAAACACCGATTCCAAACTCTTTCAATAAAGTTAGCAATTTAAATAAAATAAGTTTTGTGACATCAGAATCAATTTTGGTCGCAATCGAACTATTAGCTTGGCACCCAATTTGTTTTGCTCACAGCTGTTTTTGAATTTTCTCTCAGATTAATGATACAAAAGGATCTCAGAAGAAAAAACCAAAGACTGGCGGCGGCAGCTTCAAGAAACCAAGATAACGAGAGAGGATTGACTTTCAGCACCAATATGTATATATGGTCCAATCATATGACATCAAAATATCACATGACCATCTGGCTTCCCCGTGATTGGCCACTAGTGAAGTAGGCAAAGCATTTGGTTAGCAACCAGGCTCCACACATTGTAAACTTTCACAAAATAACCAACAATTCTTTATTAACCAGTTCGTGCCGGGATTATTTTGACATTGAACGGACCCAGGCACGGGATTGTTTTTCATGAACCTCTGCTTGTATACACGTCATCTGGGCCCAATATCACAGTGCTGCTTAACAGTTAGCAGAAAAGTTGTGCTTAGCATAGCAGAAAAATGTGCTAACCTTAAGCACTATTTCACAGCGTGGATTGAAACGGTCGCGTGTGCATGGAGATTTCTATTGTTACGTCACCGAGTTCAGCAAAATTTTCCTCTGAAGTAAGCGTGTCTTTTACTGTGCTTATGCTTACGGTCTCCAAGAAATAGACGGAGGATCTGTTAGCAGAAAATCGTGTGCTTAGCAGCGCCGTGAAATTGGCCACTGACCTGAATTAGTTAATTGGCATAAGGCCAAAAAAAAAATAAGTCGGTCTCTGGTCAGCGCGCGCGTCGATTTTAATCATGCGCGTCAATCTTTTTTTTCCCCAAAATGTTCTGCGGTAACTCCAACCAAAGAGCACCAAGGAATGGGAAATTGCACCAAGGCAAATGATCGAGAGCACCAAGGCAAAATATGGAGGACACCAATGTACATGAGGACACCAAAAAAGCTAAATAGTACCCCACCTTGTCTGTACAATCCAAGCTTGAAGAAGAAAAACAAAACAAAAAAAAGCCGCGTCAATTCTGGACTTTTGGTCTGACCAGAGACCGAATATTTTTTTTTTTTTGGCCTAATGGTCACTACCTGGTGTTGGCTCTGCATTTTTCTCACAATTTTCGCCGTCCATCACAGCTTTGAAGGCTTTCCTGCTACCCACTGCCCCCGTTGCCTATCACAATGGCAATGCTGATTTTCTGTTACCCGAATGGGGAAGAATTCCATACATGGACATCACTAATTTTTTCCTACAGTTTTTCCTACTATATTTAGCAGGGAAAATATTGAAGCATTTACTGAGAAAATACTCAGAATTTTCTTGACTAGTCTCATAGGGTTTGTGCACAGGTTGTCAAGTGATGTCCAGGTATGGAACTCTTTCCCCCGAATGTAGGCCTGGTCACATGAGTCAGTGAAAGACCCCTTATAGTACTTAGCAGCGAATATTTCTAATATTTTCATTTCTCTGATATTACCGTCACAACATTGCTGTAGTCTTTACGTGACCTGGTGCGATTTCTTGGAATAACAGACCTCAGCATAATGAGTGATATAAGTAAATTACCGGGAAAATGTGTATTGGAAGGTTTTTTTGTTAATTATTATGAAATGCATTTTCATAAGTGTAATTCTGTTGACTCGCTCGCAGAAAAAAAGGGTATTCATTAAAATAACAAAACAGCTTTGTATATTCATCAACTTTTTATTCACTGAAAAATTTGTGTTATATACAAATAAACAAAATTGTAAACAAATTGGGAAATGTAAGACATTGTTTGTACACTTACTCTTCAAATTATGTAATTCATTAAAATTGGTGAAATGTATACAATATTTGCCTGGACTTGGTTTTGTTGTTTTTGAAATCAAACCAGTTTGTAAGTGGGTTAATGTGTAGCTCAACTCTTCTACTACTATCTTCAATTTACACAATGTTAAATCCTCTGATCCCACATACTTTGTGTTCATCTAGGGTGCAGGATCTCAATTTATACAGGGTGGTCCAAAAAAGTTCTACAATTTTTCAGATGCAGATTTCTTGGAATTCAGGAGACGTGTTAAAATTTGTTCCAAGATATTTCTAAATTACAGCACGGTATATGGTGAAAACGGCGGTGAAAATAAAGCCTCAGTTATAGAAATGGCGATGGTTCACAGAAAGACCAGGTCAAAAACCAGTTATCCACACGTCTATGAGATGGTCAACACAATAGCACTGCACGCACAAAGAACTGCAATAATTGTAATTAGGTCTACATGACTGCCATAGATGTGGACAAACCTGTTTTTGACCATTCTTATACTGATATTGGATTCCACCATTTAAGTTGATAAGAAATAGTAAGATACCTTTTTGGAATCAGAAATAGCGATGTCACGCCCCAACTATCGCATCGGTCCCAACTATAGTTGGGCCTGTCCCAACTATAGTGCGGCAGTTGGGTCGGCCCAACTATAGTTAGGACTGGAGTTGCGCCGGATGCTTCATGCTTGATAGATCTTGTTGGATTAAATGTTCCGCGGCGCTGGCACCGTGTATTCGTCGTGCATGCATGCCGCAAGGCTGGCCGGTCACGTGGTACTGCCTAGTTGGATGAGTTGTCCAGCTGCTGGGTTGATTGTCCAGCAACATTTTGCAAAATTCAAATATTGCCATGGCCGGCCAACTATAGATGGGCCCCACCCATAGCTAATGTCAAAGGTCCCAAGTAAAGGCGGACAGTATGTAACAGAGCTGTAGCCTAGGGAATGTTTTATAGTCGTCGTACATCAATGTAAACTATAGTTGGGACCGCCAAATAAAAATATTGCGGTGGCCCAACTACAGATGGTCCCCACCCATAGATAATTTCACTGGTCCCAAGTAAAGTCAGATGTGTATTAGAGTTGTAGGGAATGTTTTATAATTGTACAACAATGTACACTATAGTTGGGACCGCAAAATAAAAAGATTGGAGTGGCCCAACTATAGATTTGCCCCATCAATAACTAATTTCAGTGGTCCCCAGTAAAGTCAGACGTGTATCAGAGCTGTAGGGAACGTTTTACAGTTGTACATCAATGTAAACTATAGTTGGGACACCGCAAAATAAAAAGATCGGAGTGGCCCAACTTTAGATGGGCCAGCCCAACAGTGGAACTTACAGTTGGGACCGTCCCAACTATAGTTGGGACAGGCCCAACTATAGTTGGGCCAGCCCAACTGTGGAACTACAGTTGGGACAGGCCCAACTATAGTTGGGACAGGCCCAACTATAGTTGGGACCGATGCGATAGTTGGGGCGTGACAGCGACATAGCTTTCAATGTCATCGCGACATCTTCAATCAGCGTAGTGAATAAGAATTAAACCACTCTGGTCATGTGACCACCTTTTGGGCGATCACAAGCCAGCAGGTCATCGTAGATGGCGGGCAGGACGTATCCGATGTCTCTATTAAGATCTCGTGGTTTAGGAATATCTTAAAACAATTTCAACATGTCTTTTCAATAATTTATAAGAAACCTGCCTCTGAAAAAGTCTACACTTTTTTTGACCACCATGTCTGGGGCGATGGGGCGTGCATGACCAAGCGATGGGGCTTTGTGAGTGGGAGGGACACTGCGTGTGCTGATTTGCACGTGTATGGCACGAAGTACGCACGACATAGTTAATTTTGCATGTGCATTTCTTCAAGTGAGCCTCGGGCGTGCAGGTGTCAATGCGTTTGAATGTCCCTCCCAGTGGTCTCCCCCAACTCTCCCTCTGTAACCGAGCGAGGGGGTACTTGCACAATGATCACAAAATTTCTTGTTCTGGCATGTGCTTGGGTGGCTCAAAAAAAAAATCCCCCCAAAAATCCAACCAATTATGTGATTGGAATTGAAATTATGCTCTACATTTTGCGTCAGCCAAACCAAATTGTGATAAAATCCCCAACCTAAAGAATCCGAGAAGAGAGTACTTCCCAAAATAAACTTAGCCACTCCAAGCTTGTAGGGCACCAAGAAAAGAAAATAGGACGGACTTTGTTTTGTTGGAAGTCAAGTAAAATGATGTCAAGGGAATGCGATGCCGTAGAACTCATGGCCTGGGGTGTTGAAGCACTTGTAGGAACAGAGCAGAGCTCGGATGGGAACACGTCCTGGAGAATTGCTAAGCTTGAGGTCCTAACAAGGAATAACAGAAAAACCGCAACAGTTAAATCCAAAGAACCTTACAATCACCATTTTATGCCAACAGCGCTAGGAGAAAAATTATGTGCAAACCCTGTAAGCACAGAATCCTTAGTTACGGGATGTACGCATGTGTAGAAGCCAAAATTCCTCGCTAACCTGTGAAATACGCTTTTTTCAGATTTTTCTGCTACAGTAAGCAGGGATTTTTTGTTAACGGTAAGCAAAGCCGTGAAATTGGGCCCCGGTGGCTGATTTCACGGCACTGCCTAACAGTTGGCAGAATATATTTGTGCTAACTATAGCAGAAAATTGTGCAAACCTTAAAAGTTGTGTTCCCGTACTATTTCGAGTGACACCCCCAAACTCAATTCATTTTCTAAATTGCTGTTTTTGTGCTTATCACAATTTCTGCTTGGTAGCTAATGGGAGTTTGCAGTATTGGTCCAACCGCATCTGCTAAGCTAAAAGAGTTGCGGAGAGCATCAGCCAAAACAACGTGGTTTATTATGGTTTGTTTATGCGACTTTGCCCTAATTTTATTTTTAACATTTTTAGCCGAGTACCTTTCTATTGGACAGATATGCCACAAGGTCTGCTTGAAAAAAAAACAGAACTTGATCTGCTTGAAATGATAGACTTGATTTCCAGGCTGAATGCTACGTGTGCTTAGCACACAACACGTCAGCATGCAGTGAAGCATGCGCGAGGCGCCGTTGAATACTGCGTGGAAGTACGTTGGCTGCCTTGTTTTTAAGACTACTGCCGTGCGTGCGCCTAAATGTACTAAACTCGAGAGCGCTAACGAGTTAAAAATCATTGCATTTCCAGAGTTTTTCTTCTCTTTTCCAGTTTATTTTGACAGCAGGAAAAAAACGGAATTTTGTGAGATTTTTCAACAACTCGGAATTCCGGCCAAAACCGGAAAAGTGGCATCTCTGATTGAAACTACTCACTTTGTGTCCGTCCACGAACCGCACGCACTCCAGCCACGTGTTGAGGAACGACGCACCACAGAGGGCGCACTTGCTCGCCTGGGCCAGCATATCTCGGATGTTCGGGTAGTGGCGTATAGCCCGGCGCATGTAGGACCACCTGGGGAGTTTGTAAAAACATCCGAATTGTCATTGAGTCAATCGCAAGTCGGATCAAGTCAAAAGTAACAACAGGGGCTGAGGAATGACGAAGAAATGCCTTTGTCACAGTTCATTCGAATAGCTGGCAGAGTTATAAACCAAGTCAAGTCAAGTCCCAAGTAAAATTTCAGCAAGTCAAGTCAAGTCTCAAGTCAATTTTTTCCAAGTCAAGTCTCGTGTCAATTTTTCACAAGTCAAGTCCCAAGTCAATTTTTTTCCAAGTCAAGTCAAATCTCGTGTCAATTTTTCACAAGTTAAGTCCAAAGTGAATTTTTTTCCAAGTCAAGTCTCAAGTCATTTTAAAAAAAATATTAGATGCACATACTACATATGGGAACCAGTTTATGTGTTCGACGACGGAGCCGGAGTAGGGAATGTATAAAGGAGATAAAAAAAAACATCAAACATCCTCTATCAAACACCTTATTTGTATCTAAAGAGTTTCAAAACACATTTTGATATAATATGTTCAAACTTGTTCCATCATGTTGCATGTTTGAAGGACGTCTGACAAAATGTCCTTCCGAACGTTTTCGTTTAATGCATGATGTGAATTATTTTTGCTTTATGGCGGATTGGGGGTAGCAGCCCTGTTCCAGTAGTTTAAACCCCAGTTGCATATAGAACGCTTACGGGTAAACCACTGAATGTGTACGTACGTGTAGCCTATGGGCTCCGTGCGCTAACTAAAGAGAGCGCCCTTTTACCTAGCAACGACGTCCCATGGGCGGGACATTTCGCTGGTTGATGCGCACCGTTCCTTGTGTGTGACGCACGTACACCAGGGGATTCAGTTGTACTATGTACAGGCAGTGCTAGTGGTGGCCGTGCGTCGCGGCAAAATTGCAGTCAGGCAAGATGGCGTCGGTCGGTCACCCCCAACTGTACTTTGCCGGTGAGGGGGTACTTGTGAACGGAGTGGATTATGGTCTCTATGGAATGACCGCTGTATAACAACAGATGGGACTCAGACCTCGCATGCACCAGGAGGTTGAGTATGATATGTTGTCTATAACATACGCAAATGATAGTCATGTACATGACGTGTGGCAGTCTTAGGATTCCCAGTTATCTCGTGCTGGTTGCTAATTCGCTATGTATTATCTGCATTCTTTTCAACCGAATATGCTAGTGCGCACGAACACCCAGATGTTTGTGTTTTTTTGTAACTTCAAGAAACGTGTTAATTTTTGTCAGCAAGTCAAATTTATTCGAGTCAAGTCAAGTCACAAGTCATATTTTTTTCAAGTCAAGTCAAGTCTCACGTCATTTTTTCCCAAGTCAAGTCAAGTCTCGAGTCAAAAAAATAGCGACTCGAGTCCGACTCGATATATTTTTTTCAAGTCAAGTCAAGTTTCAAGTCATTTTTTCCCAAGTAATTTTTTTCCCAAGTCAAGTCAAGTCTTGAGTCAAAAAAATAGCGACTCGAGTCCAACTCGATATATTTTTTTCAAGTCAAGTCTCAAGTCATTTTTTCCCAAGTAAAGTCAAGTCTTGAGTCAAAAAAATAGCCACTCGAGTCCGACTCGATATATTTTTTTCAAGTCAAGTCTCAAGTCATTTTTTCCCAAGTCATTTTTTCCCAAGTCAAGTCAAGTCTCAAGTAAAAAAAATAGCGACTCGAGTCCGAGTCAGCGACTCCAGTCAACAACACTGATAGCTTGTGACCTGACTCAAGACTGAAGGACTTGTGACTTATGTCTGACTTGATTACAACTCTGATAAACATCCAATTTTTGTTGCTAATGATTGACAATTTGTGGTCAGGGTTCAAATGCAGTGTTATGTGTTGTGTCCTTGGGCAAGCCACTTAACTATCACTTACCTCCTTCCCAACGGAAATCTGAATGGGTTCTAAACAGCATTTCAAAACTAAAATCCCTCCCAAATTTGCAAAATTTGAAGAGCTCTGATGTTTAATTTTTTTCAGGACTGCACAACCCGGACAGTAGTACTTGACATTGGTCTTGATTACCAGATTTGTTTAAATACAAACATTTGAGGCATTCTGGCGAAATGAGACCGAACTGGGCAGACGCCGAAACGAGTGTTTGTGGGTATTAGGAAAGAGAATATTTCTCCTTACAATACTGTTTGTTGCACTTCAATCGGACATTCTGTTGGCAAGTTATGGCTGTTTATATTTTACATTTTTTCGACACGTGTCAAGAAAGTTAAATGATGAAAGTCAGGCCTTTCAAGTTTTGACTGTTTTGTAGTCGTGCAAATGAAAGATGTCAAATTGTTTTTCCTCAAAAACACTTTCATGCCACAACAAATATGAAAGTCGAAAAAACAATTATCTCTTTTTTTTTTTTTTGATTTTTCTTCACATGACCTTTGCCCAGTGCATTTTGTCTGGACACCTCACATGAGTCGCCTTCTTGTGTTCCTGATGAGTAATGGTAGCATCAGGATAGCTCTAAGCAAATTTTAGCGATAAACAGGAGTCACGTCACAAATGAATTTAAAGGTACAACAACAATCATGTTTTGGTGCATTCTCAATAATGTGGGCAGATAATATGTGTGACCATATGACCTTTAAAGTTCATGTGGTCGTGGTAAAGAGCACTGCAAGCATTAACAAAAAAATGAAATTCTTTTTTTACATCTCGAGAATAACAACAGTTGTGCTTGTGGTTTGGAAATATTAGGTGCATCATCTGAAATGGTGCCGACTAGTATGAACTTAAACACTGTGTAAGGTGCAGGAGGTGCTGAGTGTTTTCATCGCAACTTACGCAGGATTTTCCTCGTAGAAAACTTTGTCTCCGTATTTGACCATCTTACGTCTGAGTGTTAGTAATGCATGCAAAGTATTCAATTAAGCAAATTACTACATATTAATTATAAATTCATTGAATATTTGGATAAATTAAAAAAAAAGAATATTAGAATTTCTGTAATGCTGTGGAACTTTAGCCTAAGAGGACTGAAGTTGTTCAGAGCGGAAATTAATATACATTGTATTAAGATTTTTAAGCAGTGGTTTGACACAACGCCACCTAAAAATAAACAGGATAAAAACAAGGCCCAAATTTCAAATCAAAATTTAATATAATACCTTTAAAAGATCATATTTATCACCATATTTCATAACCCGTGATTTTATCTTGTCAGCATACATTTTAAAGCCTTACCTGTCTTTAAGCTGCTTCATGATGTATCTTGCAGTGATTTCCTGAGTGAAGAATGGAAACAAATTTTGCCTGAAACGTCTGCCTTTTATCAGAATTGTTTTTTCTACCACTCTTCCAATTTTTTTTCTTCTAATTTTTAACAAACAAGAGACACTTTCCCCCCCAAAAAACTGTTTCAAACATTTCATAGGATTCGGGTCTCAAAAATGAAATAGAAACTGTCTCTTCAAATCTGCAATCGTTAAATCTTTGTTTATGCTTTTCTCTGCCTCTACCTGGATATGCCACAATAAACCATAACAAGTATACCATCAGTGCACCCAAGTGCTAATATAGACCCCTATCATAGACAGCCATCTTCGTAGGAAAATCATAACTGCGTGTTCAACGCCATCAGGTACGTGTACATGCAGTGTGCAAAATGTTCTGAACACGCGTGCATGTTGCTAAAAATTTCTTCAAAATACGGCACAGCCAATTTGCGTCACGAAAATTAGACTCCCAAAATGCCGATGCAAGTGGCAATCTGTAGGCTGTGACGTCATTTGAGAGAGATGTACAGGTTGTCCCACAAAAACCTAACAGTCGAAAACCAATTAATAAAGGTATATTGCATGTGGGTTTGGAATATTTTCAAATTACCTCTTAAAGTCAGATAACCAATCTACCATTCAAACTTTATTTCACTCAAATCGATGCATTGGAACAAACCCTATGCTTCATCGAACACAAGGGTCTTGGGCCACTTTCCTTGAAAGTGAGAAACCACAGTTAGAGAAACACACAAAGGATTTCATTCCTTTGTTCAAGAGTAACGTGCGACTTATTCTACCGGCTTCGATCTATAAACTTGATGAATAAAAAAAGTGGCCCAAGTGGTTTTTCAAGTCCTGTATTGTGATTGCTGTATCTTTTGAACAAAATCCTATTGAAACCAACTAAAAAGAATTTGGAAGACCAATTATTCTACTCAGCAATACATTGGACACGATTTTGAATACTACCCCCACTTTTCTGAAAACATGCCCGATTCGACTGTTAGGTTTTTTTGTGGGACAACCTGTATTTTGGCTTCTGTGTCTGGCCTCACACAGTACCCTCGCTAGTAAGTATTGTAGTCGAGGTAGGCCTACTTGTGATAGATCAGTTCTAGACACAATGAACAGAGGATGAACAAGGAGTGGCTTTGCGTTTTGAATAGCTTGTGCATTGACTTGGGACTGGGGTGACTTGTGACGGGCTTGTGATGAATTCATGCCGAATTATGTTCCATCAGTTAGTACCCTAACTACAGCACTGTCACTGGCTGACCCACCTTCAGTGTTAGGATCTCCTCCTCTTGTATGGAGTGGACGGGTAGAGCATCTAGCAGTGGGTTCTCCTCACAGTACATCTCCTTCAAGGGAAGCTTGTGCAACTATAGTAGAGCCGGAAAATTGGAATTTGCTTCTTGTCAGGACTTAACTGGGTATGATCTTTACAGTTGCACAAGTTAGAAAACTTAGGACTCAAAATACAACGTATTGAAAATTTTCATGTACAGTTGCTCTCCCCCTGCTATTTTCGAGTTTCACCCCATAAATAGACTTTGTTTTTATAAATTGCTATTTTTTCTAGGAAAAAAAAAAGATATTCATTTTCAAATGAGAAAACAGACAAAAAATTGCACTTGTTTTATTATAAAATATTGACCGTACAATTTTTAAAATTATTTGTGCCCTGACAAACATTCAGGCATATCCTTTGTGTGTTTTGGATGCCAAAACTACCAAAACTAAAAGCACATTTTCAGCGGGTTGACAATGTCCATTTAAATAACACACAAATTGAACGTTTCTTTGGAGAAAAACATATTTCCCTGAATAGTACAACCGCAAGTGCTTACTTCAGTGGGGAAAATCCTAATCTCATTGGCAGCAGCGTCAATGATCTCCAAGTGGATCAGCTTCCCTAATCCCTCGGGGAGCTCCTTAATCTTGTTCTTCTGCAAGTGTAACCGGCTAAGCTTGACCAGGAACCCGATCTCCAGCGGCAGGGCAGTCAGCTGGTTCCCGGCAACGTGCAGCTCCGTCAGCTTGCTGAGCGCACACAACTCGGAGGGGAGATTGGTCAACTGGTTCCCATCCAGGCTTAGGTACTGGAGATTCACTAATCTGCAAAATTGGGATTAAGGTTAATCCAGATCAAGGACCAAAAAATCATGCAAAAGGTAAAAAAAAAAACCCCTGAATTTGAGATAAAGAAAAAAATACCATGGAAAATTTAACTGAAACCTTACCTTAAAAGTACTTTTTAAAAGTTGGTAAATATCCAGATTTCTGACATATAACTGTCACGATCTACACTTAAATTCTTGAAAATTCTTGATCTCATGCAATAAAATCAATTAAGACATAAAGTAAAGTCCAGTCTGTAATGAGCAACGATGGCCAATCAGGCCGTCATTTATCTCCAATTTCCTTGGCATGAAACAACTGCGAATATTTGTATTCCCCCTGGATGGGATGCCAGTCCATCGCAGGTTGTCCCAGGTAATGCCCGTACCAATTTTACACTCCTGGGTGGAGAGAGGCAAGTGGGGGCGAAGTGGCTTGCCCAAGGACACAACATATGGCCAGGGCATTGACAGTAAAGTATCTAAAATCTTTTGAAAGACCAAATAAATAAAGACTACAGTTTGTACATTTTTCACTGAAAACTTTCTCTTAAGCTCGGAGACACAAACCTGTTGATTGCTGAAGGAACGGTCTTGATTTGGTTGTTGTTCAAATTCAGAAAAGTCAGATTTCGAAGATCACCTGTAAAAATGCATTGAGTACATTTTAACACAAGGCTTTGGATTAAGTATGATTTCTGGGGGAAAAAAAGGAGTTACAGCATTTTAACAAAGAAAGTGGATGTTTCGCCACAAAATAGCCCAACTACCTTAACTAAAAAGTATTGCAGTTGGGTCCGCCCAACTATAGTTGGGACGCTTCTAGACATGGCAACTGCGCGCGCAGCCATGACGTTTATACACATCGGTCACACATGCTGCAAAGTGACAGATGAACGTTTGTGATGATTTTTTTGTGTGAAAACTATGCCAAGTCTACAATGACTTAGTGCTGAAAAACATGCAAAATGAAATCAGGCCAAATTTACGCACACTTTAGCCAGCAAAATTCTCAAAAATATCTTCATTTGGCAAAGAAAAGGTCCTCAGTATTTCACCAGACAAGTTTAAAGTCTCAATTCAATTTTTTAAAGGAGAATTTTCTTCAATATTTTGCACACGAGAGGGAAATCAAGTGCTTTCAAATCGAGGCTAAAAACTAGACTGGTACATGTCCAACCACGGTCCAACTAGGCCAACTGTTTGAAAAGACGGACCTCTTCATTAGTCTGGTGGCTGGTAGAAATAGAGCCCAGTACCAGACATGCCAGATGTTTCTTTCGGCACAGTTGATTGATGCAGTACTGAAGCGGTGTTGGACTGGTTGTTTCAGGTGCCAGTCCATTTTCTTGTATTGCATGTTTTCAATACTTTAGGTTTAAGGCCAAAAAAATCAAGTCTCCGGTTTCTAGTATGGAGCTTGCCCAAAAAGTGGTGCACCGACGCGTGTTTTTTTTTTACCTGATTGTTTTGCTTCAAATGTCGGCTGATGACTGCAAATGGTGCCCGACTAAACTTAGTGCAAATATATGGGAGTCCAGAGAGGCCACATAAAGCTTATTCTCGACCATAACCCAATCTAAAAACACGTTAAAATTGTGCAGCAGCAGGATTCCAGTCAAACCAGTGAGTTTAGCGGTTTTGAGACATCATCTTTCATTGAAATTTTTTTTTAAAATTTTGCCGACGCGCATGGCTACAGCGACGCGCGCCCATACCAGAAACCGGAGACTTTTTTTGTTGGCCTAAGGACTCGCATTCACAGTATTGAGAGTCTTAAATTTTTGGACTAAGTTGGGGCATAACATGACTAAAAGGTTCAAATCTACGTCCTCTGGATAACCAGTAATCTTCAACAATTTTGTCAATGCCAGGTATTGTATTTAGAAGATATAGCTTCCTTCTCAGCTTACATAGCCAATATCAAACACATTACTGCGACAATAAATAAGAAATGCAAGCATTATGAAAGGAAATGGCAACTACTTACCAATAATCTTGGCATCAATTGTTTTGATCTGGTTGCCAAAGAGATGGAGTTTCTCCAGGGAGTGTAGCGTGGCAAGTGGCTCGGGCAGTTCCTCCAGGCAGTTATTACCAAGATTTAGGACGGTCAACTGCAAGGTTAAATGGTTGAACAGATAACAGGCCTAAATAATAATATTAAGCCTCAAACAAGGCATTTGTGACAAGGATGTTTCCCAAATTGAAGGTGAAATTTCTCTTTTCTTCCAAAAAAGGTATGTAAACCTAACCACCACCATTTTGTATTTCTAATTCCCACTGAAGCCTACACGGTCGCATAAGGCAGTTTGAAGACTGTTTTGGGGTAGCTTGAGTAACTCCAGCTGACATGCTCCATTTTCATTACATGTGAATGAATATGGAGCATGTCAGCTGGAGTTACTCAAGCTAGTTTTGGGGGTGAAATCTGAAGATTTTGATTGGGGTTACGAGTAAAATTGGTCAAAAAAGTTATTAGTAATGCAATATGGCTATGTACCTAGGACTCTACTATCGCCCGACCATGTCCAAATGTTAAAAAAAGGCGATTCGTAGAGTCCTAGTACTAGTAGTAGTTACTCGGACTAGGACTAGTTTCTACCTCCAACAAAACACACAAAAAACCGGTCATACTAAACAGCGTCAACACAGCGTCAACACACTCCAAAGCGTCAACACGGCGTCAACACAGCGTCAACACATCCAAAATGCATTAAAAGTGACAAAAGCAGTATGTAGCCCATATAGTTTGGAAAGAAACAAGATTTTTGCTTAAAATCAATAGGTTAAACGTCTGAAAATTGTGATTTTCAGTTCAAGAAAATTGGCTCTCCGTGCCGCTCTGAGATCGGCTGCCATGTTGCCTCAGTGGCAGCGCGGACCATACCATTATGCTGAAGGGTGATAGCGTTGTACAATAAACCTCAGTCCCTCACAGATCAGAGTGCACTGGTGTCCCTCTCTGCAGCAAGACGCCCTCTGTTGTTTATGACAAGATTACTTGCACACCCCTACTTGAAATGGTGTAGTCCAAGCTTTGTGCGAAGTCAAAATGGTGGACAACGGCCGTGCAAGTGAAGGGTCATTTTTTCGCGTGAAAATACTATATTTCTAACAACAAAATGGAAACTCAATCCAATGAAAATTCTCTTTTATTCGATGCTTTACAATTATATACCTTTTCTGTTAATTCAGAATGTGTTTTGGATGTGTTGACGGTGTGTTGACGCTTCTGTCATGTGTTGACGTTGTGTTGACGCTGTGTTGACGCTGTTTAGTGCGACCCCAAAAAACACCTGAAAAAATACCAACTAATGCTGACTCCCAGACCCATTTGATAGGCACATAACAGTACACAAATGTAATGCATAAAACATCCATTATTTTGAAATAACGTCAACTATTTTGAATAACATCTAAAACTAAGAAGTGCATGCTAAGCAGGCTGAAAAGATTTTGTTCAGCAAGGCCTACAACTACTACTACATGTCAATCAGGCAACTGTACCTTTATCAAACCACTTATTTCTCTTGGAAGATCAGCTATTTTATTGTTTTTAAGCTGGAGACTATTCACACTACTAAGCTTCCCAATGACTCTGGGTACTTGGTTGATCCCTTTACTCGACAGATTAAGAGATTTTGGTTGCCCCTTCAGAGCTCGAAGAAGTAATGTGTCTGCCATTTCGATGTAAATTCATGTTGCTATAAACGTAGTCTGAACCCCTCCTCAGCAACTCTGTATGTTAAGTACAAGAGATGACAGGGTACCGTACAAGCAATTTCACCGTTGATGATGAACAGCGCCACCAATAGGCCAAAACCTTGGAGCACTTGTATCAGGCACCTAGACGTCAAGGTATCAGCACTCACGAAATTCAACCATAGAAAACAGACTAAAACTAAATAATGAAAGGTTTGCGGAAACACCATGTGCGAATAATTTCTCAACTAAGAGAATGGTTCTGAAAAGAACCAGAGGTATAAACTCGACGTTCCGGTCAGTATGCTCTGACCGTCTTCAGGAGAGTGCCTAAACTCTAAGAAAGTGAATACTTAAGTAGCAAAGGGTGAAATCAATGGAGTGTGAAGTTGCATCCTGTGAGGATGCCAAGTAGACAGGATCCCTGAGCAAGCTTAGTGCCCACTGAAGTGGAACAGTAGGGTTGCAGTGTCAGTGGAGGGAGGACCTAGGGTATAGGAGACCCCTCAGTCTAAGGTAGTAGCTGAGGACCTAGGGTATAGGAGACCCATCAGTCTGGAGAAGTGGGAGCCAGATGTCGTTGAGATGAAACCCGATGTCTTGCGGAACTGTGTTGTGCTTGCGGATCTCGATGGCTTCCCGTATGCGTCTTGGATGCCAGAACTGGATCGATGCGATGAGTTTGGCCGCATCCCAATCAACTTTGTGGTCGTTGATGTGGGAATGTTTGACAATGGCCGATTTGTCAAAATCCCCTCGCCGTCCATGTGCTCTGTGTTCCTTGAGCCTAGTGGGAAGGTTCCGACCGGTTTCGCCGATGTAGACTTTGCCGCATTCGCATGGAATGCGGTAGACTCCCGGCTTGGAAGAGGAGTCCTGCTTGTCCTTGTGAGTATGGAGGCTGCCTTGGAGCTTGTTGCCAGATGAGTGGTACACCTTGACGCCGGCTTGTCGGAGGATGCGTTGCAGATGATGAGAAGCTGGACCTATGTAAGGAAGAGTGACTGAGGGAGATACAGTGGGAGGACCTTGGGTATAGGGGACCCGTTGGTCAGGTTTGCTGATCTTGATGCGGTTGGGTTTGTAGCCGTTCCGTTGTAGTGACGTCTGGATGTGCTTGAGTTCACGCTTGAGGTTGTCTTGGTCGCAGACCTCGAAGGCTCTCTGTACTAGGGTGCGGTTGACCGATGACTTGATGCTGGGGTGATGGAACGACCGCTGGTGGAGATAGCGGTCGGTGTGGGTGGGTTTCCTGTAGACGCTGTGTCCCAGGGTGCCATCCGGATTCCTGGAGATCTTGACGTCCAGGAAAGGAATGGTGCCATGCTGTTCTTGTTCCATGGTGAAGCTGATGCTGGTGTGTTGCTTGTTGAGGTACTGGAGGAAGTCTTGGAGTGTGTCCGGGCCATGGGGCCACACTACGAAGGTGTCATCAACGTAGCGTAGCCACAGGCTCGGCCGAAGATCCGCTGTGAGTAGGGAGGAAGACTCGAACTCCTCCATGAAGATGTCGGCTAGGACCGGGGATAAAGGAGATCCCATGGAGGTCCCAGCCGTTTGCTCGTAGAACTTGCCTTGCCACTGAAAACAACTGGAAGAAATACATGTTAGTAACAGATCATGAATTTGGTCGGGGGACAGGTCTGTGCGTTCAGCGAGAGTGGTATCATGTTCAAGTCTTTCCTTAGCTAGTTTGCAGGCCTCGCCTGTGGGAACATTGGTGAAGAGTGAGACGACGTCAAAACTGACAAGCAAGTCAGTGGGTTGGACAGTGAGGTTTCTGGTGATGCTGACAAACTGGGAAGAGTTGGACACATGGTGTGGTGTCTGACCCACCAAGGGTCTGAGGATTTTGGCTAAGTGTTGGGCTGTGTGGTAAGTGGGGGAACCTCGAGAGGCAACTATGGGGCGCAGAGGGATCTCAGGTTTGTGAATCTTTGGTTGACCAAAGAACCTGGGACAGATCGAACTGGAGGGTCTGAGTCGTCTGTAGAGGGGGATGGATAATGCATCTGCTCGATGCAAGAGGAGAAGTTGGCTGGCAACTCGCTTCTCGATGGCGGGGATGGGGTTCTTGGGGAGTGGGCGGTATGAACCAGAAGAAAGTATGTCTTTTACCTTGATGCTGTAGTCCTCCCTGTCCATGACGACGGTGGCGTTGCCCTTGTCCGCTGTGAGGATGTGGATGGAGTTGTCTCGGCGAAGGTCACTGGATGGATGGAGTTGTCTCGGCGAAGGTCACTGACAGCGAACCGCTCTGGTTTGGTCAGATTAGGTTTAGCTGTCTACTGGGTTTAGCTGTCTACTTGGCATCCTCACAGGATGCAACTTCACACTCCATTGATTTCACCCTTTGCTACTTAAGTATTCACTTTCTTAGAGTTTAGGCACTCTCCTGAAGACGGTCAGAGCATACTGACCGGAACGTCGAGTTTATACCTCTGGTTCTTTTCAGAACCATTCTCTTAGTTGAGAAATTATTCGCACATGGTGTTTCCGCAAACCTTTCATTATTTAGCATCTTCACCATGCAAAGCCTCAAATCTTACTCAGACTAAAACTATTGGGCATGCAATACGTATGTAAATCGTGCGGCGTAAGCTTTCCCCGTTATTAATTTCCCTTTTTTCCCTCAGCGCCAGCGATCGAAGGTGAGTATGATGTAATGAAAGAAGGCTTCAATCTATTCATAGTTTTCAATCTTCATTGTGACTTCTGTTGTTTTTTTAAATGCATGTTTATGTTACCCTAAGTTTCATATGACGTTACGGAGACTGGCATGACTGGAGAGACATAACATTAGAGGGCGCCCTCACCATGATCACTGAGGACTCCTGATAATCCAACCATGGAGGAAGGAATAGTTGGGAGGTTTCCGATTAAGTCGGAACCATCCAAACTAATGATGGATTGTGAATTTTAAAAAAAAATTAAAAAAATTAAGAAACTGATCATTTAGAAATTCTGTCTACAACTTGGCCTAGCCTAATATAACTTTTGGTCTGATGACGTCATGTTTCTGAAATGTTCTGAAAGTTTGCAGTTGTCCAAAGATTAGGGGAAATTTGGTGAAATGTCAAATGGTTTTTAAATTAAAAAAGGAAAGAATGTTGCATCCTGATGCCACTTTTTTTCATCATATATCTCAGTGAAAGTCAGTCATTGCAAAAATGTTAAAAAGATATGAATCTGGGACTGAAAAATAATTCAGATGGATAACATTGATGTCTTGTGTGCGTTTTCTGCGACAGATCTAGAAACAATGTCAGACAGCGACGACTCAATCCACCGTCTTGAGGGCTCTTCCGACCAGGTTGGAGGGCTCATCATCAGGAAGAAGACCACGTCCAAGGAGGATGGCCAAGACTCCTTCAAGGCCCCTCAGCCCCGCTCCTCACTCCTCGGCCTGGACCGGCTGGCTGCCGCCAAAAGGAAAGAGAAGGAAGGCCTGGAGGAGGAGACTAAGAAGAAGTCAAAGGTTACGTCCTACAAGGATGATTGGGAAGGCGGAGATGAGGATGACGAGGAAGATGATGATGATTGTGAAGATGATGAGAAAGAATCCTCGCTGAGATCCTCTCAAAAAAGGTATGAAAAGTTAAAAGTTGCATTCCCTGTGCTATGTTAGACTTTCGGCCCGAAAAATAGATTCCTCTTCTAAATTGATAGTTTTCTAGCAACACAACAAGCTATTCACTTTCGAATAAGACATCGAGCGAAGAGATCGGCCCATGTTTACTTATCAAATTATTACTTTACAATTGGGAATTATTGGCTGCCAAATGATAATTCCGTTCTTGTGGCATAGGCTGGTTCCTGCCCCATAATCAGTATTGATAATGTACGGACCGGGAGCCAGTCTGCTCACAAAGTGGATCTGTTGGTGCCCAAAACAGAAGTCTTTTTTCAGAGGGTTGCAGAAAAAAAAGCAAAACTCTGCTAAAATGGGATTCAGATTAGCCAGTCAACCCTGGCAAGCTGAATGGCTGAGTGGTTAACCAGCTCACGCCGGGATTATTTTGACAAGAACGGGATTACTTTGATTACTTTTCACTCGACCTCAATGCCAGGCGGGTTGAAGCCATCACCCTCGGGCAGCACACTCATATTTCCGGCCTCGCTCGCTGCGAGCAGGTCACTGACCGATATTTCTGGCCTTGCTCCCTGTGTGTTAATCTGTCATCCGTTCCAAATACCGCAAAACTTTTGCGTGTATACACGGCCTCTGGCGAACTAGTTAAAACATCTGCACCAGAAAGTAGGAGGTTATAGGTTCAAGTCCCAACCGTGCAACGATGTGAAATTTTTTCTCACAGTGTTTAAAAGTTATGTAAATGGAGGACCCAAACCCCTAAGTGCCTACCCCCCCCCCCCTCCAAGTTTTTTTTTTTTAAATTTGAGGAAGTGTGATCCTTTTTCTTCCAGGCAGTACCGAGCCCCCCGAATTGAAACCCCCTCCCACCCAGGGGGAGTGAGCAATGCGGTGAAGGACAGGCAGAGACAGCGAGAGAAGGAGAGCCGGAAGGGCGGAGTCTATGCCTCCTCCTCCTCCAAGGACCAGGAGAAGAAGAGCCGGCGAGATCGGGAGAGAGACCGGGACAGAGGTAGGGTCAAGGGTCTTGAATATTCATATTTAAATGGTTCCATTTATATGTTTGCGTTATTTGCATCCCCTTTGATTTTTAAAGACGGCGTACCCCAATAAAGGTCTTTTGGGAACCTAATCTTGGGCTAGCTTCAGAATGTTTCAGAAATAGTGTCACTTGGTTTTTTTCCTTCTAGCTGACTACATGCCAGACGTAACGATTCCAGAGAAGGTCTCGTTTTAGTATCATACTCCCACCATAAGTACAAGGTTTCTCAAGTGATCCTCTGTCCTTAAAGGGAAGATACAACATTTGCAAACATCTAAAAACAAAATGATCAAATTATCACGAAATTCTTTACTAGACTGTTAGGGAGTAACAGTCTAAAGCATCCCGTACATTCGTGGCTCCTGGTGTGCTGACATTTTAAAGTACAGTGGTATTTTTGTATCAATTTCCAACGCTGGTCGGCCGACCAGCGTTGGAGAAAACTGGTTTTTTTTGCGCATTTTCTTTGCAATTGATTACACACCTGTGAAGGGTTACAAGCAGCTAGACTGATTCTCTGACCTTACAATTCCCCAAAGTCTATAAATTGCTTCGTTTCATCTTAAGTGGGGTCAGGGAACCAGACTACAAGAACATGATTGGTTTTCTTAGTTTTTCCATCATCTACGAACCCAAAATGTGAAACGAGTTAGTGTTACAATATTTGCTTTAACATACTATTCCTCCAAATTCATTTATTTCTGAAAATTACAGCAAAAGCAAATGTTGTACATTCCCTTTAATCAGAAACGTTAGAATAAGTTAGTTGTTCAATATATAACTTAGCGAGCAAAGATCAAACAATTTATTTTGTGAATTTTAAATTCTTTTTGTACAGACAGAAGAGACCGCGACAGAAATAGAGACAGAGACAGACGCAGAGACCGTGACTCAGAAAGAAGAGACCGTGACTCAGAGAGAAGGGACCGTGACTCAGAGAGGAGAGACCGTGACTCAGAGAGAAGCAGTCGCAGCATCCGCAGCGAGAGGAGTGATTGGGAGAGGACCCCCAGCAGGGACGATGAGCCGGGAACGCCTAGAATATCGAGAGGTAGTGTGCCGACCAATGGGCTCCTTGCACAAACAATGGTCAAACACCATTGATGAGAGAAACACAAGTGTGGGCACACAAGACCACTGGTTTGCATCTGTATGGTACAGAGTACGCGCGAAAATGTCTTCATTGAATGTGCGCAAACCAGCATCTTTGCGCGAATAGTGGGCGTTCAGCGCAAGTGCATACAAGTCACGCCCATTGTGATGTCAGTGGTCCTTCTAACCTCAGTCGTCATATTTGAGGGTTTTTTTGTGTATGGAATCCGTAATTATATCCTATACACACAGCTGTATAAGATCTTGATGATACATTTTCTTTCTTCATTGGCCATATCACTCCAGACAATTACATCTTTGTGATGGTTGCTTTAATACTGCATCTCGTCAGCATTTTCACGAAGGGACGAATTTGGCCACGGGGTGTTGAACAGTGGTTCTGAGAAAATCGGGTTTTAAGTTGGTCACTTTTGGAAGTAATAATTTCATCTATTTTAAGAGCACATGATGACTAATTGATGATACAGATAGTAAGCTGAGACCTTAAACTTAAAAAATATACCAATTACAGTGTAATAGAACAATTCATTGTGGAGTAAGCGGAGTAATTAATCTCCATACAGATTAGTCTCTTTTTGAAAACTTAAAATGCCACACTCGCGTTGTTTTGCAGGGCAAATTGGCCCATACACATTAGGCGCTAAATTTGTCTCTTCGTGAAAACTTAAAATGCCACACGCGCGTTGTTTTGCGGGGAAAATTCAATTTGTCTCTTTGTGAAAACTCAAACGCCTATACGTGCATTGTTTTTCCCCCATAGAACAACATGATAAAAGTTGGAATTTGTCTCTTTGTGAAAACTCAAAACACGATTCAGGTGAAATTTTCCCTACATTGATTGTTGTGATTTCATTGATTTAAACTGATTTTGATCCAAAAAAACTTTGCCAAAAGGTTCGTTGCTGTTAACTTAACTGATTTTGCCCGGAAAAAGAATTTCAAAAAAAAGAAGGAATTTTGGCAGAATTTGTCCCTTCGTGAAAACGCTGACAATCTGTGTGTGAAAAATTATTTTAAAATTCAACTGTTGATATCGAAACTAGTTTACTGAAGGTGAATTATTATTAGACACTGGACATTACTTTACAAGAACAGAAAGGGATGTGCTTGAGGAAATCTTGTACTGTCAAAGCATTTTTAGTGAGTGGAAGTATTAGATATTTGACATGTATGTTATAGTTAGACATGCAACAAATTTCATTTTGTCGTGGTGTATTTTTGTCAAATCTCACTTTTGTATATTCAACCAAAAAGTATAATACATACATTTAAATATATGATTTTTGTCTTGGTTTAGGGATAGCCACCCCATCGAAGTCCAACTGGGACGAGGACGAAGACAGCATTCCTCGTAAAGCGCCCTCAGGTTGGGACTTCCCCTCACCCAAGGTGCAGTCTGGGAAGGGCAGGGATCGCAGCGAGCGGGGGCAACGCGGGGATCAGAGTGAACGCCGGGGAGAGCGGAGCGCCAGGAGCAGTCGCGACAGAGACTCAGAGAAAAGGTATGCTGTGTGTGTGTGGCAAACGCCATGAAATAAATGTGTGGCCAAGCTGGATATGATTGGCCACTGAGAATTATGTATCACAGCTGATTGGTTGCCTTGTGTATAGATACATACAAGTGAGGACCTGAGATGTAAAGTTGTGTATATGCACACACGGTTTACTTTTGTGACAGAAATGCAGACAGATGTTTTGTTATGTTTGCACTATGACAAACACAACTAAAGAAATGTGTGGCCAACTTCACTTGATTGGCCATGGAGAATTATACATCATAGCTCATTGGATGCCTGAAGTGAGGTCATGTGCAAGCTACTTTCAACTTGTACTTGTTAAAAGTTTTATTTGACGGAAGTTTTACTTTAAACAAAACAGAATAGGATACTTCAGTACAATTGAAATCTTCACAAGGCTCAGAGCAAACCCAGTAAAATATTTTTTTGAAACTTTCATGGATTTCATATCATTGATATTAATAGTAATTAATAAATTCCTGAGACAGTTTACCCATTCCTATTGGTCGAGAGCCCGTCACGCAGATGGCCATAAAGCGCAGTCTAAACATCGGTCAGCAATGCTTAAGAAAGGTGTTTAAAACTGCGCTCTGCACCACATACGCGCTGTACGCACAACATGTGCGCAGTATGCGCAACATGCGCGCAGTAAGCCCTGTGCGCACCAGCTACCCCCAACTGCTCCTTTAGAACCACTGATATGATCTCCATATAAGGCGCGATGTTCAGCACATCGCGTGCGTGTCGCACACCATAAGTGGCCTGATCTGAACATGGAGTGAAATGGTACCCAATCATCAAAAACTTTTGCACTTTTTATGGCTTTCGATTGAAAAGGTATTGGTGAATGGGGATAATAGTTTGATTGAGCAGTTATAAATATAATGTATAAAACTGGTTAGGGGCCTTGTTGCTGATAATAGCCCTCACCTTCAACTTAGGCTGTTATAATTAACCTAATTTGTATCACTAATTCTGGTGTTCATTGTTTGTTTTCCTTCTTTTCTTCCAGGAGTAGTTCAAGGCGTCCCGTCGATGACACGCCCATGATGACGCCCACCCACCGCTACAACTCCTGGGCCAGTAACAGAAAACGCAGCGGAGTTACCCCACAGATATCAGGTACATGTAACTTCCAAGACACGGTCCCATTAGTCGTTTGGAGAAATGGCAGACACAACTTTCAGACACTGTTTCATTTGAGTAAACTCTCTGAAGTCTTAAAAAAAACCTTGACCTGACAGGCCTAAGCCCTTACTTTGTGTGACTCTGGCCGCAAAATGCTGTATTTTTTTCACTTTGTTTTTGATTATTATGTTAGGAGGTGATACAGTGGAACGATTTGCGTCTGACGCTGATCGACGGGAGTGGGAGGAAGAACAAAAGGTAAGAAATCATGTCAAAGTTATTTTATGACAACTAAAAAAGATTTTATTTTTCAGTTTCGATCAAGAATTAAAATATCTGGTTATTGCATTCTCATCCCCTGAATAAAAATAAATGGACATTAAATGTATTTGTTGTCAGATTTGGTAAAGATAAAAATTATTCTGCAGAAAGAATTGCTTTGATTAGATGGAACATCCGCTTGATGTCTAAAGAGGGCGCCATTCAAGTCAATATATCGGCTAGCTATTTGCAAAGAGTTAATAACATTACACATTGGGGCACCACTCTTAATTATTATCTTCAAGCAAACTTGAATCCTCGATCCTGATTGGTCGATCCATAGCAACAATAATGTGATATTATACCTAAAACCACGGTCCATATCGCACTCCACGTATCGTGCTATTCTAAGATGCGCGCACTATTCCTGCAGCACGCGCGTGTATAGGATTACTGCAGAGTGTGCGTCCCATCTTTACTGTATGTCAAATTGCTTGAAAATAACTTTGTTATGCCTCTCTTGCTCATGAAACATGGAAAATGTAGTGCGTCTATGTCCAATATGCCACTTGACTTTTGGCTCTTTGTTATTATTATTATTATTCCATCCGCACTCATGGGATAACTAACATTACTTGGACAGATTTGGTATGAATGATATCAAAACCGACCTTGTTTCCCCTGTTTGTTTCAACACAGAGGCTGGATCGTCAGTGGTACGGATCCGACGAGGGTTACGACGAAGTCAATAATCCATTTGCCTCCATCCCGGACGAGTACACTCAGAAGAGAGAGAAGGAGCTTATCAGTAAGGCCTCCAAGAGAATGTCCGCTCAGCAGCGTCAGATCAGCAAGGTGGGTTTATTCACATCGACTTATCCAAACAAGCTCAAGCACGGTGACTTCATAGTCTTTTTTTTTTACGGGAAGGAAGGACGGCAAAGATGTGCCAAATCTTCAAATATTTAGTCGATTCATTTTGGGGATCAGGTTGGTATAGCGGTACTTTCCTCGCTTTCCATTTCTGTGACCCAGGTCTCGTAGGTTGAGAGAGGCAATTGTAGTAAAGTGTCTTGCCCAAGGACATATGCACCATGGCACACGCATCAAACACTGTACCTTTGCACCATGGTGTTCTTATATAAGATTATTTACTTATCGTATGTCAAAGGTCTGGTTGAAAGGAAACTAACCTAATATTGCACTGTTTATGAGAAAAGACAAAAAGACATTTTATGGTATACTCATACGTTTTTCCAGCCGTAAATATGAGTCTCCTTCCTTGACGTTGCAACTTGCCCCCAGCTTCTGTCATATGATCAATGTACTGTTCACGTTGTGTGTGTGTACACAATAATTAATAATGTACAAGCACACTCACACAGCAGCAATAAACACTTTGTTTTCCCGCACGTCCGAGCATAGTAGCACTGTTGGAACATGTGCGACAGGATTTATGACTAGCTCCCAAACAGCTCGATTTTGAGGGTCAAAATTTTGACCACGAAATTCACTCTCGCAAGAATTACTCAAAAACGGCCAATTTTTAAAGGATTGCTGTGTGGACATAGATATTCTACTTTTAAATGCTCTTTCCAATTAATATAGCTTAGTTCAGAGTGCGTTTTGTAGCCCTATTGGGTGCTTTCCAGGATGCAGTGCCCCTTTAAGATAAAAGACATCAAAATGCTTCCAACTGCTTTTTGAATGGATTGATCTGAAATGTACAAATTGTAAAAGTCAGAGCAACTGAAGTTTTGCAACTTTGCTTTTAACAGGACAATGAGAAATGGGAGACCAATCGAATGCTCACCAGCGGCGTGGTGACCAGGGTCGACTTTGACGAGGACTTTGAAGAGGACAACGTCAAGCGCACGCATTTATTGGTCCACAACATCGTGCCGCCGTTTCTCGACGGACGCCTCGTGTTCACCAAGCAGCCAGAGCCAGTCGTCCCTGTTAGGGTAAGGTCAAATGACATCAAACCATTAATAGTCAGTCATTAAAGAATTAATTTCAGCCACGTTTCATTGCAAAAAGTATTGATTTTCCAAACATATTTTCAAATGAACCACAAAGGGAAACTCACTAGTTTACTCACTAGTTTGAATTATAACAATTTTTGAAAAGTTGAACAACGAAATTGACTGGAGCGGGGTTTGAACCTGCGACCTCCGAATTACCGTTCCGGTGCTCTACCAACTGAGCTATCCAGCCCTATGTTGGTGTTTCCTCAATTTGTCAATATCTTTGTTCAAGGGGCGCTGCGAGGCCCTCTTCACCAGTCAACAACCAGGCTAAGTCAAATGTAACAGTCAGTCAGTCGGTCAAACAGATAGATATAAAGAGGGTATAGTCGTGTTCCCTAACGTGGCGCACTTCGACATTTACCCCAACTTTCCTCATGAAGTGTTGCCAAACTTCTTTGATGACAAACTTTCAAATTCATTCAGTGAAATACTGGTACTTTTACCTTATATATGCTTGCTATTTAACCTCTGTGAGCAATTTTGTTGTCATGAAATTTAGTCCGAAATTCAAAAACGGGTGTCCGGAAATTGGGCACAAAATCGGCTGAGTGTTCCCTAATGTGGGGCACTTGAATAAATCTCGGAATATTCCAAATTAACATTTAAGAATTTCTGTAAAATTGATATATTCCGATAAACCATTATTATCTCTACTTTACATACCAATCTAGAAAATTGTCAGAAGTTTATGTTCTTATTGTTGGGTGGCATTTTCAAAGGGTTCACTGTGCACTTTGAAACAAAATCTGAAAATCACGCTGAAATACATTTTTCTTCTAACTTTGCAACAAGTAGATAAACTCGCGATTTATGAACGGGAGCGTTTAGAGCTTGATGAAATTTCACTTTCTGTGAAATTTCAGTTAAAAGTTTCGCTCTAGCTAGGCGCTACAGGCGAAAAAACAAAGTACGCCACGTAAAGGGCCGCGCCACATTAGGATACATCAACAATACTAGTCAGGCCCGCTACGACCAGCAAATCCAGAATTTCCAATGGGCTCCGTTCAGTGCACAAGAACCCCCTCAACGGTAAGAAAGGGCGAGTTGGGGGAGACCACTTAGGGAGACGTTCGAACGCATAGCCGACGGCGCCTGACGCTCACCTGGAGACTCTATGACTTTATGTACATTCAGATTAAAGTAAGTCATGCGTACTTCGTGCTATATTCGCCCAACCCAGTACGCTCACGCAGTTTTTGTTTTTCTCTCTGCAGGACCCGACCTCTGACCTGGCCCAGATTGCCAGGAAGGGCTCCCTCTTGGTCCGCAAACACCGCGAGCAGAAGGAACGAAAGAAGGCGCAGCACAAGGACTGGGAGCTGGCAGGGACCAAGCTGGGTAACCTGATGGGCATCGAGAAGCAGGACGATAAGGTGAGACACAGTACCAAGAACCCCAGACTAGGAGCTTTGCCCCCGCTTGGGTCAAGGCTATAGGGAGAATAGCTGTAGCCGAACTGCCAACCCGAACTAAAATCTGCCAAACTTTGCATTTCTAAGCCAGCCAAACCCAGACTCTATAAACTGATACCATGGGCTGCCTGTAAATTGTATGTACTCTGAAGAATACAATAAGGAAATGGGGCAATTCCACGAGAATGTGGACATGGCTGAAAAATTAATGAAATCTTAAAAACTAGAAGCATCACAACCACAAATGTGGTATCAAATTAAAGCCAGAGTCCATCATTTGCAGCTATCCAAAAAGTAACTGGCGTAATTATTGTTGAACAACATACTTGGTTAAAAAAAAAAGCAAGGGGACATAAAACTCCCTGTGAAATTATTGTTTCTGGCTGGCTGTCATTTTGAAGAAATCAACAAAAAGCACAAAAATGAGCTTAGCACAAAAAAGTCTGGCTTATTAAAGCAGGTTACCAGCCAAAACTCCATGTGATGTATATTGCTCGTTATTAGTATCGTTATTAAAATCACATGGAGTTTTGGCAGGTAACCTGCTTTAAGCTAGACTTTTTTGTGCTAAGCTCAGTTTTGTGCTGAGCAGCACCGTGAAATTGGGCCAAGATGTTTATTTTGTTGGCCCAATTTTTTTTTTTTTTTATAGTTTACTCACCTTATTTCAAGGGATCTTCTGGATAGAAATTCAGCCTCAATGCTTTGATTTTATACAATAACAGCACAGAGTTGACAGAAGACTGAAGTAATGTGAGTTACCATTGAATTGCCCAATAAATGAAATGAAAGGATTGCCATCTTGTTCAATTTGCCAGCAAGCCGAAGACGTCAACTACAAGTCCCAGCAGCAGTTTGCGGACCACATGAAGGAGAAGACAGAAGCTGCCAGCGACTTTGCCATCAAGAAAACGCTGAAGCAGCAGCGAGAGTTCTTGCCGATCTACGCCATCAGGAATGAGCTTCTCAACATCATCAGGGATAACAGCGTCGTGGTGATCGTCGGCGAGACGGGATCGGGAAAGACGACGCAACTTACACAGGTAAGGAGTTTATGCCAACATCAATGTTTAGAGGTTTAGAATATAGAATCAGTACATTAGGAACGAGCTTCTCAAATCATCAGGGGTAACAGTGTCGTGGTGATTGTTGACGAGACAATTCTGTTTATAAACATAACCAGTTTAGACGAAACTGTTTTCTTAATACGTATTCAACGTGTGGGCTCCAACTTAAATGTTTCTTCAATAATAACTCCCAAGCATTTACAACACTTTGCTTTAACAATAAGATTATCAGCAATGTACACATTTAATTATGTGTTGGAGATTTTCTGCCTTGAACCAATAAGCATGCATTTAGTTTTGTTGGCATTAAGTGCAAGTTTGTTTCTTATAATGATGGGGTACTTGACTTGGAACTGATATTAGTCTAATGCCTGGTGTTTTTTTTCTGACAGTACTTGCATGAAGACGGTTACAGCAAGTATGGCATCATTGGCTGCACACAGCCGCGTCGTGTGGCTGCGATGTCCGTAGCCAAACGTGTCAGTGAAGAGATGGGCGTGTCATTAGGGGAGGACGTGGGATATGCCATCCGATTTGAAGATGTGACGTCTGAGGTAATTTGAGTAATTCCTTTTTTTAATTTTAAGATATACTTTCTGAGCTCTTTGAAAAACAAAGGAAACATTTTTGGGTGCAAATTGAAATTTTTTTTTTAAAACCTTGTCAACTCCCTGGGGAGCATACACGGCCGGCACTCTTGGCTGTACTCAACCTCTCACAGTAACCATTTCTGCCCTCCCAGGTACCCCTCTACTCCTGGGTGGAGAGCAGCAATGAGTGACAATATGCCTTACTCAACGGCACACGCACCATAACCCCGGGCTGGACTTGAACCCACTACATGTACCTTTAGAATTACCCCAGCCCACGAATTCAATGCTCCAGACCACTAGGCCACGGCACTCCACGTTAAGATTTATGTTTTTAAAAGGAACTTTTCATTAGGGTGGCATGGGTTATTGTGCGTTAAGCGCTCGCCTCTCACCAAGGTGACCACGGTTCGAATCCTGGCCGCGGATCACATGTGAGTAGAGTTGTGCGTTGGTTCTCTCCTGTGCCACAAGGGTTTTTCTCCGGGCCCTCCGGTTTTCCTCCCTCCGGAAAAATCAAACACTTTCGATCTCAGGCTGTGCTCCGTGGTCATATGTGGGTCGATGTGGCCGGCAGCCATAGGCGCCTTTATGTGCCAACGGCCCGACCACGTTGTAGCCGCGTCCTTCACAATTCAGCATACCAGCTGCGAGTAAGGATGATTAGCCTCCTAAATTATTATCATTAGTGTCAAGTCCCAGTCATGATGGTTGAGTCCGAGTCTGAGTGTATGGCTGATGTATGTGACTTGAGTTGAGACCAAAATTGTGACTCGAGACAGACTCGAGTCTGGGGCCTGGACTCAAGTCCTACGACTCTGATGAAAGGCATTATGTCTCCAGACTAGGCAGACTCTGTAAATCATCAGCATTGATGCCTATCCTCAACAATTCCCTGTATTTCCCTCGCAGAAAACCGTGATCAAGTACATGACAGACGGTATCCTGCTGAGGGAATCGTTGCGCGAATCGGACCTGGATCATTACAGTGCCGTCATCATGGACGAAGCTCACGAACGCTCCTTAAACACCGACGTGCTGTTTGGACTTCTCAGAGAGGTACGTCAGTCCATGGACAACATAATAAAACGTAGACAGAACCTGACTGGTTAATGTGACTGCCCTCTAGGACATTTGAAGTGCCTGCAATCACATTGTTTGTACATTAAGTTGCATTGCCCGTGCTCTTCAACTGCAGAAAGCAGCTGTACATATTCTCATGTCTCTCCGTTAGTTGGTTACTTGGCTAGTTATTTAGTTAATTAGTTAGTAACAAACACACTCTGAAAAAGTTCAGAGACGTGCCATCAAATTTATTCTGAGAAGTTCTGCCTCGTACGAGGAGCGTCTGAAAGAGTTAGACCTCCTAAGCCTAGAAGATCGTCAAATCGCAAATTTGAAGATTGTCAAAGGCAAATTTTTTTTAACTGCATACACAACTCCTGGAACGAAATTCCATCTAACCTAAGAAATTCACAAGTTCTTTTTTTTTTTTAAATCGGGCCTTCTTGACCACTACTCACTAGCCAGTGATGTGTAATTTGGGTAGGGTGTACCCGTACATTTTTATTATGTCAGTGCAATAATTTGTGGCCGTTTTCAAATTGTAGTTTTTCCCTTTTTTTTTTGTGATCTTATTACTTTGAACAGTATTTCTTTGTTTTCTTCGGTTGTTTGCTTGATGTGCTTGTCCCCTGTTTTTCGGTTTTGATGTGTGAACAAGGGTCCCCATTTAGTGGGCCTGTGTGCCTGTTCGGGGTTTCCCTTTTGCACCACATGTCATTTTAATGTATTTGTGCAATGAAGGTAATAAATAAAATAAAACGTCAGTAACAGTCTTGCAATGCTATCAATCACCTCGTCCCTCAGGCCCTTAATGGGTCTCCACTGACCGTCTACCCATTGATGCAGTCCTAGAAAATTGGGCCACTAGGGTCAAAAACATGATGTTTGTACTGAAAACACGACTCCTTCCAGACATTACATAGCACATCACGTCACACATGCGTGAACACACACGTTTGTTTGTGGTGTAAATCAAGGATTTTCTTTTGTTCCTCTTCCCTTTTCCTTTGTTTGTCCACTAACTTTTTCGCAACAGCTCTCATTGGTTTTGTACATTGTTTTCTAATCGAGATCATCCTCGATTTGGTTCCTGTCCTCAATTCACTGATGACGTTGCACGTGAGTGTCCTCGATTTACACCTAATGCACAAATACATTGGCCCGCAGCTTCTGAGATCATTTCGAGCTTGTTTTTCTGTTACTTAATAAGTTTTCGGATTCTTCAAAAAACCCTCTTTTCCCCCCATTTTTTGGTCGTCTGTAACCCTGTTAAATAAGGTTTTTGTTGTGGGCATAAACATATCCTCTTTGTGAGCAGACTGTCTCCCCGCTCCCGGTCCTTACATTATTAATACTGATTGTGGAGCGGGAACCAGCCAACCCCAAGAAAATGGAATTATCATCTGGCAGCCAATTATTCGAAACTGTGAAGTAATAATTCAGTAACTAACAGGCATGACATGCTTCAGACTTTTGATCTGAACTCAGACTTTTTTTAATCTGAGAGAAAGACATTATCAGTATAGAAAAAAATGAATCTTTCAGACCTTTCATTCATAAGTTTCAGATTTTTTTAAAAATTGACAACTCGTCCCTGAATTAAACAAGGGCCATTTTTTGGGTCGATGTCTCATTCATAAGTGAATAACTTTTGTACTGCTAGAAAAAAACAACAATTTAGAAAAGGAATCTATTTTTCGGAATGAAACTTGAAATATTACGGGGAACGCATCTGGAGTAGGTAAAAGTCCGGTCGAAGTTTATTACGATGTCTATGATCAGTCCATTTAAAAAGGGCGATATTTAAGAGAAAAAATGAAGGGCAAATGTGATTAACTGCCGAGCACACATATATCTGTTTCAATAAGACTGTAAGCACAGCACATCTCAGATACTTCAGAGAGAGCACTTGCTTAAAAGCGCAGTGATAGAAATGTTCAGGCATGCATATTGAGATCTTGAAATAAAGCATGGCATGTAAGTATGACACATCTGTTATGAAATAAACCCATGGTTACAAATTGAATTGTAGAATATGCTGTGAATAACTCAAGAAATCATGTTTTTTTTTCATTTCAGGTGGTTGCTAGGCGACAGGACATGAAGCTCATTGTCACCTCGGCAACAATGGACTCTGATAAGTTTTCGGCGTTCTTCGGAAATGTTCCCGTCTTCGAGGTTTGTTGTATCCATTTTGATGAAATATGTTAGAAACGCGGGTTGATTATTTCCGTTAGTGACCCCAAATTCTTTGCGTTTCCTTAAATGATAATTTGTCAAAAGAGATTAACCGTTACAAAATGAATAGCGATGCCCTTTTTGGGGGGGGGGGGGACTATTTTCGGCCGAAAAACACCATTTTTAAAAAGACAAAATATAGTGGCCGAATTTTAAAAATAAGTCAAAATTTTAAAAATAAGAATTTTAAAAATAAGTCCAAATTAAAATGTAATGGTGACGGTCGTACGCCACAAAAACTGACTCTTGAGAGTCATTTGTAAAATATTATTATAATACTTCTTAACGTAACTTCATAACACTGCAACACTTTGAGGCCCCACCATGGAGAAATATTTGCTACGACGACAGGCGGTGTAAAGCGGCCAAGTTTAACACACCGTCTACCTCCATGGACAATGGGAACCACTGACGCACAAGACGTGTATACACGCCCACTGCCAGAAATTCAGGGAAAGCTTGAAAATTTAACCTGTCACCCGCCCCTGTGAATATACATGTCAAGATCGTGTTTAGTACATGCTTCCCTTGTTTCTTTCAATTAGATTCCTGGTAGGACGTTCCCTGTGGACACCATGTTTAGCAAGACAGTGGTGGAGGATTACGTAGACGCTTCAGTCAAGCAGGCCATCCAGATTCACCTTCAGCCATCCCCCGGTGACATTCTGGTCTTCATGCCGGGTCAGGAGGACATTGAGGTCACCTGTGAAGTCATCGCAGGTCAGGGGTCAAAATTAGTTTACTATGGCAACTGCTTGTCTGCCCTGTGTTTATCTTTATTTCTATTAACCCTCCTGCTATCTGAACAGTCACAGACAGTCAAAAAAACAATCCCAGTCATCAACAGTCAGATCATATTTCAAGCAGGCACCGTGACTAGTTGAATTCAGTCAACAGACAAAAGCAGGCAAATGGAAGCACAGCTGGCTTATCAATCACCTACAGTCAAAGCACAGCTGCATCAAGGTACATAAACAGTCACAGCCAGTCAGTCCTGCTTTATGTTGGCTGGAAGCTCTTAACTGTTGAAAACAGTCACTTGATTGATTTTGACTGACCAGACAACTGGGCACAGAATGTATGCTTGCATAGGAGGGCTGAAGGTTGAACAGGGTGAGTCAAAAAGAATGTGACCAAGTTAGAAATCAATATTGAAAAGATATATGTGGCTTGCCCCATTTAAATGAAAGTTACATAGGAATAAAGTTCATGTCATTGTCAAGTAACTAAAACTTCACGTAATTTGCATGCTCCATTCACACATTTCTTTTTGAATATTAATACCACAAAATTCAGCTGTCCTCCACTGATCAGTGAATGCTAAACGATATATGCCGCAGCAAACTGACAATAAATGGGTGCTATAAAGATAAATATGATTAAAGGGAAGATACAACATTTGCAAACATCAACAAACGAAATGATCAAATTAGCACCACATGCTTAATTGGATTGTTAGAGAATGGCAGTCTAAAGCATCCTGTAAAATCATGGCTCCTGTTTGCTGACATTTCTAAGAAAAAGTGTACTTTTCCAACGCTGGTCGGCCGACCAGCGTTGGAGAAAACTGTCCTTTTTCAAAAATTGCTCCTATGTTTTCGTATTTAGTTATTCCACATTTTCTTTGCAATTGATTACACACCTGTGGAGGAGTACAAGCCTACTAGACTGATTCTCTAACCTTTCGATTCCCCAAAGACTATAAATTGCTCTGTTTCATCTTAAGTGGGGTCACGGAACCAGACCACAAGAACATGATTGGTTTTCTGTTTTTTTCCAGCATCCCCTAGCCCAAAAAGTGAAACAATTTAGTTTAACAATATTTGCTCTAACATACCAATCCTCAAAATCCATTTATTTCTGAAAATTGCAGCAAAAGTAAATGTTGTATATTCCCTTTAACCATCAAGATTTTACAAGAATCCAGGACATCAGAGCACAATGTATAGGATCCACGATGTGCCACATCTTATTTTTAGTTTGTGTCCTGACATGGCCCATCTGATCAACGGCAATAAATGGGTACTTTGAAAGAAAAAAGGAATCACAAGTTGCAACATATTGAAACTATTATAAGATTTAAAGTGTTGACCTCAACCTCCGTTCAAGTGATCACACAGGTAACGATTGGGTCAATTCAACACGAGGTCTGTGACGAGACTAATCAGTGTTTGGTACCAAGACGTTCATGTAAAATGTGAATTACATACCTTCTGAGAATAGACCAACTGGTTGTCAATGCTGTAATATTCGAACCCCCCTCCCCTCATCCAGAGAGACTAGGGGAGTTAGATGACGCCCCTCAGCTGGCTATCCTACCCATCTACTCACAACTACCCTCGGATCTACAAGCCAAGATCTTCCAGAAGGCGCCGGACGGAGTCAGGAAGTGTGTGGTGGCAACCAACATCGCTGAGACGTCGCTCACAGGTAAAGCTCGCAAATTCACTTATACCCAACCTTACATTATTTGTAGCTCTTATTGGGCTCAATGGTGCTGTGTAAACATTTTTGATTGTTCGTGCACTTAAAATCCATAGCGCCCATCCTCTCACATGGTGTTTGGGCCGATTTTACGAAACTCACCTTATCTTGTGAATCATCTTAGGACATAAGACGAGTCCCTGCTCTAAGATCGATCTCAGCTAAGACGTATCCTAAGACGGATTTCACTGAACCCATCTTAAGCAAGATGCATCAAAACTACCAATTTGATGGTTTTTTCATGTTTGTTTTCAATGCTTGACGAAGCAGTTGTTGAACAGAAAACTTTCGCCAGAAAAATTACTCTACTCAACAAATTCACATGCAAGGTTGTTTTACACAAGATACGATAGAGTCATTCTTCGTTTCATCACTCTATTTTCAAAAGTCAAATAGGTGTTGGTGTATAATTAAATTTTGTAAATAAGCTAATTTTTTATTAAATTTACCCACGTATCAGAAATCTTTTCAAATCTGTTTCTACAGCGGTTTGCATAGTTTGAGTTAGATGAGTTCAGCTGCGTTGCTAAGGAAGTTAGGACGTGTTGAATGCGTCTTAAGTTTGGTGCAAATCAATCCTAGGACGAGTCGCGAGATGAGACAAGTTACCCTTCCCAAGACGCGTCTCAGCGTTTCGTGAAATCGGCCCCAGGATCTCTATTATGATAACCGTTAAATTTTCTGTTTTTCCGTTAGTCGATGGTATCATGTTTGTGGTGGACGCCGGCTACTGCAAACTCAAGGTCTACAATCCCAGGATCGGTATGGATGCCTTGCAGGTGTATCCAATCAGCCAGGCTAATGCCAAACAGAGATCAGGAAGGGCAGGCAGGACAGGGCCGGGGTAAGCACTCAAAAAAATCTCCCGTTATTGTTACATTGTGAACCAGCAATTAAAACCAGATTTGTTTTGACAAGAGAATCCACTGGAGGTAAAACTGCCATGGCTCAGAAAGCTAACATGCATAGCATATCCAGATTGCCCTATGGACAAATTGCACTGGATCGTTAACTAGTTCGCGTTTGAGGATGTGATAACACGCACTGGCTGTGTTTATACACAGGCACGGCTGACGGATTCAAGATTGCCTCGACTCTCCTCCGGGTGACGTCTAAACATGCTAATCCCTCGTGCCTTTTGTACACACACACAAAGTCCATGAAGTCTGTGGAGGCAGACCGTGTGTTGATCTTGAATTGGCCGTTGTGCACGGCCTATTGTTGTACAATTTATGCTCCAGTGCACACCCCGGATTATTGAAACATATGAGGTTTCGGCAAGAAATATCGTACAAATACTGTTGAACTGACTCTTGCGAATCAGTATTTGTGGCATTTGGTTGTATATCAGAAGTTGACTGGAACATTTTGCCTTTTGCGAAAATCAAAATTTTGGGCAAAAAATAATCCCAGCGCGAAGCGGTTAAATGCAGTCAAGTCAATCACAAGTCAATCTCAAGTCAAGTTCATCAAAAATCAGTCCAAAATTGTCCAGCCAAGTTTAATACAAACGAATTAAGGCCGGTTCATACTTCATGCGCGAATACAACTGCGATGCGAATTTGACGTCTTGAGGCATTCACTGCGAATTGAAGTGCAACAAACAGTATTGTCAGGATAATTTAAGTCTCTTTCCCAATACCGGCAAACCCTAATTTTGTCCTCCGCCCAGTTCTGTCTCATTTTTATGCCCCGCGGCGAAGCCGAAGGGGCATACTGTTTCCGCCTCGTCCTTCCGTGGGTGGGTGGGTGGGTGTGTGTGTGGGTGGGTGGGTGTGTGTGTCCGGACAAATCTTGTCAGCGCGATAACTTGAGAAATACTTAACATATGAACTTCAAATTTGGTTTGTGGATTGTTCTTGGTAATCCTAAGAAGCCTTTTGCATTTGGGGCCAAAAGGCCAAAGGTCAAGTTCACAGTGGCTAAAACAATAGAAATCTTGTCAGCGCGATAACTTGAGAAATAATTAACATATGAACTTCAAATTTGGTTTGTGGATTGTTCTTGGTAATCCTAAGAAGCCTTTTGCATTTTGGGCCAAAAGGCCGAAGGTCAAGTTCACAGTGGCTAAAACAAAAGAAATCTTGTCAGCGCGATAACTTGAGAAATACTTTACATGTGAACTTCAAATTTGGTTTGTGGATTGTTCTTGGCAATCCTAAGAAGTCTATTGCATTTGGGGCCAAAAGGTCAAGGGTCAAGTTCACAGTGGCTAAAACAATAGAAATCTTGTCAGCGCGATAACTTGAGAAATACTTTACATGTGAACTTCAAATTTGGTTTGTGGATTGTTCTTGGTAATCCTAAGAAGCCTATTGAAGTTGGGACCAAAAGGTCAAGGGTCAAGTTCACAGTGGCTAAAACAATAGAAATCATGTATTTATTCTGAGATTATAGGGATTAGGGATTAATTCATATAAAACCTACAAAAGACACTAATGCTGTCAATGAATGTTCCATGTGACCAAGGTACATGTAAGTTGATGTTAAAAGAGTGGTGTTATGTCATGGGAACTGTCACCGTTGCGGGGCTTTTGTGTTTGTAAACACACCTGACTTGTTTCAGAATGCCTCTCATATAATGTACGCATTGTAATTAACGAAAGCAAAACACGACTAACTATGAAACTTCCAATATCATTTGTCCCTTCAACTAAATAAAAACCTTACCTGTTGCTTGCTTTATTCACCCTTTTTAGGCAGTGCTATCGACTCTACACGGAGCGAGCGTACAAGAATGAACTGCTGATTACCACGGTACCGGAGATACAGAGAACCAACCTGGCCAATGTGGTCCTGCTGCTTAAATCACTGGGAGTCCAGGAGCTCTTGCAGTTCCATTTTATGGACCCACCCCCTCAGGTGAACACAACTCCTGGTATTTTGACATGGTGTAATCTTTTAACATTTTCAGAACTTTCAGCCTCAAAACTTGACATGCTTCTAAGTTTCTGTGGTGGAGGAAAAAATGTGGCACGATGAAAACATGAGGCACGATGAAAACGTGTTTAATTTGGAATGCCAAAGTTTTTAATCAAGTCCTTACAAGTCAATCTCAAGTCCTCGCAAGTCAATAACAAGTCTTCACAAGTCAATAACAAGTCTAAAGTCAATCACAAGTCCTCGCAAGTCAATCACAAGTCCTCGCAAGTCATCACAAGTCCTGGCAAGTCAATCGCAAGTCCTCACAAGTCAATAATAAGTCCTCACAAGTCAATCTCAAGTCCTCACAAGTCAATAACAAGTCCTCACAAGTCAATAACACGTCCTCGCAAGTCAACACAAGTCATCACAAGTCAATCACAAGTCCTCGCAAGTCAATCTGAAGTCCTCAAAAGTCAATCACAAGTCCTCACAAGTCAATCACAAGTCCTCGCAAGTCAATCACAAGTCCTCACAAGTCAATCACAAGTCCTCGCAAGTCAACTACAAGTCCTCACAAGTCAATCACAAGTCCTCACAAATCAATCACAAGTCCTCGCAAGTCAACAACAAGTCCTCACAAGTCAAACTCAAGTCCTCATAAGTCAATCACAAGTCCTCAGAGGTCAATCACAAGTCCTCACAAGTCAATCACAAGTCCTCACAAGTCAATCACAAGTCCTTGCAAGTCAATCACAAGTCCTTGCAAGTCAATCACAAGTCCTCGCAAGTCAATCACAAGTCCTCGCAAGTCAATAACAAGTCCTCACAAGTCAATCACAAGTTCTCGCAAGTCAATCATAAGTTCTCGCAAGTCAATAACAAGTCCTCACAAGTCCTCACAAGTCAATCGCAAGTCAATAACAAGTCCTCGCAAGTCAATCACAAGTCCTCGCAAGTCAACTACAGGTCCTAACAAGTCAGTCACAATTCCTCACAAGTTAATCACATTTAAATTTTAATCACAAGTTAAATATTAAAAGCTTTTAATGACCATCAACCAAATAAGCAACAAAGATGCATATGTTCCCTGGGAGATGATAACACACATGTGCAAGAAGTTTAAAAAGAGATGTTTTTCAAAATGTTTCATCTAAAGAAAAATTTCTTATGTTCAGGACAACATGCTGAACTCCATGTACCAGCTCTGGATCCTGGGAGCGATGGACAACACTGGTTCCCTCACCCCTCTCGGCAGACAGATGGTGGAGTTTCCTCTCGATCCCGCCCTCTCCAAGATGCTTATCGTTGCCGTGGAGATGGGATGCAGCACTGAAGTCCTGGTATGTTTGTCAACATTAACTCTGTCCCCCCTCCCCCAAAGAAAAATATTAAATAACCCCACCCCCCCCCCCAAAAAAAAACACAAACGGGGCAAAGTGCTAAGCACCCAAATTTTCGTTGTATGAATTGTGTCTTGCAAATTTCCATTTGCATGCACATTTTACATTGAAATGGAAGCAAGACAGTTTATGGTTAATAAATTCCTTAAAAAATTAGTTGTCAAAAATATCTTCAGTTGAACTCATTGAAATATCCACAGAACTCCATGCCTTGCAGTGACTTTCAGGGTCAACGTTATATAATCATACATCTGACCAGTTTTTCAATTTTTACCAACTATCTCAGGCCTACTCAAATATTATTTCTATAAAATAAATCACATGTTTGACAGATCTTCAGTGTTAAAATAGAGGTACTTCTGATGGATCATCATAAGTCATAATAAGTCTATCACAAGTCAATCACAAGCCATCATAGTCCATCACAAGTTGATCACAAGTCATCACAAGTCTGTTACAAGTCCATCACAAGTCGTCATAAGACATTCACAAGTCATCATAAGACCGTCACACGTCATCATAAGACATTCACAAGTCATCATAAGACCGTCACAAGTCATCATAAGACCATCACAAGTCATCATAAGGCAGTCAAAAGTCATCATAACACATTCACAAGTCATCATAAGACCATCACAAGTCATCATATAAAGACATTCACAAGTCATCATCAGACCATCACAAGTCATAAGGCAGTCACAAGTCATCATAAGACATTCACAAGTCATCATAAGCTTCACAAGTCATCATAAGACATTCACAAGTCATAAGACCGTCACAAGTCATCATAAGGCAGTCACAAGTCGATCACAGGTCATCCAGTCCCGGGTCAACTCCCAGGCACTTCAATTGAAGTATGACAAAAGCATTCCTTTGTTATTGTCAATCCCCAGTTGCTTATGACTGTGTCTGCGAATTGACTTGTGATTTACTTGTGACCAAACTTGTGATGTACTTGTGCTCCATCACATATAGGTGGGCACGGACATTCAGGATTTTTTGACATTGGCTTATCTAGCTCCCAGACCTGTGTTCTTGAAATTCAATGGTTCTTGAGTCTGGAGTGCTGAATGGTGACATATAGCAACCAATGAAAACAGACGTCAGTCAGCCCCGATCTATACATCAATTTCTACACTTTTAATCTTTGTTTTCACTGTTTTTGTTTTAAATTTTTTTCCGACCACAGACCATCGTCTCCATGTTGTCTATTCCGTCCATCTTCTATCGGCCGAAGGGACGCGAGGAAGAGAGTGACCAGGCCAGAGAGAAGTTTGCCGTACCAGAGAGTGACCATCTAACTTACCTCAACGTCTACCAGCAATGGAAGAATAACCAGTAAGTTACCAAAGGCCAAAGCTGCCAATTTCTCTGACCTCGTTAGCACAGAAAATATTTGCTTAGTGAAGCAGTTTACCAGCCAAAATTCAATGCAATTTTAGCTGCTTGCGACTGGTACTCTGATAATTTTTGCTTAGCACAGAACATTTTGTTCTTTGCAAAGCAGTTTAGCAACCAAAATTCAATGCAATGTAAATTGGACTGGTACCCTGCTCATTTTTGCTTAGCACATAAATTTGCTAAGCAAAAACTTTTTTGGGGGGCAAACCAGTTTACCAGCCAAAATTCCATGCCTTGTAAACTGCTTGAGACTGGTACCCTGCTAATTCTTGCTTAGCACAAAAATGTCTTCCCAGCAAAACGTTTTACCAACCAAAATTCTGTGCAATGTATAAATCATAGCAACCGATGAAAACTGGTGTGCAAATGAATGGATGTTTTCATCGGATGAAGTCAGTTCGGCACACCTAGATTGAGTTTTGTGAGCACGGAATATGAAGCAGCCTTGGTACCATTGTTGCCGTCGATTTCGTCATAAGTCCTGTCACAAGTAATCACAAGGCAATTCACAAGTCCAGTCAAGAGTAACAACGGATTCACAATAGACCTTTATCATGCTGCCACCATTTCAGTCATGTTCCCTGTATCCAGTAACAGTACTAAATGATAATGTGTTTTTGCAAACAGGAACCAGACTATTTTTCCTTCCAGCCTTGCTTTGGTTACGTTGATTTGAATGGAAGCAAATGAAGATGGCCCCAACATGATAATGGTCTATAGAACAGGAACCTCCTTTGCCACAGTTCATTTGAATAGCTTGTGGCTTGACTTAGGACTGGATGGCTTGTGATGGACTTGTGACGGACTTGACTACAACGCTAAAATCTCGTGGGTTTTTTCCCCACCAGCTATTCATCCATATGGGGCAGCGAGCATTTCATCCACGTGAAAGCCATGCGCAAAGTGCGGGAGGTCCGTCAGCAACTCAAAGACATCATGGAACAGCAGGGACTGAATCTGATCTCCTGCGGCACTGCCTGGGATATTGTGCGCAAGTGCATCTGCTCGGCGTTCTTTCACCAGGGCGCCAGACTCAAGGTAAGCTAGAGTTTAATGATAGACTTTTCTTCAGTTTTACTGATTTTTGTGTAAATATTCAATTCTGTGAATGTAAATGTGCAGTTTTTGTAAATGTTCAGTTCAATTTGACAAATTCAAAATGGTGGCTCATGCTTTATTGAATATGAAGCAAATTTAACATCATGAACAGTGGCGTAGCGATTCGGAATGCACCCCTCCCCCGTGAGTGAATTTCTCGCTACACTACTAATCGTGAAACCTTCCCAGCAAAATTATCTGGAATTGAAGTTAGTTCTAGTTTGTGTATTTCCAGCGCGACTACTTATTCGTATTTGCAATCGCTTCCGCGCCGAGTACGAACTTGCGTTAAGTTAGTATCAACTTCTATATCCAAATTTAATATTAAATTTTTTTCGGGAATAATAACACCCCCCTCCCCCTCCCCCCCCCCCCACAAAAAGACCCTTCTTGTTATCTTGCCCCACCCTCTTTAAAACCAATATCTAATGAGCGCATTCAATTTTCCTTTCTTTTTGTCAGGGTATCGGAGAGTATGTGAATATCAGGACCGGAATGCCGTGCCACCTTCACCCGACGAGCGCTCTGTTTGGGATGGGTTTCACCCCGGAATACATCATCTACCACGAACTGATCATGACATCCAAGGTAGATTCAATTTGGGCGATTCACAATGCAGTGCGCCACCAAGAGTTTGCCATGGAGAGTCAACTTTTCAAGTTTACGGTCGACAAAGCATGGCCCATATGAATGAGTGTCAGTAGACAATTTGAGCTAATTTGTTATAGATTTGGGAATAGCGTTCGGCCGCCTTATCAAAAATCACCATATTGATGCCAAAAAAAGAAAAGGGCAAACATACCGGTATACTCGAATCATATGCTATATGAAACTACTGACCGGAAAAACGAACAATTTCAAATGTCCCACGCTGCAAATTTGTCGACCATCTCCCACAATGCACTGGGAAAAATGAACTCTCTGTGGCAAACTCTTGGTGGCGCACTGCATTGGGAATCGCCCGAATTGACTAGGCTACAAAAAAAAATGTGAATCCGAGGGTATTGTTGGAAGTTTACATGTTGCTGTTATTTTATAAAATCTGAAGTGTTGTGGCAAAATTGAGAAAGAACTGGGCAGAGGTCGAAATGAGGGTTTGCAGGTAGTAGGAAAGAGATTAAAATTCCCCTCACAATAACATTTGTTGCACTTCAATCGGACATTCCATTGACAAGTTATGGCTGTTTAAAGTTTGCATTTATCGACATGTCAAAAAAAGTAAAATACTGGCAAAAAAAGAGATTTAAAGTTTCGACTGTTTTGTAGTTGTAAAAAATTAAGATACCATTTGTTTTTCCTTAAAAGGCACTTTTATTCCACGATTTTTATACTATTTCTGTGAAATTCCTGTTGTAGATATATCAAATCTGAAAAGCTAAAAAAATCACTTCCATTCGGCTTTTTTGCATTTTTCTCCACTCAAACCTGTGTTGAGTTCCGTCTCATTTTACCAGAATGCCACGGAAATTCAATCTGTTCAGCCTAATTTTTAGACCAAAGTAAAAATGCAAAATTCTTTATTTTACATTTATTCCGTCTTTGGTGTTGGCTTTAACTTTGGTTCCAACTCATGCAAAAGCTTTCAAATGTCTAAACCAACTGAAAATACTGCAGCCATTATCGAGTCAGCACCCGATTTCATGAAACTCTTCGTAACTTACGATGCATCGCAGCGATGCGACGCGTCGTATCCCTACGATGTGTCGCAACTGTGACGCGTCCTGCGATCCATTTCACAAAACACGTCATAAGTGCAACGCCTCGTAGGTGTATTTATAGCACAACTCGGTGACTGTTTTATGTATGTAGTCAGCGTACAGTCAATAGTTGTCTGATATTCAACAAAGAGTCGTCGGATCTCAGCTCAAAATTTGTTAAAACGTAAAACAAAATGGCGGCCATGCGATGAAAACAAGCTCTCAGTAGACTGAATAGCTACTTTGAAATTTCAACTGCAATATTCCAGTCTAGTTTCATAATTATTCAATGAATTTTCTATTTACAACTTTACACACATTGCCTCGGTATTATAATCTCCTTTATGTAATATTTATGGCATTAAACTGGCTAAGAAAGAGACTCTTCTTATTTTGCGATGACCAATAGACACGTCGTAACTTGCGACGTGTTTTAAGCCGTTGTCAAGGAACTTACGACGCGTTCAACACATCGCAACTTTCGTGAAATGGATGATTCGACGCGTCGCAAGTTGCGACGTGTTACACGTTGTAACTCGAGTTTGCGACGTGTTGCAGCGCTTCGTGAAATCGGGTGCAGGGTTTTCAAAAATTTTCTGAAGCCGTACTTGGTGATGCAGCCGACATTTAAAAAAAAAACTTGGTTACCTAATATTTATCCTTTGAATTGCAGGAATACATGCAGTGTGTGACGGCCGTGGAAGGGGAGTGGCTAGCAGAACTGGGTCCTATGTTCTACAGCGTCAAGGAGGCTGGCAAATCAAGACAGGTAGGGCTAATAGTAGAGTCGTTTTGCATGAGAACAGTTATGGTTTAGTGCACTGGATAGGCATCAGTTTGTGTCGCCTTGTGACGTCGTATGCAACACGCTATTCCCTACATGTGTGACGTGGACCACGTTCACGGTCATGTCGCATGTCTTCTTAAAGTCTAGACACTCGCGCATTTTGGTAACCCTGCTAGTCCAAGCACGCAAGTGTGATTCCACCTTAGAAATGGCACAACCACCATTTTGAAGTTCTGTCCACGGAACACAAAAAAGGTAAGTGTTCTTTCAGCAGAACGAAAACAATTCACATAGGGGTGAATGTAAACTGTTTTCGTTTTGCTGAAAGAACACTTAACTTTTTTGTGATCTTTGGACAGAAATTTAAAATGGTATTTGTGTTTAAAATTCCGTAACTTGAAAAGTACATGAGTGATTTGAATGATACTTGTACTAAAAGAAAGCTTATGAATTGGGCTTTCATATCCTAGATTTTGAAAGTGCTACATGCAGAACTTCACTAAAACAATGGTCCTGACATTTGGGTTTCATTTTTTTTTTACTCACCCTGTATAATTAAGGTCGCGAAAGTAGCCTATGCATCACCGTTATATACTTGAATGCTTGAAGGCTATATGTGTATATGTAAACACATTCAAATTGTGGACCTTGAACATTACAGGACAATAGGGTCCAGGATTGATCGAAGGTCCACTTTTGAGGTGTGTGTACAAAACATATGGGAGGTCTTCCTAAAAAGTCAGGGTTCCAGTTGCCTGAAATCAGTAAAAACGATTGTGAGGAGCAATTAAATTATTTTAAAATTTTAAATTTTGTATATTCATCAGTGTCTTTTGTCGGAAATCTTAGTTTGATACTAGACAAAACGCGACAAATTTTGGCTGATACAAGCATTTTGATTGCAATTTTATTGCCCCGTGATATCCCCATTAAGATTGTGATAAAGCACCAAACAAGTTGTGTAGTTTTGATCTGCATTTCAATGAACTTGGTCATGGATTTTCATAATTTGCGCTTTTCTTTTCCCTGAATTTGACGTGTCGCAGGCAAATCGTCAAATGGCAAAGGCCAACCTGACAGCCATGGAAGAAGAGATGCAAGTAGCGACGGAAGAGTTGAAAGCCAGACGACAATATGAGGAAGAAAAGAGAGTCACGTCAATAAAAAGGCAAGCGTCATAGTTAGCAGCCCCCCCCCCCAATAATGTCTCTTGAGAAGTTTTTTGTAAAGATGCAAAAGATGCTCCAGTGTTTGGCAGATATTACCAAAATTGTCTGAAATCCCACAATTTTACTTTAGTTAAAAATTTCCAAAGGATTTTTACAATCATCAACATTTTCCAACATTTCATGAAGAATTTGGTCCTCAGACAAAAAGTTTGTGGTGCTCATGGGTTATTTAATGAGCAAGTACTGTTATATTTTTCTTCAAACCATATTATAGGTTACAAGTTTCGACGCCAGGAAGGAAAGAACCGGGGACGCCGGGTTCAGTGCGAAGGAAAACACCCGCTTCATTTGGTCTTTGAGAGCAGCATCCAAGAGCACATTCTCATTGCTCAACCAGTGGTTGATTCGTGATGTGACTCACGACTGTGAAACAAAATTCAAACGATGGTCAAAAGGTCATCACAAAAGTTCTTGAACCCTGGCTCCCTACTGTGTGTTGTGACGCTCGCAGTTATTGGCAACCAGCGAACCGTGCCCCCGAACTCCAGTTCCAACTAGTGGACTAGAGTAGTCCAACTATCCTGCGTTCAAGTGAAGTTTATAGTTGGGCTGTGGTGGACCATAGTCCTACCAAATGGTGATAAATATAGTCTGCGCGACACGTGTTGGTTCTGTCTCCCTGCTGTGCATTATGTAAGTAGTGATGTGACTGACCTAAGTATGCTGTCCCGAAAAGTCAAGTGGACTTGTCCAACTATTGTCCACTAATGTGGGTTCGAGCTAAGTTAATCCAACTATGGCTAACCATATTTCTCACCCAAACTTGATCTTTGCTGGTCCATTTTGGTGATTCCATGCCAGTTTCAGTATTAAACAAGAAGAATAATGACACAGGAATCGATTCCACCATAAATAAGGTAATTTGGATACCATTTGGATCCCATGTTGACCCAGAAAGACTTTTCGGTTCCACTTGAGAACCACTGTATATCCCTGGAGATTGTATTAAGCGTGATTTTTAATTGGTGATTCCATGCTAGTTCCCGTTACAAAAAGAAAAAAGACAAGGGAATCGTTAGATGATATGGATACCATTTGGTTTCCAAGATGAGCCAGAAAACTTTTTGGTTCCATGTGAGAACCACTGTATATCCACGGAGATTTGTTCGCATGATTTTGCTTTGTGATTCCATGCCAGCTCCATGAGAGAAAATAAAGACTTGGGAATCAGTGCAACCAAAAATCAGATGATATGGATACCAGTTGGTTCCCAAATGGAACCAGAAAGCATATTTGGTTCCACATGAGAACCACTGTATATCCTTGGAGATTTTATACTGCAAACTGCACAGAGCCTCGAACAATACAGACAGTACATGTGATGTGCTTACTAGATTCTGATGTTTTATTGCGATATGATGGGAACTTCACAATAAATGCCTTTCTACATATCACTGCTGATAATGGCTACAAATATTAAAGAGGTTGTGGAATGCTCGAAAACATTTCCGTCAGTTTTTGGGTATATGTAGCCTCAGGTGTGATGAAATAAAAACGACTATTGTTTCTGTCATGAAATGAGTACAAAGGGTACTTTTGAGAGCTATTTTTCAGGTCCTGTTTCGACCCGAACATGCAATTTGTGTAAAAGTCGTTGTTGGGGGCAGCAAACAAAACATAGTAAATCGTGACGTAATAAACATTAAACAGGACTCCCGATGCAGAGTAGCATAAACGAGTCCTGTTTATTACGTCACGATTTACTGTGTTTTGTTTGCTGCCCGCAACAACGACTTTCACACAAATTGCACGTTCGGGTCGAAACAGGCATGACAGGACTTGAAAAACAGCTCTCAAAAGTACCTTTTGTACTCATTTTATGACAGAAACAATAGTCGTTTTTATTTTATCACACCTTAGGCTACATATACCCGAAGGATGACGAAAATGTCTTCGAGCATTCCACAACCTCTTTAAAAATATCCAAATACTGTACAATGTTTGGGGAAGGCATGGTTCTATACTGAAATACTTTTGAAACATTTGAACTAATTAATTTTCAAGAACCTTGTTTTCATCAGGTTGAAATTTATGGAAATTTCTAGGGGGAGAAGGAAGAGATTGTTGGAAATATTAGAGGCGTTCTGGCAAAATGAGATGGAACTGGGCACAGGCCGTAGTTGAGAAAAATGCTAAAAACTGAATGTGGGCGATTTTTATTTTTATTTTCAGATTTATTGATATTTATAACCTTCGATATGTCTACCACACACAAACAAAAATAATGAAACAGTATAAATATCGTGGAATAAAAGTGTTTTTATAAAGGAAAACTAATTGGCATCTTTCATTTGGGTCGCCTACAAAACTAGAAACTTTAAAGGCCTTTTTCTCAGTATTTGTCATGCGATCAAGCTAAATGAGTCATTTGTCGGATATTTTTATGTGGAGATACAGGCCAAAATAGGGCCACTTCATCACATCACTTCATCACATCTCTTGGCGTTCCGACTTCCATAATTTTTTAACTAAAGATGGTATCAGCATGCGGTTTTCACAGCAGCAATGTTGAGATTGTGCTCTTTGGAATCTGTAATTAAAAAATGTTTGACCAGGGTCGACAAACGACTCATGTAGCTTGATCGCATCACATTTTACTTTTTGACATGTTGATAAATGCAAACTTTAAACAGCCATAACTTGTCAACTAAATGTCGATTGAAGTGGGGAAAAAATGGTATTGTAAGGAGAATTTTAGTGTCTTTTCCTAATTCCTGCAAACCCTCATTTCGACCTCTGCCCAGTTGTGTCTCATTTTGCCAAAACTCCTGGCATATTAGAAACTAGTATGGAAGAGTTAAACAAACTGGATTACAGTCAAATCTCGTTAGTACAAACTCTGTTAATATAAGATTCTGGTTATAACAAACATAAAGCCTTAGTCCCGACTGTGCATTAATGTGCACAATGAATGGGACTGATGTTCTTCTTAATAAAAGATTCTGATATAACAAACAATTTGGCTAGGTCCCAACGAGTTTGTATTAACGAGACTCGACTTTTCTAACAAGAATTAGGAAAAATGTTCCCACATTGCAACTACTTAAATACAGAGGAGGAATTGGTGAATGAAATCTTTAGCTTGAATCCCCGCAACTCCAAATGACCTTCCCCGTCACTTTACATCTTCTACATATCCACTTTCTGAGACTGGTCCGAGAATGGATGAAGAATTTATTCCTCTCATGCAGCTGGTCTCTGATTAGTGCAGTATTGCCTGCTGCGACAGGGATCGCTGTCAACAAGTCTCTGAAACATCGGCAGTGCTACCCAGGAAAAGTTTAGAGCATACCTTTTGCGTGCATGTTAGGTTTAATAAAGCACGCGCAGGGTGTGTTCTGAATTTCCTGGGTAGCGTTGCCAATGTTCCCAAGACTGATAAGCAACCCCTATTAGGGACTATTTTAATCCACATTTAATCTCGGACCATTACAACCACTACTATGACAATGCTAATACTGTGTACTGTACTGTACTATGGACTACTAGGTCTATCATCCTATTTTATACAGTGCTGTTTAATAAAAGTTTGTATAATAATGTATACTGTTGTCAAATTTTGTATCTAATGTATATAGAATTTTATTTAAGTGAAACGTGGAAAACTATTGGGAGAACCTGAATGCCCCTCAGTATCTGTGGTTGGTTTTGGAACCTGTGTGCCGATTGGCCAATTCACTTTGTCTTCTGCACAGGATGACCAATCAGAATATAAAGAAAAGATCTTGTCAATCTTTTTGAGTTATCAGATAAACCTGCAACATTTGTAGGTTTCCAATTAAATAGTTTACTTACAACTGTTATAAATTTTAAGATGAGACAAATGCTAACAAGTGTCTCCTTGAGTGGTGCTTATTTTTTATTTTTGGGTGCAAGGATATTTTTGCCAAATTTCAAATATTATAACTTCATATAAAAAATATGCAATTTTTACAGCCTTCGGTCACACATAACTTATTTTTTTCTTCAAATCTGTAATCAGGAAAGTATTTTGTGGGAGGGAAAAATTGATTTTAATTAAAAAAGCATCAAGGTAATATAAAATTTTATTTAAGAGAAAAGTTGTGGACAGATTGTGGCACTTATTAACCAGTTCTCGCTGGGATTATTTTGACAAGAACGTGTTTATCCGTCATCCTTTCCGAATACCGCAAAACCTCTGCGAGTATACACGTCATCCGGCGCGAACTGGTTTAAGTTTATGCGAGGTTAAGCTGGAAAAATTGGCTAAATATTTAAGCTTACAAACTAACCAAAAATCTCGTAATCAAAATCATTGGAAATAAAATGTTTTGGAATTGCGAATATTTCATGGGTTACAACTGTGTACATGTGTACATATACACATGCTTTGCAAAACTGAAATTATGCTCAACATTTTTTTCAACTTAAAACATTTCTTCACGAAATTGGTTTCATTTGTCTCCCTCGTTTCAAATAAAAACACAAACAAAACAAAACCCCTTCAGATTTTTCTGGGATTTCAATGTCAGGACATGTGACCTGTTTATTTCACCTTTAAATTCACATACATTTTACCAGTAACACACTTCCGTGACAAGAGTACGTCACGTTACTTTCTTCACATAAAATAAAATCAACTCCACTCACTGGAATTGCTTCCTAATACATGTACATTGATATAAACATATACAGAAATATAAATACACACTAATGCCTACATTTAATTTGTTTTGTGTGTAATCAATCACATGATAAAATTTTACAGACAAAATTGCTGCATAATTTTTTTCCTGCCTAATTTCAGGCCAGGATTTCTCCAAAGTACTGTTGAATGATGTGAATTCAAAAAAAAAAGAAAAAGCGGAAGATTTTAAAGACGATTAAGCGGATGAAAAAGGTTACGATGGTGGAACTTGAAAGGGGTGGTGTGAACAAAAGATACAGTGGTTGTAGTGAAAGAGTTGAAGGTGGTGATGTGGGAATGGAGGTGAAATTGGTGGTGGTGATTTCAGGGATGTGGTGATTTCAGTGATATGGTGAAAAGGTGAATGTGGTGATGTGGAAATGGAGGTGAAAGTGGAAGAACGCGGTAATGGTGGTGATTTCAGCGATGTGGTGATTTCAGTGATATGGTGAAAAGGTGAATGTGGTGATAAAGGATGATTGTGATGATAGAAATTAGTGATAATGATTGTGGTGATTCTAGCGGTGAAAATGATGAATATTTGTGGTGATAGACAGTAAAGGCAAGAGTTACACAAATGTGGCCAGGGATGGGCTGCTTTTTCAATCTAATATCAACAAAAAAGTTGACAATATTTTTTATACAATGCGACGGTAAACTACAAAACAAATATATCTCTTAAAATCATTTATACATTTCCAATTGTGACCCAATTTAAACAGAAAAAAATTCCATGTCTTGATCTTGCTGTCAAACAAAAGAATTAACAAATATTTCACGGATTGTTATTGCCATGATTGTGCACTTAAGTGCACACAACAGAGTACAGTCATTAAAAGTAGAGTATATCATTTGCAGCTATCCAAAAGTAACGGACAAAATTATTGTTGAAAAGCTTACTTGGTTTAAAGATAGTAATGGCACTAAACTTCCTGTCAAAGTGTTCTTTCTGGCATGCTGTCATTTTGAAGAAAATAATATAGGAAGGCCATTTCCAAAGATGCGTCTAAAGACGCATTTTTTGATATTTCCGTTAGTAGTTGGTTTGTAATTTCGGCAAAGCCGTGAGATTGTGCACGCACAAGCATTGACATGAGGCACACGTGTGCGCAGTTGCTACTATTTGTCTGTTCAGTGTGTAGCTACAATCGGCTGCATGAGAACGTGTCCCGGACACTGATTTTGGGCGCAATTCAAAACATGACCCGGCAACTTTTGAATTGAAATCAAGATCCTAGAATATTGTTTTCTCAGAATATACAGCATTTACTGGGCTAAAACTTCATCAGGTTAGTTGTTAAGCACCCGTCTTTAGATTTTGAACACTTTTATGCTTCCAAAAAAAAAAAATTCACAAATGATCTACTTGACCTTTAACTCTAATGGTCAAATAGGGTTTTTAACAACGAATGGAGAAACCAGTAGATTTTCTTCTCAATTGTTCTATCATATGAGTTTTCAACAAAATGTACAATTTTCACAATTTGTGCATTAACAAATAGTTTCTTTTATTAAAAAAAGAAGAAAACTACTACATTACTAGTGTGCAGGAGAAAGATTCATGTGTCACTACAGTGTGTGCGTACAATATATCAAAGTTTGCAAAATTTAAAAAATTGGTTATCTGCAATGTGTGCTACAAATCCTGTCACTGAGCGGAACAAAAAAACTAGTCTGATATTCCAAAAGTCCATACCAAAAAATTCAGCAAATTTAATATCTACAAGTACATTGGTTTAGTTACATGTACAAGCTAAATCTAAGTACGGCTAGATACGCGCACATAGTGGTGGCATGTCGTAAACATTCCATTGTAAAGCGTTAACAAGCGCTGGCAGTGTTAACACGCACTGGCTGTTTTTGTACACACGGCTGACGGGTTAAAACGTCAAGCGTGCCTCGCCTCGCCTCCGGGTGACGTCTAAACACGCTAATCCCTCGTGTCTTTTGTACACACAAACACAAAGTCTGTAAAGTCTGTGGAGGCAGATCGTGTGTCGATCTTGAGTTGGCCTTTGTGCACGGCCTATTGTTCTACAATTTACGCTCCGTTGTATTGGAGTTTTGAAACATGAGGTTTCGGCAAGAAATATGGTACAAATACTGTTGAAATGACTCTTGCGAATCAGTATCTGTGGTGTTTGGCTGTATATCAGAAGTTTGCTGGAAAATTTTGCCTTTTGCGAAAATCGAACTTTCGGCAAAAATAATCCCGGTGCGAAGTGGTTAAGCTCTATAGTTTGGTGTGCCCACCAGTGCTAAACTGTCCCTTCCCCCCCCCCCCCAAATATGAGGTGAATAAAAAATTGGTATACTGTACAATGCCACTGATCCATATTGTTTTGTGTTGAATTTAAAATTACATATATAGTACTGGAGACTGTTACGTTGTTAATTGTACAACTATTGTTCAAGTGTTGACTACATCTAGGTTAACATCATGCTTAGCATGGAAAAGAAGAAAAAATGAGAAGTACAGAAACAGAGTGCGGACAAGAGGGGGCGCTCTACTAACGGGGGATCGTGGGAGGTTGCAGCTCCTTCATTTCAAAGTACTCCACGACCTGCTTGGGTACCTCGGCTAGGACGCACTTGGTCAACTTTGCCGGTGAGGCCTGAAAAACAAACAAACAAATTAACAAATAAACAACAGCGTCATTTTATAAGATGGAATTTTGCATCGGGGAGATTTCAATATTACAATTGGGTTTTCGCCTGTCGCTGACGTGTTTTATAAACACTGTATACTCAGGGTTGTCCTCGAGCTTGCGAGAAAAATTGCTGTCATTTAGAACAGATCAAGAAATGTAGGTGAATTCAAACGATCAGTCAATTCGGGCGATTCACAATGTAGTGCGCCACCAAGAGTTTGCTGTGGAGAGTCCATTTTTCAAGTTTACAGTCGACAAAACATGGCCCATTTGAACGAGTGTCAGTAGACAACTTGAGCTAATTTGTTATAGATTGGGCATAGCGTTCTACCGCCTTACAAAAAACACCACATTGATCAAAAGAAAAGAAAAGGGCAAACAGATAATCGAATCGTAACTATACTGACCGGAAAAACTAACAATTGCAAATGTCCCGCGCTGTGTATTTATTGACTTCTCCCACAATGCACTGGGAAAAATGGACTCTCCGTGGCAAACTCTTGGTGGCGCACTGCACTGTGAATCGCCCGAATTGACTGATTTGTTGGAGTAAAGAGTGCTATTGAAGAAGTCGTGTCTCGTGATCAAAAGGGTGTGCATGGTTTTCTCAAAAACAAACTGTCGCATTCACTGAGCTGAAACTTCAACAGGTTAGGTTTTGAACATTCCTCTGTGGATTTTGAGTGGTGGTATTATTGGACACCAACAAAATGCATGAAAAGCTCATGATCCTATATGCCTTTAACCAGTTCACGCCGGGATTATTTTGACAAGAACGGAACAAGGCACGGGATTACTTTTCACTGGACCTCAAGCCAGGCGGGTTGAAGCCATCAACCTCGGGCAGCACACTCACATTTCCGGCCTCGCCTGCCATGAGCGGGTCACTGACAGATATTTCTGGCCTCGCTCCCTGCGTGTTTATCCGTCATCCATTCCGAATACCGCAAAACATTTGCGTGTAATACACGGCCTCCGGTGCGAACTGGTTAAGACACATTTTGTGCGGTCTCATCACAAATGGTTACCAAGCCTCGCACCGATATCAAACTACCCACTCACCTGCTTGAAGTCCCTGAATGGTACAAACTGCACGATATCTCTGCAGACCGGTTCCCCGCTGGGCGATCGCAACACCCCGTCGTCCCCGTCCAACATGCGCATGTCGGAGAAGTCGGCGTTACCGACCCCGACGATGATGATGGACATGGGGAGCTTGGAAGCGGCCACGATGGCATCCCGCGTCTCGTACATATCGGTGATGACGCCATCCGTGAGTAAGAGGAGTATGAAATATTGCTGTTAATGGTAAGAGAAAAAGTGAACATTTATCAAAAATAGATCTGTACCCTACTTATAAGACGGGAATGAAATTGCTCTATAGACCAATTTAATAGTAGATGCCAAGCCAAGGCTGGGAGTGTTAATCAATGTATGACCTTGGATATATTTCTTTGTAAGGGAGAATTCAAAAATAATCATGCGGTAACTAGAGGCTTACCATGAAGTTTAAAGAGAATGTACATCATTGGCTTTTGCTGTAATTTTCAGAAATGAACTATTTTGAGGGGTCTATAATAGTATAAACAGATCAAATATTGTTACACTGACATGTTTGAAGTTTTGTGTTCGAAAATACTGGAAAAACCAAGAAAAACAAACATGTTCAAGTAGTCTGGTTCCCTGGCTCCACTAAAGATGAAATGGATCAATTTATAGATGCCGGAAAATTGTAAGTTAATGGAACCAGTCTAACTGGCCTGCACCCATTCATGAACATGTAACCAACAGCAAACAAATTTGGACTGAAAAAAAATTGGTAAATTTGGAGCAGTAGTTGAAAAATAGTTAGGTTTTTCCAACCGTGGTCGGCCGACCACCGTTGGAATTTATACAAAATACCACTTTTCTCGAAAATGACTTCACACATGGTGCCATAATTTTACAGGATGCTTTAGACTGTCATTTACCAACATCCTATTGTAAGGTATTTCGTAAAAAAATTGGTAGTTTTGTTTTTCGATGTTTGCAAATGTTGTATATTCCCTTTAACAGGTTTAACAGGGTTTAACTGGATACCTTGGGATTAAACATTGAGTTACCGCTTGTGTAATTTTGCATTCTTTCCTAATCCCCACAACAAAAGAAAACTTTGAGACAAGTAAGGATGAAGTAGCTTGCCCAAGGACAAACCATATGTCCACTAGCTGGATTCGAACCCCTGGCTCTCACATCCCTCAGAAACCCAGAATAATTAAGGCCAGGCAAAAAGCTTTTCACTCACCGATGCTTTTTTATCCTGATTAGCTACTTTTGCGAACTTGGCAACGTGGGTGATGATTGGCGCTACGTTGGTTGGTCCCCACAGCGTGATCTGTCGCAGACAGTTCTGGTAAGCGGCTACTATACCTCCGACACCTGGACCAATCAGAGTGAGTCAACACTGGGCATTACTTGATCTACACCAATGGCACCATGGATACTGTGTCAAACCGTCATTTGTCTATTAGACTGGTTACCTATCTCACTGACTGACTGTCACTTGTCATTTGTCATTTGTGACTTACACCAGGTGACCTGAATCCACCCAGAACAGTGTAGCCCTTTGATAAGCACAGGACCTCATGTGAAGTACCGAGACAATAAACCAAGCAAGCATCGAAGCAACAACTATTATCCATGTGCTAACCATAGCACAAAAATGTGCTAACCTTAAGCACTATTTTACGGCGTGGATGTGCTTACGGAAACGCGTGCATGGAGATTTCTATTGTAACGCCACTAAGTTAAGCACATTTTTCCTCTGAAGTAAGCATGCCTTTTGCTGTGCTTATGCTTACGGTCTCCATGAAATAGACGGAGGCTCTGTTAGCAGAAAATCGTGTGCTTAGCAGCGCCGTGAAATTGGGCCCAGATGGCGACCGTCTGATTCTTACCTGCGCAGTACGGGTTGGAGAGATCAAAGTTGATGGCAAACTCATGGGACACTTGTTGGTTTGGTGGAATCTTGGCACCGAAGCCCAAGGCAGGAAACATTTTATCACTGTAAAAAAAAATGTAAACATTCAAAAAAAAATAAAAAATTAGCAACCATACAAACCAAACCCCCCCCCCCAAATTAACTCAAGGTATTTGTTGCTTGAGCTGAAAATCGTTCAAGCACACTCAATAAACTGGCTCTCGTTTAATAAGAGGCCACACAAGCGCATCTATGTGTTATGTGCACAAGTACCCCCTCAGTGGTCACAAACAGAGAGTTGGGGGAGACCACTGGGAGAGACATTCAAACGCATTGCTGACGACGGCTGACAATACGTGATGCTGGCTTTGTTAACAGTCAGAATAAAAGTTGTGAGTGCTTCATGCAATAAGCGCGCAAATGGGTACACGCACGCAGGGGCTTTGAAAGTGATCGCAATTTCCCTTCTACTGTTAGCGCACAGAGTTCCTACTCCTTGAAAAACATACTGGCGCCAATATCTGTCTGTTTGTCGTGCAATCTGTCTGTCATACCTATCGTAGTCCTGTATGACGTCACCCACAGCTACTATGGCCTTTGTGTATTCGTTAGGCGCTGCGGCATCAATGTAATGGAGTGACACCGGCTCTTGTGGATCACCATTGGATCCTGTGAAGTCTATACCAACCTATATAAGAAAAAAAAACAGAGCCAAAAACCAACATTGAAAGGTTACAATGTGTATTTATCCGTCACCGTTTGAGGCCGAGTAAAAACCAAAACAAAATTCTTCTTCGGGCTTTTTGAAGAAAATGAAGTTTGCTTTTTTTTTGCCAAGATGGGGGATTTTCCAAGATGGCGGATGGAATCTTTCATTTTCTTTACTCTTTGTCTGATGCAAAATTGTGTCGAAAAGGTCGTAACCCTTTCTACATAGCTACAATTTTGTTGGAAACAAATAAAAAGACCACATACTGACAATATATTTGCAAAATATGGTGCAAATGAATCAATAAAATTGAAATGAAGGAGGCGAGCAGCAAAAAGGAAGCAGGCGGGGATGAGAAACTGGTTTATTTTCTTACTTGGCCTTATGCAAACTCAACAGATTTTGCAATGGTTAATTTCAGGTGGCTGATTGGGTAGGTTAACATGCCCCTTCCATCTGACAAATGTTCGTTTTTAAAGTGAAAAATTCGAGAAAACAAAAATTAAAATTTCCTTATGTTTCCTGTATTATGCAAGATAGCTAATCTCAATTTCTAAAGGCCTTTGGCCTTTCTTTTACGTATGTGTTGACTTGAACATCTCGCCTATCCCCTTGAAAATATCCTGGATACACTAACAGAACATTTCTTGTGTTCAACGACTTTCAACTAAATGTCAAAACCATATTTTGGGGGATGGAAGTTCGGAATTCACAAACAATATCTCAAAAAACTCTAAGAAGTTGGAAGGAGATGACCATAAAATCACAGCGAATTTTTTTTCAAGAATGTACAAATGTCCAAAAATAGGATGAAATGAAAATTGTACTCACTGTGAAGTTGATTTGGCAACCACCAAAAATGTAGTCCAGGAAGGTGTATTGTCTCTTAACCTATGTGGACACACAAAATTATGACAGAAATGCAAAATGCAAAATTAGAATTCAGATGGCATAAAAAGAAAGTATCAAAATAATGATGTGATTTCCAGAATTTTTGGAAACGTAGTCCATTTAAGTATGATGTCATTTGGCTTGTACCCCTTCACAGGTGTGTAATCAATTGCAAATAGTTTTTGCAGTTTGTGCAGCAAAGAGTTTGCGAGCAGTTTTTGAAAAAAAGCCAGTTTTCTCCAACTCTGGTCGGCCGACCAGCGTTGGAAAAATACAATTTTTCTTGAAAATGTTGGCACACCAGGTGCCACGATTTTACAGGATGCTTTTAGACTGTCATTCCCTATTACAATCCAGTAAGGTATTTTGTGATTATTTGATCATTTCGTTTTGAGATGTTTGCAAATGTTGTATCTTCCCTTTAACTGTACTATACCGCCAGCAGTACTTACAACACAGAATTGAATAAACAGACCAACGGACGTACAAATAAAGATACAATAATGCTGGAGTGTATCACAACATCCACTGGCCGTAATTAAGTGGATATATTCCCGGGGTTAGCGAGGCAGGGATTGAAACGGAAGGGCCAGAGGGTCGGAGCGAACGATCAAAATGACCGGGTCGATAACTTCACTTCAGGCCATTTTATATTAAAAAAAAAAAGAGAGACGTATGTAGGATGTTTTAGAACCAGTCAGAGCGCATCAATGTTAAAGGGCATAATGTGCCATGACAGGGTTCAATTAAAATAAATATGGGGGGGGGGGGAGGCGCATAGAGGTGGAGGGGACTGGCATAGAGGGAGTGGTGGGGAGGAGGGAGTGGTGGGGAGGGGGGAGTGGTGGGGAGAGGAGTAGGGGTTGAGGTGACACAGGAGAACTACTAGTCTGAGTATCACCCGTTATCCACGGAGAAAGCCTCCTGTATAACATATACGTACCGGTATATGCAAGCCGCGCGCCAGCCAATCTGAGTCGACTTTACTAAATCGTGACATCATTTCATTCCTAAATCAGGACTAAATGGTTTGATTGGTCAATTCGAATGCAGTGTTTTGTAATGCAACAACAGCCGGGTGCATTATCGCGTAACATGATACAGAGCGCGTGATGCAGGTTTTTTTAAATCCATTGTCTATGACACGCAACGGGTGAATGATCGAAGACCCGATATATTGGTAGAAAGCGCCCGCTGTTTGGTAAAAATCTAGGAGGTCAAGAGGCGGGGTCTTGGTCTAATTAATCAGCGAATCTGCTCACATATCATAGACCCATGGCATTCGCCATGTCTATTACATAGACTAGGGACTACATGGACAAGTAAGAAAAAGGAACTTCTTTTCTCTATTTTAAATAGCAAGGGGAAGAACAGAAATCAATAGCTGGCTGCCAGGCAGGAATCAGGTTTCAAGATAATTCCAGTGGTAGTGAACTAGCTTTGTTTTTAGTGCCAGGCAACTATTGAATCCCTCATAATGAAGATATTCAGAAGTCTTGTTAATTAGCCGCCGCAAGCAGCTGACTGTATTCTTTCCAAGTGACCACTTGTCTCATGTGAATTGCCCACAATGAATACTACAATGTGAATACGGTCTCAGTATTGGTCTCAGTATTGATCTCCTATCCATTGTGGTAGTACAACTTTTCAACCAAACCACCCGCCACTCACCCAAAATTGTTTTTCTTTTAAATATTTTGTTTAACCGATTAGTCCCTGCACCAAGGCCAGACTTTAATGAAAAGCGAGGGGGGGGGGGGCACTAGGACTCTTCATGACATTGGTGCATGGTGGCACAATTTTAATGCTGTATATGCAGTGGCTGCCTTTTTTGCAACATCAATTAAAAAAAAAATTGGGGGGGGGACCATGGCCCCCCCCCCCCGTTTTGTGAGCCTATTTTGTGGGAGCCTATTTTGTGAAGCAAGGTGGGGGTCATTTTTCTCCCGATGAATTACTACACCGCGCCCGGGAATTTGACTTGCATTGTAATTGATAGAGGGATTAGTGTCATGCAACCTCATGAAAGAAATGTGCTTAACAAAATAGGCTCTGCAGCACACACTACTGGACCGAATTGAGATATTCTGGTATCATAATTCTTCTAAAAGGATTCTCCATCAATTGGTACAGGTGGTTTGAGTCTCAAGGTATAGTGCAAGTTTGCGGTTCCGTTTTAGAGGACCACCCTGTATAGATTGGGTTTAAGTCTAAGGATGCCTTATTTTAGCCACTGTTCCTGACAAGAGTTTATTCTGTTTATCATGATTTTTGATAAACATCCACTCAACAGAATCAAGAGAAATTTGACATTAATTAAAAAGCTATCCGCATGTCAATCGACGTGCAACCCTCTTAATTACATCACACTGTTATGCCAGGTTATGATTAGTTCGTGGCTTTGTCCGCAGCAGGCATGCATGACCGTGGGTCTCAAAAACTGACACAATTTTGTTCCAAATGGAAAAAAGAAAGAAAGATAGGAAAAACAGTTTAATATATTGGAATTTTTATGAAGAACCGTCGCAATCTAAACTGACACGCAGGAAACAGCATCTCTGCTTTTTTAATTAAGTATTGATTTGCGGCCGACCGGTCGTCCCGAGAAGATAAATTAAGGTCAAGTTGGTCCAATTTTGGAGAGAAAATATAACTGTCTTATCTTTCACTGGTTTACCGGAGCCAATTTTTTTTTTGCGTCCTTGTGCGAGGTAGATACAATGACACTCATGGATCAATTGGACTATGTTTGTTTGTATAAAAAAAAGTACGGATGAAGATGACTCATATGTTTGTTTTCTTTTCTGAGGATAATTTTTTTTTTTTCAGATGACAGTTTAACACAAAAATGTCAATCATCACAAAGCCCATTTTTTTTCCCCTGGTTGAAATTAAATAAAGGAGGTAATTGATGGAATTGTCTTCACGGACGGTGGCATTTCTGCTCTCTGCAAAGGACAACGATGAAATCTCCTTAGGTCTGCAAAAGTATCATTACACAAACGTGCCAAACACGTTTGAGCAAAGTAAAATCCTACAGGACATTCTTTTGAAAACGTGTACCAAATAGGTTAGAGCAAAGTAAAATCCTACAGGACATTCTTTTGAAAACGTGTATCTTTATTTTTGCATTCAACATCCGCATTACGTGGGCAATAAGTTCAAATTTAAGGAAATTCAGAACAATGAGAAAGACAAGCAGATATTATTACTATTTAGTTTGGGGGGGGGGGGGCCTGGGAGGGGATGACGTAGATATAACAGGGCCACTGAGATGTGTGTCGCTTTCCTTGGCAGGTTTTATATCTCCCAGGCCGCGTCATATTTTTAATTGCCTCACAGCTCGCGACACGGGCCGGGACGCAGATGGCCCGACAAATGAGAACTGACGTCTTTTCACAAACCGGGGGTGTTTGTGAGAGTATCCCCCCCCTGGTTGACACCCCGACACCCCTTAGGCCGTGTCGCACAGTGCAATGACACAATCACACAATCACAGTTTGGCTACCGCCGGAGAAGGTTGAAGGCGGGGGGCCTTGGCACAGGGCTGGGTGTCAAATCCCATTACCAGACTAATTCTGTCAAAACACCATCCGCTTATTGTTGCCAAGCCAGTCTGGTGCCCCCCCTCCACCTTGTACTCAAATTGGCTTAACGACCGCACAATCGACAGTTTCATTGTACGTCAGCACAGCGAGATACCTGTACATAGATCCAACAGACAACTTCAACACACCCATGCAACAACTTCAACACATCTTGGAGCATTTCAGAAGCCATCGGTGAACTTGTCTTCTTTGGTTTTGTCAAAATATTCAAAATAAAATTACAATTGCAAACTATGGGGTCTGTCACTGCATTTCATGAATTTCGAATGTTTGTCCCCGTCCAATTTAACAACTCCCAACCAATTCTGTCAAAATAGTTGACCAAGTAAGTGTTTATTATTGGACGCATAATCTCGGAACCAAAATCGTGAATATAATATAAAATAAACAGGCAGGCAACTGGGCAACACCAAAAGGCCTTGCTTTACAGGACTTCATATGGTGTTTTTCAATTTTTAATGGGATAAGTGTGAAGTGAAAAGCAAGGAAATCAGGCGATTCGAGGAAAAGTTGCATGCCTGTATGAGTATACAAACTCCGAGGTGACTCACATGAACTCAAATCTAGGACAGCAAGCAAGGTCATAGATTTAGTTTTTACATCTGAACCCAATACTTCTCCCCTCCAAAAAAAAAAGAAGATGAAATGTTCACCTACCTCGCATTTTGTGAGGAACACGGTTCCGGAGTTGTGGTAGTTCTTTTTCTTGAGTTTCTTCTTTGGATTAATGCATTCCCATTCTACCTAACCACGAAGGGGGAAACACATGCAGAAAGATACATTATTTACAAACAGTTTGTAATTGCTTGGGAATTTATTTTGTTATTTTGTTTGTTTTTTCTTCAAATTAGTAACATCAGAAAATAATACTAGGTCAGGGATGTAACAGAACTCTGATGATTTTTGCCCGAAATGTATGAAATAAACATCTATGTGTACATACACGTTTGTTTATGGTGTAAATCAAGGATTTTCTTTTGTTCCTCTTCCCTTTTCCTTTGTTTGTACTTCAACTTTTTCGCAACAGCTCTCATTGGTTTTGTACACGTTTTCGGTCTCAATTTGGTTCTGAACGTGTGTGTCCTCGATTTACACCATAAACAAACGCATATATACACGCATGTATGGTGCCAATACTTTATTTACTATTCGAATAAAACAAACCTCTTCTAAGTGTACAACCTACAGCCTGATGAAACAAATGATAATTCTGACCTTATTATTTAAAGGAAATATACAACATTTGCTTTTGCTGTAATTTTCAGAAAGGGATGGATTTGGGGGTTGTTGTTTTTTGTGGCAAACATTGTTACACTGGCCTGTTTCAACTTTTGTGTTCACAGATGCTGGAAAAACCACGGAAATAATGTAACATTCATGACAAATAAGAAATGATGTAAAACAAACTCAAACCTTCGTAAGTTACGTGCTATAAAAAAATATTTGCCTGATTAGCTACCATGATCCCTCGAACTAGATAAATAACAACTAGAAAAGTAATTGGTAGGAAAAAAAATAAGAAAAAAAGGACAACAAAAAAGTCGTTTAAAATTTAGCCAATTTCTTCCTTTTCCAAAGTCAAACGTTGCTACTTAACCAAGAAGCATAGTTTTTGCTACAAAAAGTGCACAGAGGAACTTTCACACCTTGTATTTCTTATGGCTTTTTATTTAGGTACCTATGAAAGTTTCATGAACATATAATTTATACGTTTAAGACAAGACAAGACTCGAAAGGTGCTACAGAGCATTAGAAGAGTCAAAGCCTGCAAGTTTCACAGTCATAATCATTAAATATTTATACACAGTACATGAAATATATTCAAACCATTAAGTTTTCTGTCTCCATTTGTATCACTTCATTAAGTCGTCCCTGGGTCTACACCTTATCAGCTTCACTGGACTCATTCAAGGAGAGTACACGTATATTAAAGAGGTTGTGGAATGCTTGAAGACATTTCCGTCATTTTTCTGGTATATGTAGCCTAAGGTGTGATGAAATAAAAACGACTATTGTGTCTGTTATGAAATGAGTACAAAAGGTACTTTTGAGAGCTGTTTTTCAGGTCCTGTTTCGACCCGAACATGTAATTTGTGTACAAGTTTTCGTTGGGGGCAGCAAACAAAACATAATAAATAGTGACGTAATAAACAGGACTCGTTTACACTACGCTGCATCGGGAGTCCTGTTTATTACGTCACGATTTACTATGTTTTGTTTGCTGCACCCATTAACGACTTTTACACAAAGTGCACGTTCGGCACATGAAATATATTCAAACCTTTTGTACTCATTTCATGACAGATACAATAGTCGTTTTTATTTCATCACACCTTAGGCTACATATACCCGAAAAATGACGGAAATGTCTTCGAGCATTCCACAACCTCTTTAACCAATGGAAAGAACAAAAAGATCTCTTTACTGATTTTTGAGGTTTGACAAATAATACACTGAGGTGTTGAGAGACAAAACATGACATATGCCTTGAACATAAAAAAAAGAAGCCAGAATGTTCTTTGATACGACAAGAACAGATACATGTACATGTGGCACTTTTTTAATGACTAAATAAAAGCAAAAACTTACAGGGAGCTTGCCAAATATAAACCATCAGTAACAATGAATTCAGAAGGAATCCATGGTGCGTTCAATTCACGCGAACATGTTTGCGTTTGTTAGCTCGGCCATGCTTACCCCATATGGAATAATAATATCATTGAAAAATTGTTGTCAAAATGGCAGCGCCCTGAATGCCGATCCTACAACTGTTTGAATGGCAACTTTTAAAAATCCACGAAAAATTAACTGCGACGTGAAGTGGAATGTCTACATAGAAAACGGAAAGTTTCAGCTACGGCATGATTGTTACCTTCATTTTGTAGGTATCGGCCATTTTAGAAAACATAGCGAACGACTTGGGAAGACCGTCACATTGGTTGCGACATTTGCCAACGTCGGGGGCAAACTGTTGGTCCCACTTGCATAAACGTTGCTGACATTGTTGGCGTACGTGGAACGCACCCCAGATGTAGTGGTTGTGGCTGATTTCAATTTAGTCCTTAAATTTCTTGGTATCTATTTCATTTTTATCAACATGACTAACACAACTCCCAACTTCAACAACAGTCTCATGTGCATTTTGCCAGGGAATTCAAACTGCGTGAGGACTCTGAGCAAAATGGTGGTGTTGACAAGCAGGATTTGATCTGCCGTTCCTGCCCGGGTACTTTAATCAACTTTCCCATCGTTTACGGCACTGCGAAAGCCCCCTTTTCAGCAACTACTTGGTGAAAGACCCCTTTTTTACAAATAAGAAGTGGTTAGTTTTGTTGGATTCGCTTCCAAAATCTACTCATTTGCCAGTATGTTTTAATGGCCGAGTGATATGATTATGGCAATAAAAGAGATACAAATTTGAAAATTGCTTGGGAAGATAAGTAGCCTTTGTATTTAACCTACATGCAAGAGCGGATCCAGAACACGATTTTTTGGGGGGCCCCAAAAAAAGCTTTGTTCTGCCAAAAACATTGATGAAAAAATTAATGGCGTGGGAAAAGTTTTGGATTCTAGATGCTCCGTTGTGAGATCTGAGGCAATTTCTGACCACTTTAACCAATCTTTTTAAAAGCAAAATTTAGATGGTGGTGTACGCAGTGGCTGCCTTTTTTGTGACGCAACTTAAAAAAATAATAATAAATTGGATTCATGGGGCGGGGGGGGGGGGGGGGGGGGGGGGGGGGGGGGGCGGGGGGGGGGGGGGGGGAGGCATCACCCCCGTTGCCCCTCTCCCCCCCCCCCCCCCCAGCTGTTGCCTACATGTACATGTATGTGTTGGATTTTGAGAAGCTTCCAGTATGCACGGACTCTTGTGCACAAGAGTGGTACGAACTGCAAATGATAATTTGTAGGATTGATACTTAGTTCAATTGCTGGGACCCTAGGGGATGCTTGACGCTTTGAGCTCTCATTGGATTTTGTGCACTCTCAATGAACAAACTGTTCTTCAATGCGTGAATAACCCTTTTGCACATGATGTACGCATATGTCCATTGTTAACAGCAAGCCACCTACAGTGACCTGCTTTTCCTTCACACGATTTTGTGAAATGGTTTAGCCCCCACCCAACACCCTCTATAGATTGCGAGTAACTTGATATCACAGAAAATACTTTCAACCCGTTGACGATATACCTTTAACGGACTGTGAAAATGAAGTAATACCACACTGCACGTAGGCATACAATTCACATACTTGTAAACATCCATACAACTGCTACATAAAACACAGTTGTTGATAGACAAGATTTTGCACTGAACTACAAAAACACGGATACATGTACCTTTTTTTTTTGGAAACGAGACGTGACGGAAACATAAACATAAAGAGAGAGGGGGGAGAGGAAGAGGAAGACAGAGCAGAATCCAGCAGATCTCCAGGAATTAGACGGCGAGCTGACGGGTGACGTGATTGGTGAATTCATGATGAGAGAGAAGACAAAAACTGAGAAAGCGTTATAAAAAAAGAAAAAAGCGAGATTTTAAGATAGAGCTTGAAGAGATTGTTTTTTTCTTCTTCTTCTTCTTCTGAGAGTGACAAGTTAGAAAAAAAGGGATTTGATTTGTTGAAAGGTATAGATGAAAGAGGTCAGTTTTGGAAAGGATGATGATGAAAATTAAAAAGATGGGAATAATGGCAGGATGATGAGTGATATGGAGATGAATCAATCATGATGATAACAGTCACAGAATCATTCTCTGCTAGTTGCCATAACAACACAGGCATTGATTGTATGCAGGGCGGTCCAAGGCACTCCAATATCGGAAACATGGGGTGGGGGGTGGGGGACAGAGATCTATGCCTAGGGTTGCAGTTCAATGCATTATGGGATGCCTAGGTCTATAAAATGCAATTCCAAAACGGGAATGGGAAGTGCGGCTGAAGATGGATGGGCGGAGCCAGGGGGGGGGGCGGTGATTGGTGAGAAATAATGACTAGAAATGCAAATATATGATTGGTGCGTAAATCGTTTTCTAAAATATGTGCGGAAAAATGCAAGCAGATTATATTCAGTACAATGCAGGGTTATTCCATAATGCTAAAATGCATCAAATGAAACTCACAAAAATTCTTGAGTACATTTTATTGACAGGGTGCAGTTGAAAAAAAATGAACAAGCCTACAGATTCATTGAAAAGACAGAACAGGGTCATGTAACAAATGAAGAAGAAAAAAATGGTGAGTTTTAAAGACCTCTCTGCCTTTTTTTTTTTAATGTAGGATTCCTTTTATGTTAGTGCTTCTAATCTCCAAAAAACAAAACTTGATGGAATATGAATATTCATCATCCGATTCGGCCAACTGGCCAATCACTTGGCATATGCAAAGTGAAGGAAAGAAATTGCCGAGTGAGAAAAAGTGAAATAGAAAGAAAAGGAAAGAAAACTGCAGAACTTAATGATGAAAAATAAAAATAAAAAACAAGATTGAAGCTTGAACAGACGGGAATAAGAACTTGTGGAAAACAAAAGGTTAAAGGTGAAAGGTCACACAGGAAAATGGTGAGGAAGAAGTTAAGTCCAAAGAAGTAAGAGTCCAGTGTTGGTCAATTTAACTTTAATGCAAGATTAACCAAAGTTCATCCTAAACTAATGGTAGGACTAGATTAGACCAACGTGAGTGATACGTACAATCTTCCAAAACCAACAAATAGAATTTTTTTTTTAAAATACATGTTCCCCAAGCAAAACAAGCCGTAGTAGCAAATTGATGGATACACATGCAACACAAGTAACCAATTATGAGAAAGCAAACATCGCCAGGACTAATCGTTAGTTTCCTGTCTGTCCAACCGTTCCCATCCCCGTCATAAATTGATTCCGATAAAAGTGCCCGGCAGCCCGAACCCAGCTGCAGATACCACGTCCAACAAGCTTCTCCTTTTTTTTTCTCCCTTTTTATTGGATTTGTTCAGCCCAGGGCCGAATATAATCAAATTATGTAATTTACTCCAAGGTCAACAGCACTAGATTATCGCGGGGGAATGCGCCGTGCACTGTACAAATTTAATACCCAAATGGGTAATGGGAATAACTCCTAACTGATGTGACATTTGCTCTTTTTGATGATGACTTGTGGTTGCGAAAAAAAAAATGATTGCTACGATACAGGGTGAGTAAAAAAAAAAAAAAACCCAAATGTCGGGACCATTGTTTTAGTGAAGTTCTGCATGTAACACTTTCAAAATCTAGGAAATAAAAGCCCAATTCATAAGCTTTCTTTTAGTTCAAGAATCATTCAAATCACTCATGTACTTTTCAAGTTACGGAGTTTAAAACACAACCTAGTTCTGTCCACGGATCACAAAAAAGGCGTACGTTCTTTCATCAAAACGAAAACAATTCACACACATCCCTATGTGATTTTTTTTTCGTTTTGCTTTTTTGTGATCCGTGGACAGAACCTTAAAACGGTGGTTTGTGTTTAAACTTCCGTAACTTGAAAAGTACATAAGTGATTTGAACGATTCTTGTACTAAAAGAAAGCTTATGAATTGGGCTTTCATATCCTAGATTTTGAAAGTACTACATGCAGAACTTCACTAAAAAAATGGTTCCGACACTTGGGTTTCGGGGTTTTTTTTACTCACCCTGTATATCTCTTGATTGAAAGACATGTTGGTCCTTCAAATACACTGCAAACTTATTCCCCGAGTCCCTACACAATGCAATCAGGGGGCTAGACCATTATAACCCTTTTTTCTTTCAGAGAACAACAAATTGAAAAGTCGTTTACGGACAAATTCTAAAGTGTTGGATGAAACAATCACATCCAGGGAGTCAGGTTGGCGTAGCGGTACTTTTCCTCGCTTTTTCTACCGGTGTGACCCGGGTTTGATTCCCGCCTGAGCCAATATGTGGATTCAATTTTCAGTCCCTGCCTGATTCCATGGGTTTTCCCCAGAATATTCTTCTGGGCTTTTCCTCCCACCTCTAAAACTGTCATTTCTTCTCATTGTCTTCTCTCTACAGGTTTCTTCAGGCTTGCGAGCTTCAGTGCCTAGGGCGCTTTTGAGAAATCCTTGCATGCAATTACCAGAAATAATTAATAATAATAACAACCATAATCTATGAATATATAACCTAAACATTTGAGTGAGAAACATGCAAACCTACAAGTGTATGTGTTATTCTAAGAAGAAATTGTCATTATCGATATTTAATCATTACGGTAGTCAATCGAACTACAGTTAATTTTAACAAATACAACTGCATTCATACAAATATGAAATAGATATGTGAATGTTATTCCAAGGTAATAAGTGTTTATTTTCCTTGTGACAAATATAAAATAAAATCAAGCAAATCATCAAACATGAAATAAAATCATCGCCCGGTGAATTGAAAACATTACCTATTAATGAGGTGATACCAGGTATATAAATGAACAGCATAACTCAAACGATGACCAAAAACACAAAAAAATGGTATGCATATTACAGAGTTTTCACAACAAAAACAAATCAAAATCCAGACAAAAATGCTAATTAAATTCACTGTGGTGATGATATCACAACATGGAATGATCGACATGACACAAATGAAACAGTGAAAAACAACACAACAGAAAAAAACCAAACCATGCCATCATAACAGGTAAAATATTGTTACAATTTCTTGTATTAACGTGATTTTTGTGTTTTTATAAAAGGTGCAATTTGAAAACGAACAAAAATTGACTCATAAAAAATTAGCTCATTGAATATTACATGTACCATAAAAAGGTGCAACAAAGTGCGGTGGGTGAGTATTTAACATCAAAATAGGCTTTTCTCTTCTCTTTTTTTTTGGTAAAATGGGCAAATTTTGATTTTCTTTTCAATTTCACATTTCAGTGCCAAAAGTCAGAAAAATAGGTTTTCTTATTTTTTTTTTTTTTAATTTACTTCAATTTGCAATAAGGAAAGTGCTGTTAAAGCATGCACATGACAAATTAATGTGATTGGGTCAGGGGTCATGATAAATGCTTTAATGATCGCTGGGTCAAAGGTCAATGGCTTTCATGAGATCAATCACTGGGAGTGACAATGAAATGTATCATTTGGGGTTGGGGATCAAAACTTGGCATGAATAAGGAGTTATTATCTAACCGACTTTTATTCCAATTTTAAAAAGTTTTCGTGTGTTCTTAAATTCTGTATGACAGCATTTTTCAGTTTCGTTACCAGGACAACGACAGATAAAAAAAGTCCCATAACAGATCAAGGTACCTGTCGGCTACCACTCTCGACCAGTTGCCGAGCAGTGGTGAAGAATTCACCAATCAGGTCGTTCGCGCTACCCTCGTCATGATCAAAACACATGACCTGTGTACAAGGGAGAGAAAGACGGGTCATAGGTTAATAAAACACGGTCAAACACACAAATCAGGGTGTCGGTCACCCAGAGGAGGCTACCTGACTTTTGCAAGCCGAGCGGATTTCCCGCGCCGTCGTGAAGAAGATACCCACGAGGTCGTGACCCCCATCAAAGTCGTGGTCCTTGCAGACAACCTGCAATGGGTGCAAAAAGCACACACCATAAAATTCAACGCACACTGATCTGATCGCACACTGATCTGATGGATGGGTGATAATCCAGACTCCCACCGGTCTTAAACAGAGTGTTATAATACCTCCCGAACACATATCTATTCCCTTATTAAAATTGGAGGATTCAGGACTGTTAGGGTTGATTAATTAAATGTCATGAGAAAAACATCATCAGTTCAAAATGGGGGGGGGGGGGGCTGATCACTGGATCTGTAAAGCATTCCTCTTTATTTGATTGTGCTGAGCCTGATTACAAATACTAAGAGCAAGATGTAAACGGGATAGACAGATGCAAGAAACTGTATAGTGCTACATGATTTATGCCTAAGAGTAGTGCTGTAGGACTGGAGTCCGCGACTCATCCGTTTTGATTTTGGTGAGCTGAGACTCGAGCCTCATCGACAAAAGACTCAAGACTTGGACTCGACAATCCTGACCCAGGCTTGATGCTAATGACTCTCCAGCCCCACATTTTTTCACCCCCCAAAAAATTGCTGTTTGAAAACATAATTATGACAGCTAAAGAAGGTTAAGCACACAAACCGTACCGCACCGCTCTCCAAGGTGGAGTTTCAACTATAATGCTCGTTATTAAATGTACCCCTCCCTATTTTTTTTGCGACAAGCACATATTGCTTACAACTATGTGTGTCTATGTCCATGCACACCCAATACACTGGTGTACATGTACATGTAAACATCGGCAAATGACTTGTGAATCGACTCGTGACTTGTGAATCAATCGACTCGTGACTCGTGAATCAATGGACTCGTGACTCGGACTCAGATTTAGTACTCAAGTGACTCAACTAAAATACGGCCTGAGAGTAAATTCCTCAGGTAATCTGGGTCCAATTTCATGGCCCTGCTCAAAGTTGGTGACAAATCCCCGCTTACTGTAGTAGAAAATTCCCTGCCAACGGTTAGCAGATTTCACGGGTTGGTAAGGAATTTTGGCTTATGCACATGCATACATCTCATACATGTAATTAAGATTTCAAAACTCACATGGTAAGCACAGATTGTCTATTGCTAGTTAGCATGAGGTTAATGGTAATCGTAAGCAGGTAATTCTGTGGTAAGCAGAACCAAAAAATTTAGCTTGGATGGATACGCACTTTTGAGTCGGGAGTTGAGTTTTTAGCATTGAGTCGGGACCCTGGCAGACTAATAACAAAATGTTAAATTAAAATGCGGCACATGCTTACATCAACACAGTCCGGGTGCTAGATACTAGTTGTGTGCATAGTCTATTGGCAGATGCTTACAACTAACAAGACAGTCAATATACCGGTATGATTGCTAAACATCCCATTTACCAGGCATGCAACTGGGAATTTAGAAAAAAATGAGGACATTTGAAAACCACACAAGACTTTGTACACTGTGTTTTTTGACTTTGTAATGGCATTCATGAGAAGTAAACAACGAGGAAATCAGCGGATCCGAGGAAAATTGCATGCCTGTATACGCTAAGCGCAAAATTGGATAGATTCCTGCCAGATGCAATAAACAACGTATGGTATTTTGGCCAGCAGCCTGTTATACTGCCATTAAATCTAGTTTTCTGCAACTGTGCTTATTTTTAGCCGCAGATCGAAATTTACGACGGGAGGGAATTTGTGTCAGGGAACAAATTGCAGTTTGGATTCCATAACTTGCTACATACTCCACTCACAAAAAAATACAGATTCGGCAAAATTGGGTGACCATACTTAAAAAAAAAAAATTGGTATAAGTTTTGGTTATTTATAATTATTTATTTACTTTATTTCTGAGAAACTGTAACTAAAAACATTCTGATTAACAAATTAAGAAATAAAATAATGAACTTTTTTGTTTTTTATTTGAAAGTAAAGGCCTGTATCTTAGATGTACATTACAATACATGTCCTTGTTTTATAATATATACGGAGTGTGCAAAACTGGCGTGTGTCCGTATGTAATTTCCAAATTAGCCTTGGAGCGAAAATAACGACGCGTCTTCACATATGGCTTTTGGGTGGAGAGGGCATTGGCGTGAAAGCTGTGCTTTCGAGAAAATCAACGAGGAGACATTCGGGGCTAATTGCGAACGGCAGTCTGACTGAAATTACAGCCAGTGAATGCTGAAAACATATGCTGCCATTATGTTTTGTGTAAGAGGCCCGTCTTTGTGACATGCCGTTCCACAATCGGATGAAGGGAAATCGGAAACCGCAAGGATAAGGTGAAGATGTCTCATCAGAATCAGCCTATGTCCTTCTAGAACATAACAACAGAAGAAAAAAACCCAATATTTTTTTTTCCTTTAATCTCCAAAGAATATTCTAATTATTTTGTTTCAAACGTTGGACTTAATGGTTTAGGCCACTGACTGAGCTGTTAATAAGTAAAACTGGAGAAAGAAATACAAATCTAGATATGTGCTGATCTACGGAGTTAACAAACTTGGTTGCCATAATAATAAGAAGATAATAAGGAGCCGGATGGGAATTTCCCCGTGTTTTCTCCAAAAAGGGTTTTCGCGGGGTTTTCGCCCCTCCCGTAATCAGCGAATATAGTTACAGCAATATTTTTTTTCTTTTCTTGATGTTACAAGATAGATCCAAATTTTTCGTGTTCACTGAATCAACTTTATAGTAAAGCATTCATACTGGACATGTAGTTATAATAGTTTTAAAATATATTGTATTTATAATATTTGCTTAACACCTATGCATTATTCAAATAATGTTTTATCTCACTGTATTGAATTTTATTGTATTTGTAATGTAGTGTATAATTATACATGTTTGTAGTCATTATTTATTGTATGCAGGGCCCCAATGGAAACCAGTTTTAAACTGTTTGGGCATACCCTGGGTAAAGAAATGGAATGAATAAATAAATAAATAAATAAGTAGACCATTCAATCAATTAACCTATTTATAGTAAAAAAATCCAATAAAATTAAATATATAGAAAAAAAGTTAAACCTAAAGGGTGCTGTGGTCCAATGGTTACGGTGTTTAACTCGTGTGCCGTGGTACATGGGTTCCAATCCTGACAGGGAACATGGTGCTTGTGTGCTGGGGCAAGGCACTTTACTTCGATTGCCTCTCTCCACCCAGGTGTAGTAAATGGGTACCTGGTAGAAAGAAATTCCTTCAATGCTTGAGCGCCATAATGGTTGCCGTGCTCAAGCCAGGGTAATAATAGAGCGCCAGGAGCGTCACTTTGTTACGGACATGAGCGCTATACAAGAAGCCATTATTATTATTATTATTAAAAAGAACATGAAAAAGAACAAAACCTGAAAAAGAACCAATCAAAACACATTCGTTGACAAAAGAAAATCAGAGATAACATATTTTCCTTAATCATTTTCTTTAAAATTGGCAAAAGATGGTTAGAGTTCCCTTAATTCCCTCTTGATATTACCAAAAAAAAAATGTTTATGGAAATTTCTTACCAGTTCATTCAGGTCTTTCACAAGTTGTGTTGCTGTAAACTCAACTTCAAACGTTAATTCGCATGCAACAGAAGTAAATTACCAAAAGAGGATCTAGATGCCAAGTATAAGTGTGTGTGAGTTTGATTACTCATAAGTTTGAATACTCGTGAGTTTGATACTCGGGAATTGAGTATCAAACTCCCAATACTCATTATGAGACCCATCACCACAAAATGAGCATCAAGTCAGAAACCACGGTTCGACCTAAACTTTGTTTTTACTAGCCAGCCGGGCTACTATGAAACAGACTCTTAACTAGCCCGCGGGCATTTTCACTAGCCTGCATGCTTTTCTTTTATAGAGTGTCTCATAAACAACAATGTGCATACTTGTACATGTAAAACGTGTATCCTGAGGCAATCTTGTCAGTGTTTTTAAAAAACAAATCTAATAATTTAACCCTAAACAGCTAATAAACTTTGACACAAATCCATACAGGCTTGCTTTCTGAATTTCATGATTTATTTCTTCCTGTCCTTTCATCTTTACCGTGACTCAATAATTTTAGACTCACCAGCCGGGCTACTTAAGGAATAGTTCGACTAGCCTGCCGCTGTTTTGACTAGCAGTTGGCTAGCGGGCTACCGCTAAAGTCGAACCCCGCGAACATTTTGGGGTACTGAGTTCAGTAACAAAATTATTGACCGCCAACTAAATTGGAAGTTGTAAAAAGTAATTTTTGAGAAAATGACATTTACAATCTAAAAATCCTGCTGTTGAATTACAGTGAATGAACAGTAGTTAACTAATAAAAGGGGACGAATATAGGTTTTCAAGATGCTTGATAGAACAAAAAACCAAGTGGAAAGGAAGAACAGGACTTACAGATTGCATGAGGGTCACCTGAACACAAAAATTCGACCACCCTTTCACATCCCCCCCCCCTCCACACACTGTATTGCAAAATGGCAATTTCCTACGCTCAATTCATAGTGACAAGCCACTTATTTGAAAGTATGATACTGAGAACGTGAGCCTGCAGATCCATGTGGTTTGACAGGGGAGATCAAGATGGATAATTTATTGATCAATTTGAGAAATGGAAGTGGTGTTTGGCTGGTATCCATTCTGAAAGAAAGAGGGGGACTAATCCTAAAGCCACCCTCAGGTTGACATTGCGACGACAAAGAACGTTGGCGACTGACTTATCATGGTCAAGCTGCTCCAGAGCTACGACTGTCGGGAACATATCAGTTGCAAATTTTTGGCGACTTGAGTGTAACTGCAAGGATATTAAGACGATCCACATCAGTCGACGCTAAACAAAAAATCAAGTCGCAAGAGACTTTCCTTTTCTGTGCTGCAAACGGAACATGTTCCCGCCAGGCACATATCCGGATCATCTAATTTGATTGTGAATCGTCCTCGCGTCGTGGGTGACGTGAGCGTGGGTGCGACTATTCTGTGCTGAGATGCCGCTTTTTTCAACGATAACCAGACATTTTCTTTACTTTGTGACTTCTCAGTTTTGTGCATGACTTTTGTGCTTGATGCCAACTTGAGGCTGGCTTAAGTCAAAATTCCTTGTTAGCCTGTGAAATATGCCAGCTTACAATGTAAGCATGGAATTTTTGCTACCGACAGTGGTGATTTTTTGCTAACAGTAAAGCACTGGCATGAAATTGGGCTCCGAATACCCTATCCCTAGTAATGTGGAAGCATTTAATGACGGTACTATCGCCTCTGATTGAGTTACTGAAGGGATCATCAGCAGTTGACATACGGCTCATTAAATTCATGTCTACCAGACACGGTCTGCCACTTCCCCTCCAGTCCTTTACAAGGGCACCGGCAATTAACAAAATAATGCCGTGGATCATGTTCTGGGGCTCCGATTATTAATTTACACAATCAAGCCGGCAAGACCTTAGCCCGAAGGTCTTAATAGTTCATGGGTGGAGGAAAAATCAATATATGAGTACCGCCTCACGACGTTACTGCTAAAGGCTAATTTCAAGCACAGAGGCAGAAGAGATTGGCTTAGCAAAAATGGTAAACCAGCCGATAATTCATTTGATGAATACTTAGAACTATTAACTGGTTCTCTGCTCGGTTTTGTTAGTATTGAAGTAGTACATATGTACAATGTAAGTAAAATCCATCACGAGCCATTGGCCCATCCGGTGTTTATTCTAGTTTCAATAGCATGAAAAGACTGAGAATATTTCTATTCCCTGGATGGGATGCCAGTCCATCGCAGTTAACTCCCCAGCTAATGCCGGTACCGTTTTCACTCCTGGGTGGAGAGAAGCAAGTGGAGGTGAAGTGGCTTGCCCAAGGACGCAACATATGGCCAGCAGTTGGATTCCAACCCCTGACCCTCTGATCATGAGTCCAGAAATCTATCCACTGAGCTACACTCCCTCCACGATTACCTCATAAATTTGCGAGGTAATATTTTACGCTTAACACTTTTTCCGCTTAACAATTATCTTCTGCTTAATAACGCCGTGAAATGACTGGAGGGAACGGAGACAGAGTCGAGATGAGACTCATTCACAGAAAATTTCTGCGGATGACGGAGCATCAAAGGTTTATGATATTTTGACGACTGACCGTGCTCCCCGCCAGACGCCGGCAAACCCGCTCACTCAACCACGAAGAAAAACCCCGACTATCCACGTCACTAGCTCCCTTCACAAACTCCCCCAGCCTTCCCTTTAACTCCCAAGGCTTGCCGTCTGACGTCACAGTGAACACATCGCTGCCGACGTGTCAATGACTTTTCCCTTTTTTGTATGCCTTGGTAGATTCAGCGCCAACAAAGCGACATGGAGGTAACAGCAAACTGTCAAGTTCTCAACGGGACGCTAAATAAAGAGGGTCGTACGATTGGCTTTCGGGGACCATGCTTGATTAGTGGAGCTAAATGAACCCCGGGGATGAGCCGCGGATAAGTGAACATGCATTAAAATGAGAACTCTGGGAGGTATGAACTGTGTGCATATCACCCAGCAAGTCAGATGGAAGTGCGTTTCTTTGAGTTTGAAACAACGTAGGATCATTAGCATTCTCATTCAAAGCAACAAAATTGCTGTAGTTTCAGGTTTCGATCCACCAAATATAGTCTGATCCATCGATTACATCTTAATATTGGTCATTCTATAAATTAAGGGTCCACATTGAGACATTTTTCCTGTCCATAATACCTTGGTACTTTGAATTTTTTTTAATTTGTTGGGTATAATTCATAATCAATCTTGGAGGACGACTGCATTAAGAATCCACAATTATGAAATTATATATTATAGATGTCAGATGTAACAGAAACAGGAAGAAAGTGGACCCCAACTTTATTATAGATGTGAATTTGTGGGTAATTTTTTAAACGTTAAGCAAATATTTTAAGACAGGTTTAAACGTTTAGACATTCACAAGGCTGACCCATGCTCATTATGTCTGCAGACCGGTGTGATTGACATGATAAACCAACAATGGCAGTCACTGAAAAATGTGAAAACTTAACTACGTATGCCCCGAATGTAACTAAGTATTGAAGTGCTTCAAAGGTTTTGTAAATTGAAAAGGTTTGAAAACATCCTTAAAAGTGAACAGGTATAAAACTGCAATTCAAGCGAATGATTTGACAGTGTCAGAAATGATCAGTGACTAGTTTATTCGTGTAAATTACCTTAAGTTTCTTGTCGTAGTCGGCGTTGCACAGGGTCCGCAACGATATCTTAAACGGCTTCCAAGTTGGATTTAGCGTGTTCTTGATCACCTGAAAATTGAAAACCAACATAGTTCGGCAAAATTACAATCTGAAGTCAGAATTTTGTGAACGGATTTGTACTTAATTATTACATGTAGCAGAACTTCCCTCAGTAGATGAAATGGAATGGGCAAAAAGAGTATGCAGAAAGAAGTTGACAAAAATGCTTTCAAAACAGCCCAAAAATGCTTCTATACAGGGTGGTAAAAAAACGTTTACACTTTTTCAGACGCAGATTTCTTGGAATTAGGGAGACAAGTTAAAATTGTTTCGATATATGAAAAGTTCTAAACTCTAAAACAGTTGTAACAAAAATCTTAGAGGTACCAGTACCGTACATGTACACATATATTGACAACGATTATTTTGGCATTATAACTAAACCGTTGGTCAAATTGATTTTTTAAATGTTCTTTTAAAAACGTCACGGTAGAAAATGTCATGGCAGAATCAAAATATAGGTTTTTACAGGTTATATATTGAAAGATCCTACGCTGTCTGTCTGTCAGTCTGTCTGATGTTTGTGTGTCACTTTTTTGTAAAAAGTAATGAGCATGCACAGGCACAAAATGCAATGGTTAATAATGGAGAGGCTTGGTTATTGAATGCAGGTCCTACATGTATATGCTCCGATTTCTCCGGTTGGCTCGTGAAAACAAATACAAATATTATTTAGGCCTATTTGTTTTGTTTTGCTTTTTTTGGCAAATTTGCTTCTTTCAGACTTTCAATATGTAAATATTACAACATTATCTCTATGAAAACACTCCCAAATGTATCGCTATTACGCAAAACATAACGTTAATGATGACAAATGTGACAAAAAAGGCCTACCATGCCCACTTGAGGTCAACATGCAAATTGAGGTCAAAGTAAACATTAGTATGACTCCGCCCCCTAAATAAAAAAAATAGGCTCTCAAGGCGAAATATAGGTTTTTAAAGGTTTCATGGGTTTTAAAGGTTTCGTTGTGAGGCTTGCAACTTTCTAAGAAAAACACAACACAAAAAGACACCAAGTTTATTTTTTTTTCAAAAGTGCATGCAGGTTGACTGACTTGTGTCTTTCACCAAAGTGACATTATCGATGTCAGAACAATACTGCATCATTTTCCAGCTGCTAGGGACAAACACACATGTACACACACACACACAGCTGTCCACATTATTATTAATTCCCATTATTGGACCAGAGAGGACGCCCATCAAACGTTCAATATTCATTTAAGATTCCCGACATGTCTCGGCCAAGGGCGGGCTGATAAGCCGGAATCTCTGGAATTCTCCCGGGGTCGGAGTTTAACTCCCGAAGATTCCCCGCCGTGCGTGCCAAACGGGCACGTCATGTACGACCAATGTATTTATTTTTATCTTCCGGGAACATGTGTTGGTGCACGTTTGTCATTTGGACAAGTAACCAGATCTCGATGGCTGTGATTTATTTTTCTACCCGTTTCCTGTTTCCAAACGAAAAACTGGGCCATCAGGAAACCAAAAACGTTGCTCAGTTTTCTTTCTTTGACTGTGATACCGAGTGACATTTTTTCGACACATGATTTACATCAAAAGCTCACGAGAGGAAATTATTAAGGTTGCCTTTCGTCCAATTTCAAATTGATACAAAAGATACTATACTCAGAATACTAAACCAGCACTCTTCCAATGAACATTTCTAGCTGGGTATATCAGTTGTCTCCCAATTTACAAATGATTGATGAGGTACCGTACATTTGTCCTTCTAAAATTACAATTTAACTAACACAGGTGTACGGTATGTGGCAAACTTGGTTTCTGTTATTCCCAGTGATATGTACACCCTCCAGTGACGAAGTCGAGTCCATGACAAGTCCCTGCAAGTCCATCACAAGTCCTCCAGTCCCAATTCAACTCACAAGCTATTCAGATGAGCCTTGATATGGACATTCTTTTATTGTTCATACTCTGTTACTTGTGACTGGACTTGTGAGGGACTCAACCACATCCCTGGCAACTTGCCAGTTTATCTGTAGATCTGTTCTGTATTTTGCTCCAGCAAAACGGCTACAGCCGCATCCCGCTAGAGTTGGTGTGGGGCGGGGCTAGAGGGGCTAAGGGAGGACGTTGATGTTGCACGAGGGATCAGTGAGGGCATTTTTGAATTGATCCAAACTTTTTAGCATTGACGACATGGGAAGGCAGGTTATTCCAGTGTGTGATTGTTCATGGATAAAAGCTGGTGCTGTAGATCTTACTTTTAGCGAGAAGTTGGTGATATGAGTACTGGTGAGACTTTCTGAGTGTTCTTGCTTGTACGATGAGAAGTGCCGCAAGTCTTTGTGATTCAAGGAGCGTCCATCTAAGCTCATGTAGCATGGTAGTAACACTGGCATTTCTGGTTCAATTGTTGCAGCACATTCTAGCAGCAGATCTTTGAACACGCCCGAGTTGGTTCCAGTTGAAATTGACAAAATATGAAAGAAACTTACCTCTGTAACATGAACTTTGTGCCACTCCTCGGGACCCTGTCCAGCTTTGTAGAACTCCAGGAAGGGATCGGATTTACCCATCATATCCTGAGAACAAAACGTCACATTTCAATATTATGTTTGATTTCGATTATTTCTGACAATATTATAGCCAAGGATTTTGTGAGGTGCTCTTACAATGAAGTGTTGTGGTCGAGTCACTTGAGTCTGAGTCTGAGTCTCGAGTAACTTGGGTCGAGTCCGAGTCATGAGTCATTTGACCCGAGCCCAAGTCTGAGTCACATTTGTACAAAATGGATGTGCATGGACATGGACAACCATATAAGCAAGTAAGTGATGCACTCTCACTGGAAATAGTGAGAGGTGCATTTATTAATAAACATTATTATCGACAACATCACCTGGAGAGTGGTGCGGTACTGTGTTTGTGTGCTTAACTTTCTTTAGCATTGCTCTAACATTACTTTCGGAAAACAAACAACAGAATTTATGTTTTTGGTAAGGATTATGAGTCATGAGTCATTAACATCAAGTCTGAATCATGATGGTCACGTCCAAGTCCGATTCTTTTGCTGATGGGAACCGAGTCGAGTCCGAGTCACTGAAATTGCAATTCAAGATGGGCCCAAGTCTTGAAAAAAGTCTAGTGTTTTTCACTTACATTAAAGTAAGGTTCTTCATTCTAATTTGGCATTTTTAATTTTTTTTTTCAAATGTTGTATATTACCTTTAAGTGGTAGTCTACCATGTGCCTGTTTTAAGAATTTAAATGCTGATTGTTTTTTTTTACCCGGGAAATACAGAGGAGTAACATGTGGAGGAGTTGCTTCATTCTAGAAAACTAGGCTAGTAAGTAAACAAGTTCTATTCATAGGCATCTTGCCGCATCTCAAACATTCCTGATTGTAGTAAATGACTGCAAACTTTTCCGGTGAATTATCGAGTGAGAAGTGTACTTTACACACTGTTAAAATTTGTTGGAGACCTGGGCCCAATTGTATGGCTCTGCCCATCTCAGAATTCTATGTACTGCATAGAGCTATATTAAATTACTAGAGCGCTAACTCGTCATTCTGCGCGCGGAGACGCTTTGAAGCCGTCCTGGGCGCAGACATTTTGAATTCATGTGCGTGTTTGTAGAACATAATGAAATTACATGGATTGAATTTTGAAAGTGTACTCTACATGCAACGCGCAAGTAGAACATACGCAAACAACAAAAGCACGTCATTGACGGTTCAAAAAAACGTGACGGCAAAAAGCATCTGCAGCAAATACGCGCAAGCGTTGCGCTGTTTGCGTAGAGCAAAATGACACGCTCATTTGCTGATCGTGCGTTTCGGTTTTGGGCGTATTGGCTTCGATAACGCACCGGTATGGAATACAAACGTGCAAATAGCCGTACAAAAGCCGTACAAAATTTCTAGGTCTACATAGGTTTGTGCACAAACATGGATGCGCCGAGCAGGCATTACTTTGTGCACGAAGTTATCGCTCTAGTAATTTAATGATGAACTGGTACATTACGATCACAATGCTGGGCCGGGTGCACTAGCAGTTCTAAAAGTTCTGTGCTAACCCCAAAGCACAGAATCCTTAGGTTGTACGCATGCCCATAAGTCAACATATCTCTCACTAACCCTCACTGAAATATGCTGACCACAAGCGCAGATTTTTCTGCTACATTAAGTGGGGATTTTTTTTGATAAATATAAGCCTGCAGGGGCCCTGTTTGTACTTGATGTTAAGCAATTCCCCTTGTTTCTTGTAAAAATGCTCTTTAATTGGCCATTTTTAAAAAATGTACATGTATGTACACATGTACATAACTGTAAGATCATCTGCTTTTTGTGATTTTTTTTTAATGAAGCAACAACATTGCTCAATACTTTAATCCTCCTATGCAAAAATACAGTCCGTGCCAAGTAGTCCTTTCGGTCAAAATCAATCAAATGACTGGTTTCAACAATTAAGAATTCCCAGCCTACATAAATCAGGATTGACTGGCTGGGACTGTTTAAGTAACTTGATACTGCTATGCTTTGACTCCAGTCGAGTGATAAAACAGCTGTTCCCACAACTTGCCTGCTTTGTCTGCTGACCCACTTTGACTAGTCACGTTGCTTGCTTAATTGACATACTAGTTCATGTATGATCTGACTGCTGGTGACTAGCCTTTGTTAAAAGTATAGCAGGGGGAGTGAATTTTGACTGTCTGTGACTGTTTAAATAGCAGGAGGGTAAAGAAGGATGCATAACAACTTAACTCGTTCAGTGAAGTCTCAGCTCAGTGCATACTACACATTTTGAGGAACCAGAGAAAACATGCATGTACACCCATACTGAAATTTGTATCACTGTGGAAACAATTCTTTGTTCTCTCAGCCAAGGAAATTCTGGTTAAAATAAGAGCATTTTGAAACTTCAAGTTTGAAAGTGAAGTTTCAAAATGCTCTTATTTTAACCAGAATTTCCTTGGCTGAAATTCGGACTTAATATCCCTTTTCTAAAACTCTTCCATTTGCGACAGATCAACCCACCCTGGAAATTCCTAGTTTTTGAGTAAAATCCATAGGCCTATATCTATTTCGTGAAAATCTTGTGGAGACGTATTCATCTATAGAAATTGCCCTTTGGAGACATACATGTATACAATCTTTTGTTCCCTATTTTGTGCATGTCTCCAGAGGGCACGGTGTATCAGATCATGTATGCATGTATTGGGGGACTCACAACGGGATTCCGTCGCTAATGTACGTCAAAAACTGTGCTCACACGGGCACACTTTCTTAAACCATGCACCTTCAATGATTGTTTTCTTCTGAGTGACGCCATTTCAAGTGGAATAAGTTCACAGGGTACCAGTAGTTGGTACCAGCCCTATCTTCACTTTGAGCGAGGCAGTTCTAGTTTGAGTCGGTAGGCACGTGTTAATTGCAAATGTTCCCATGTGCTTTAATTAAGAAAACAGGTGTGGGCTCGTTAGCACACAGAAGACTACATTTGGGCATGTGATGGATGCCTCCACCCATTACTTGGCACAAAGTGATGGATGTTCCCAAACCAAAAGCGCAGCATTAATTACACCTAGCCCAGGAAGTGATGCCTGAACGTCCAGGGCGACGATCCAATGTGACATTCATGTGCGAATGTATACATTGAACCATCAATATTCACGTCAAGGAGTGCAGGTAATTACAAATTCAATCATGCAGGGTTGTCTTTAGGTCCCTTGACATTCATGCACAGCCTGGTTCGGCAAACAAAACTTTTTTGGGGTTGACACCGATCACATTTCGCTAACACTATTGGTCGATGGAGCTTTGAGCGCCTGCGTACAGCCCGTGACCGTAGTTCCACTATAGAAATGGCTTCACTGAATTGGTCTGTAGTGGGTTTTTTCCCCAGGGGTTGGGGGGGGGGGGAGGACACCAGAATGTAGCACTGCCAGGTGTATGCGAGTCCAATGCAGTTTTTTTCCAGTTAACCCATTTATTAGTCACTGTACAGCTCTGCCTATTACTCCCTTTATTAGGGTGTCCCAAAAAAACTTGTGCAAGTAGTTATCCTTTATTCAAATTAGGTTTTGCCCTTCACCGACGTTTTCAAACACTGTATACTCAGTGTGTTACTGAGTATTACTATAATAGTTATCCTTTAATTTCTCAAAAACTACTTAACATGAGTATTCATCTTGATGGAGCATATACTCTTGTGTATAATCAGTGAAAATGCCATGGAAATCGTTCATGCAAACCAGAGATCTAACAGATTGTAAAAGGCTATGGGTTTTACACCCATTCCAATGGGATATCAGTGCATCAGCTTGTCATGGGCCTCTTCACTCTGAGTACATTACAAATTGTAAGTTAAAGGGAATATACATCATTTGCTTTTGCTGTAATTTTCAGAAATGGATGGAATTGGGGGGTTGGAAATATATAGCAAATATAGTTACACTGACTTTTTTGAGGTTTTGGGTTCGAAAATGCTATAAAAACCAAGAAAAACAATCATTTTCCTGTAGTCTGGTTCCCTGACTCCATTTAAGAAGAAACAGAGCAGTGTACATTTATTGGGGAATTGTAAGGTCAGGGAACCAGTCTAGCTGGCTTGTACCCGTTCATAGGTGTGTAATCGATTGCAAACAAGTGCGATGGTCAACTGGGGCCAGTTTTTGAAAAAAAGCCAGTTTTTTCCAACGCTGATCGGCCGATCAGCGTTGGAAATTGATACAAAAATACCACTTTTCTTGAAAATGACAGTATACCAGGTGCCATGATTTTACAGGATGCTTTACACTGTCATTCACTAACAGTCCAGCAAGGTATTTCAAAATGATTTGGTAGTTTTATTTTTTGATGTTTGCAAATGTTGTATTTTCCCTTTAACTGTGCAAATCCCATCCCATTGGAATGGGTGAAAAACCCGTAGCCTTTTATAATCTGTCATAAATTTGCATGAATGGATTTCCGTGGCATTTTCACTGAATATATACTTCAGAGTATACTGTTAACAGGAAATGGGTCATTTGGGAGACATTCCCTCAGACTTGTGCACAAAATGTTTCCATCTTTAATGTCACCTTACCCCAATTTTACCTTATCCTGTCCCCACGGATTTCGGTATATACAGTGTATATGTTTTGGACCACGAGCAATTGATCTAATTTGCAACAGTAAAATGTTGCCTCTAAATAGGAGTTGTGACATTAGTTGAAATGTCTCCCTTATACCGTATGTCCGGTGTCTCCCTAAGGAGTATAATTAATGACGACAAAATGTCTCCCAAAGGTATAATTAATATGCTCCATCAAGATGAAATACTCATGTTAAAGAGGTTGTGGAATGCTCGAAGACATTTCCGTCATTTTTCGGGTATATGTAGCCTAAGGTGTGATGAAATAAAAACGACTATTGTTTCTGTCATAAAATGAGTACAAAAGGTACTTTTGAGAGCTGTTTTTCAAGTCCTGTCATGCCTGTTTCGACCCGAACGTGCAATTTGTGTAAAAGTCATCGTTGCGGGCAGCAAACAAAACACAGTAAATCGTGACGCAATTAACAAGACTCCCGATGCAGAGTAGC